GACAAAAGAATGAATATTGTCCACTTATATCTCAATTGTTTATTGTTAGCTTAAAGTCTGCTTAAAGCACAATATTTCTGGATATTTTTAAGCATCTGACTCAATCTTCCTGACTAGCTACCTATGAGATGCTTGAGGTATGCGAGTGGAAAAAAAGATAGAAAACGACTTAAATATTGAAAACCTTTCAAGCTTTAAAAGATATTTCAGCCTTTTTTTTGTTTCAGTCTTGCAAATCAAAGTGCTAATATAAAATAAAGCGAAATTGGACATAAAATCACGTTGCCAATATAAAACAAGCAAAACTGGAAAAAGGAGCAACAACCATACAAAAATAAAAACTTCCCAAGAGAGTGCGGCATATCTTAGGAAGTAGAACTGTTTTCTGACACAGTTTTGGGGAAGCAGCTCAGCTACACAGTAGTTATTTCCATTTTACTGGATGAGTTAGACTATTTTGCAAAGCCTTTTGGGAGTTACATCACTCTAATGAGAAAAGAGTACTCCCAGTTAAGAAGCAAAATGCACAGATTAAGGCTTTTTAAACTGCTGATTAAAAAAAAATTAAAATATAAACAAACTGCTTATTAAGGGAAAACTGGCTAGCTTTCATAGCACAATTTAAAGCCCTTATCGAATATTTTTGCCCGGTTTGCAGGCGCCCTGTCAATTGTAAACAAACTGCTGAGACATCCTACCCACGTGGGCTGCCCATGGGGCGGTTTATTCTTTCTCACACCTGTGCTTACTGAGCTGCATTTTTGCAAACTTGACGGTTTTCAGAGAAAGAAGAAGGGAAGGGATTCATGCCAAAAAAAAAATTAAATCAAGATAAGAAACAAAAGCTACTGTAATTTATCGCCATCTAATCTACCTATAAAAGATCTTAAAATTTATAAATATACTACAGGCTCTTAAGGTTGAAAAAAAATTTCAGAGGTCACCCCAGTGAATGGCCTCTCCCTAGCAGGACTAAAAGAGATTAAGAGGAGAAAAGACAAAGATTTTTTAGGAAAAACTGCCCACTATCATGTAAATGTAATCTTTACTAAGTTTTTGTTTGTTTGTTTGGTTGGTTGGTTTTTTGAGATAGTCTTACTATGTAGACCAGGCTGGCCTCAAACTCATGGTTCTCCTGTCTCAGTCTCCCCAGTGCTGGGATTACAATAGGTGCATGCTGCCACATCTAGTTAAGAAGTGATTTCTTCTCAGGGGTTTCTCCCCTTTCTCAAAGCAAAGATTTTGGTTAGGAGAAAATTTGTCTATAATGTTTATTAATCTTAAAGAAATCCATTTTTCACTTGGAAAAATTGCCTTTTATCCTTTAATTTAAAAAAAAATTTCAAACCTTCTAAATGATTGCATCTGATAAATTATAATTATTAATTATTATTCATTTACTTATTTTGGCAGTACTGGGGAGTTTGAACTTAGGGGCTCATGCTTGCCAGGCAGGTGTTCTACCACTTGAGTCACTGTACCAGCCCTGAAAAATTATTTTTGTGCTTAAACAAATGTCTCCATCTTCAATCTTCAACTCCAACGAAGGCAATTTAATTCAAATTTCCATAATTGCTCAAGCTCCTCACTAACCTTCTCCAATAACAAAACATCCAAATAGCACCCCCTACACATACAAATATATGTGCTCTTTTTTGTTATTGAATATTTAAGTTGTCTGAAATGCTAGAGAAACCCTATCCCCGTGGCAATTCTAAGAAGAATCCAGGCACAGTCCTACATGAAGACTTGTTCTGTCTCTACCACATCCATCCCATCACATGAATGCTTAGTTTTCTAACAAGCTACTGGTGTAGAAGAAAATCTACTACTGTGTTCAAGGCAAGCTTCCTCTTAGAAAAACGAAGAGATGGGGACGCCTTGTGTATGGTATTGCCACTTGGAAGCAAGTCTTTGAAACAAAATCAGGAGATGGTAAAAGTAGAACAAAATAAAGGGTGCTTTTAAAATTAATTTTTTATAAACAACTTTATTAGGTATAATTTATGTACAATAAAACTTGCCCATTTTAAGTGTACAGCTCTGTGATCTATAGTAACTATACCAAATTGTATATGTCACCACTACAGTCTTGTTTTACAACACTTGTTCCATCAATCCAGTAAGATCCCTTTGAGTTATTTAGAGTTAATTATTCTTCCTAGCTCCAGCGGCAGGCACACACCAAGCTATGTTTTCTCTATAGATTTTCCTTTTTTTTTGTCACATTCCCCTTTCTAAATTGAGATTTTTAAAAAATTTCTTTTATTCATATGTGCATACAATGTTTGGGTCATTTCTTCCCGCCTTCCCTCTGCCCCCTTCATCTCCCCCTTACCTCCTCCCTACCTGGCAGAAACTATTTTGCCCTTATCTCTAATTTTGTTGAAGAGAGAGTATAAGCAATAATAGGAAAGTCCAAGGGTTTTTGCTAGTTGAGATAAGGATAGCTATACAGGGAGTTTACTCGCATTGCTTTCCTGTACATATGTGTTACATTCTAAATTAATTAATCCAAGGGTAGTTCCTACACGTTTACTGAGGAAAAACCCACCCTGTCAAAACTATTTGTCAGAATTCTTAAGGGAGGCCAAGGAAATCTTGGACACTAGATCTGTCTTTTGAGTTAGATGAGTCAGTGTGGTCTTAAGATCTAATTATCTTGTAGTTAGAGATAACAGACTTAAAGAGTTTCAAGGGATTTTGATAATAAAAGAAAACTGCGACAAGCCCTGTTAAATGGAAAATATCTCCATCTGCAAAGTTAAAAACCACAGAGAAACTTTCAAGTAAAAGTGTAAATGTTCAAGCATTCCTATAAAATTCTGTTAAATATTATATTTTTGTTTGTGAGACATTAAAATTTTCCAGTGTCTTAAACAAATTATATTTCTATGGGGTAGAAATATAAATTTTTCTTCTGAAATGTAAAAGTGGATTTTTCTCTCCAAAGTTCTCATAGGTGTATTATTCTAATATATTTTGAGTACAGTAAATATACCAAATTATCATGTTTTGGGTTGACAAAATACTCTATAACCACTTATTTCCTTCCTCCAGGATCTGCATATTTTAAGAAAAGTTTAGCTTCAGGTTTATCTTGCTTACATCCTGATTTCCAGGTATCCTCCCCTCTGGAAGGAAAGCTCTGGTTTCCCAGAAATGGACTAAGTGTTTTACAAGGAGCTCTTTTACATTTGAAAGAGAAAACTGTTTTGTCAAGTGATGATGAGAAATTCCAAAAAAACTCTAACCCAGACAGGATTCTAAATTTGGGAAAATCTATGGCACTCTGTCAACTCAGAGTGTTGGTCACAAAGATTCCTCAAGAGTTATTTTACACCACTTGCAGGAAACTGATATTTGCTGTGGTTTTTTGTTTTTAATTCCTTCCATCAATAAAAACAAATGTTAGTTCTGTGTCTTTAATGTGTTGGGGATTTTATAGATCATAGAGTTCAAATAACTCTATGGTAAATTGACTGAAGTTGGAACTTTGGAGAAAACAAGTACCGTGCGGAAATAAACATTTGCTAGCAGCTTTAATACGTTCTCAATGCCAATGGGACTTCTACACTTCTAACATAAGGAAAAAGTCAAGTTTGGAATGTGGATCTCTCAGAGCTACCGTGAAAGTTATGACTTCTCCTTTTGAAGACCTTTAAAAACAAGTGTGCCTGTGTTTGAAATAAAAAGGACCGATGTGATGAGCTGCTAACTGCTCTTGACCTCTCTGATTCCCTTCCCACCCTCAGAGTGAAGACGGAAAGACGGGGGAACCTTAAATGGGAACTTTGCACATTCTTGCAGCGATTAACACTTGAAAAGTAAAAAATCTGGCGGCAGGGGCTGGAGGAGTGCGGCATTATGATGAAAAAGATGTCTGCAAAAAGAAAACGCCAAATAAACGTAACTGTAGGAAGGCTTTTACTGATTCAAACAAAATCCCTGGTTGTGTGTAAATAGCACACAAGCTTCTCTCCCTCCCTCCCTCCACAGCCCGTCCGACTTTCCAGTTCTCTGGGTGTACCCTACGGATTTCCCTACTAAAGGAGCCGGGAGTTCATCCGCGGGAGAGGAAGGCTGCCGGCATACACTCTTAAAGAAAGAAACAGTTGCTTTGTCCTTGCAAAAGAAATTTCGTCCCCTGGCTTTCCCCAAGGTCTGCAAGGCGCCCGCAGTGCTCCTGGGACTCAGCAGAAGTTCATTTAAGGATCACTTGAACCACTCGCTCCCCTTCCCCAGCAGCTATTTCTCAGAGCCGGGCAGGTGCCGCGTGGAGGGGGCGCGAAGTCCGAGCAGGACGCTGCGAAGTCAAAGAAAGGGTCACAAGTGAGCGCACTTTAGACGGGAAGACGAGCCGGCCCCGCCCTGGGGCTGCAAAGTCTGCATTCCTACAGCTGCAAGGTAGGGGCTCCTTACTGGCTTTCCCTCCGCACAAAATACACGCCTGTGAGCACAGACTTTTCTCAGAGGTGACGCAATGTTCTCCAACACCTCCACCCCCCCAATAAAAAAGAGAAGGGAAGAAGGGGGGAAAGCCTTGCAAGCCCTCACTTCACGCACTCCAGTCCCTCCCTTTCCTCCCCGGTCTACCCCTTTACAGCCGCTTCCCTCCACCTCCCCCTCCGAAAAGTTTGACGACCGCAAAGGAAACCGAAAAAAAACTTCTTGCCCCAGTCCTGGCGGGCGATCAGCATCTCTTTTGTTCGGGACGAACCCACAGTCCCCCGTGACGTCACCTGGACCCCGGGCCAATCGGCGCGCGGTCGGCGGCGGCGGCTGCCGCGGAGGGAGGGGGCGGGGGAGTCGCTCCGGTGCCTCCTCCCCCGCGCCCAGGGCCTCGCGGGGGGCGGGAGGGGACCGTCCCATATAAGCCCGGACACTCGGGGCCCCGACGTCCGCCCCGGCTGCGCTGCACAGGAGGAGAGGGAGTCCCGGGCACGAGCCGGGCTGAGGGACCAGCAACCACAACTTCTCTCATCCTCTGCGTCCCCTCAGCCCCTTTTCCCTTCCCCTTCCCCACCCGCTGGCTCCCCCCTTCTTACAGGGGACTGTCCCCGGAAGGCATTGGAAGAGACTTTCCCCGCAGGTTACGAAGGGAACCAAACTTGGTGACTAGGGCTCACTCCCCACCGACTCAAGATGCTCAGGGATCCGGGACCCGGGCTGCTGCTGGCGGTCCTGTGCCTGGGGACAGCGGTGTCGTGCACCGGAGCCTCGAAGACCAAGAGGCAGGCTCAGCAAATCGTGCAGCCCCAGTCTCCGGTGACTGTCAGTCAAAGCAAGCGTGAGTACTGACCTCGGGCTCAAGCCCGCTGGCGGTGGGGATGGGACCGATCCTAAAGTCAGACTGAAGTTGAGGTTGGAGTTTTGCGCGCGCGCGCGCGCGCGTGTGTGAGTGTGCGCACGCCTTTTTTTCTTTTTTTAGAGAAACCAGCTGTAGACACAAAAGGCTCTTGGGCTGGACAGGCTGATTCTGAGAAGATAATGCGTTAGAGGAGAGGGGCTCTGTGATGTCCCCCAGTGTCCTAATCAATTCTACAAGAGCTCATCCTTCTGTAAATTAATCAAAATTTGCCTTTAAAATGATGCATGCTTATAAATTTCCCATCTGGGGTTAGTGTGGACCTTACTTCTCCTTATTTTCTTTGTTACTAAATAGTTGGTTAAATATTTTCAGGATGGGGGTAGGAAGAGGATATCTAAATAGGTAGTTTCTAACAACCTTGAAAGAGATGTTAGTGGTTCAGATTGCTTTAGGGCCCCTGAGGATTCTTCACCAAGAACAGAGATTGGAATTCCTCTTCCAGTTTTTCAAAGACACACCCTCCCTTTGCCTTGGTTAAAGGAAACTTTAAAGTTTGATTTATTTTTTCCAAGAGTATTGAAGTTCCTTACATGTTTTAAGATGTAATTTCAATTATCTGCCTTTCAAAGTGTTTCCACTTCTTTGATGTAGCCCTCTGGCCAGATGGAAATGCCACCATTTAGTTACAAACATTTAGTTAAGTTAAGCGATAAAATAAAAAGAATGTCTAAATATTCACCTATACAAGTGTGGTTAATTCTTTATCGAACTAGTTTCTGTATCTATATTTTAGTAGAATATTGCTTTAATTCTGGTGATTAATTCAGATATTTGGTGCTCAGGCTCATCAATCAGTTCTGTAAGAAAATTCCATAACTTGGAAAAAAGAGGGATGGAAATGTAATAACTTTTTCCTTCACTTATTTACAGCTGGTTGTTATGACAATGGAAAACACTATCAGATAAACCAACAATGGGAGCGGACATACCTGGGCAATGCTTTGGTTTGTACCTGCTATGGAGGGAGCCGCGGTTTTAACTGTGAGAGTAAACCTGAACGTAAGTGAAAGGGAGAGCCCAGACTTAGTGTCTTTTAATAGATGAGCTGCTGCTTGTGAGTTAAACTCAGCATTAAGTAAACGTGCACAGACTATTTTTCTACTAGAATTGCCTATTATTTTCTCTTTATAAGCATTTGATAACTGCTTATATTTGCTTTTCATATGATACTTTTACCTTTAAAACAAACAAATGTTTTCCAAATTAGTTTCCCCAGTGTTCTTTTGTTTTACTCAGTCTTTAAAGAAAGACATTTTTGTCTCCTCTTTCAAAAAAAGTCTTATAAAAGTTTGTTTATAAAAATTACCTCAGATCTTTCACTCTGAAGATTTTATGGGCCAAAAAAAAAAAAAAAAAAACCCAAAAAACAAAAAATACTTTGGGGCACTATATTGTAAAGTGATTTGTTAGCTGCAGTTCATTGAAAAGTCACAAACCACTTCTCATACCTGGAAGACGATCGATATGTTTCTTGTCAATCATAGCAATACCTTCGGAGAAGCACTGTGGAGGCTACAGGGAATACTTGTAGGATTAGCAAGGGTCAGCGTCCGCTGGGAAGTAGAGATTTTCAAACTATTTGCTTTCTGTGTGGACCTTGGTTTGATTTCCCCGTCAGAGTTTGGAATCTGAAATCCTTCCTTTCCAATCTGATTGGTCATGTGGGTCATAGTACTGTGTGGCTTTTTCCTGAGAATTCTTAACAATAGAAATTAATTCACAGAAATTTGAGAACTTGTCACAGGTCGAAACCTGTGTCCTTGTTAGAGCATAGGGTGAAATATAACTCTCACTTCATTCTTGATTTTCCGTTGAACATGCTGTGCTACTCAGAATGGAAAAGTGGATTTTTCTTTGGATGGATTCAGTTTTTGCATATGTAAGGCTCATGTGGACTTTTTCTTCCCTCAGCTGAAGAGACTTGCTTTGACAAGTATACTGGAAACACTTACCGAGTGGGTGACACTTATGAACGCCCTAAAGATTCCATGATCTGGGACTGTACTTGTATCGGGGCTGGGCGAGGGAGAATAAGCTGCACCATTGCAAGTAAGGAAGACATTCTATAAAATGATAATAAAATGTCATAAATACTAATTTCTCTATTACCATCGCTTTCATTCTGTTATCCATGACTGCATTTTTCTTATTTGGGGATTTATCTCTGGCTTGAGTGGGTGACCAAGTTCTGTTATGTGACCACCCAAGTGTTTTCTGTGCTTCTGAAGATGAGTCTGAGTACTGGTGGAATCAGTATTTAAATGTGTGAATTTATGAGTGCATGGATGTGTGTGTGTGACTAGCATAACCAATTAGATTTCATGGGTTCCATTTGAGTAAGACATGCTTAGGGGAGTTACTGATTTTAAATTTCCTGGGCATCTTCAAGTCAGACTGATTATCTATGGTGATGGGAAGATGCTCATAAAGAGAGAATCAGCCATGTTTCTCCTCTTGTTTACAATGCAGAGACTCTGATCTCACAATCAGTCTGGTTTCTTTGTGATCACTAGGTTATACCCAGGAAGCAGATTTGTCTGTTCCCAGGGATAATATGGAATGATTAACCCAGAAGTGTTTCCAAAGACCTTTGGGGACTTGGTTGATTCTCCTTAACTATGGTGTAGCTAAGGCAATCTTTCTAAGATGATTCACTGTGTTAGCAATACTCTCTATTAATATGGTATTTTAAAATCTATCCTTTAAAAGAACAAGTCAGTCCCTTATGAATAGGCCCAATCAATATTCACTATACCTAAGGTTTATCCACGTTTATCAACAAGTCTTAAGAGTTAATGATTCAAGCTGGGTATGGTGCTACATACTTATAATCACAGCACTCAGAAGGCTGAAGCAGAATGATCTTGAGTTCAAGGCCAGCCTGGACTACCTATTCAACTATTCAAACTCTATCCCAAAAAACCAAGAGAGAGAGAGAGAGATGAGAGAGGAAGAGGGAGTGAGTTCATGGTCTGTAGTATTTATAATCTCGAGGACAATTGAGCCTTTGGATATGCCATTGGGTTTAATAGCCTAGAAAAGTATCAGAATTTCCAAACTTACCCATGTATCTGCTTTCCACCAACATGACATTTCTATCCTACAGTAAAATTCAGACTCTCCATATTTCCCCAAATGGGAATGAATGCTATGTCCTGTGTGGCCTTTTCATTATACTAGCCTCAGATTCAACCTGTTGTGGGAGAGTGGAGGCCATGTTTCCCAGCCTTTCTTATACTGCTTTAGGACTCAATTTCCTGTTATCTCTCCGGGGAACAGGTATTTATGACCTCTTCTTTGCCATTCATGTTTCACTGTGGTTTCCACTGTGTTTTTAAGCAATACATTTGATTGAATTAACCAAAGGAACATATCTGTTAACTTTTCTCCTGTCTCCAATAGGAAAAGTTGTTCTCTGTGTCTCATTCTGGCCACCTTATACTGGGTGAAACATGAGACTTTTTTTTTTCCTCTTAATTTTCTGTCCTATTCTCTCCTAACACTTACCTTTTCTCTTAAACAGACCGCTGCCATGAAGGGGGTCAGTCCTATAAGATTGGTGACACCTGGAGGAGACCACATGAGACTGGTGGCTACATGTTGGAGTGTGTGTGTCTTGGTAACGGCAAAGGAGAATGGACCTGCAAGCCCATAGGTGTGTGACCTTTTAGGGATAAGTAGGTGCGGGATGCACAGTTTTAACATTAAGTTGAATAAAAATCACATCTGCATGGACAAGAGACTTGGATTCCAATTTAAAAATAGTGAAATGGACATTTTATTTCAAATAATGAAATGTTATGATCTGCAGTCGTAAATCAGATCACAAAGCACAAACCACATATAGAAGTCTTAATTTGCTTTAAAAACACAAGACGGAGTTGAAAGACTTGGAAAGATGTTATTTCTTTTATTTATATCTGATCTGATTTATATCCTTGGTCAAGACAAGTTATTTAAATGAAAAAAAATGACACTTTGACACATTTCTTTGCTGGGATTCATTGGCCTGAAACTCAAAATGACATGTGCTCAGTTACACCTTGGTAATTTCTTTTTTAAACAAAAAATTCTTACTTTCTTTTAGTCTCAGACTTCAGTTGAATACTATAAGTACAAGTCCAAAAGTTTTTGCTCTGTTCTCTAATTTGGAGGTTTTTATTTTGTTTTGTCCTTGTTTCTACAGAAATCCAATTTTAAGTAGCCTTCTTGTCATTTTATTTAGGCCATTGATAATTCATCATTGGCTGTTCATAATTAAAATTGGAAGGTTGCAGATATTGTCTCCCACAGACTACATACACGGATTCTTTTCACTCAAACTGCTAGTGGGTAGTTTGGGACTGGCTGAAAATGTGCAGTCCATGTACTCCTTAGGAGAACAAAACTTCTGCCTGCCAGCTCCACTTGAGCTTCCTCTTGCTTTGGCTACTTACAGTGTGCTTAGTTGCAGGGCGTGTCTTTCTTTCTGAACAGAGTGCCACTTAAAAAAAATGTGGCTGAAGTTTTACTTACATGCTACACTAAATTACAGGGAGACTGCACGATTTAAAATAACTTTTTTTTTTCTTCCAAATTTTTTCCAGCTGAGAAATGTTTTGATCATGCTGCTGGGACATCCTATGTTGTCGGGGAAACCTGGGAAAAACCTTACCAAGGCTGGATGATGGTGGATTGTACTTGTCTGGGAGAAGGCAGTGGACGCATCACTTGTACCTCTAGAAGTATGTTTTAGATCTTTATGTTGAAGATTAGGCTAGCTATCCTCTTTTTAGATTCCCAGAGAGAAATGTAACATTGTGTTACTTAGAACACGCCCAATTCATCAACATGCTTTGGTAATTTTAGAATGTCAAAAAATTTTTCTATAACCAACATATTCTACTTCTCTAGAGAAGACTACATAAATAGAAAAAAAAAAAGCCCTAGTTCAACAATATTAGGCTATTATCTACTAAAAAGAACCCTAATATTTATTCAAATGCAAAATGTGTCCTCAACCTGAAGATTAGTGTAATCAAAATTATCACTGAGATATTTTTCTAGTTTTAGGAGCAAAGAACTCACCAAAATGACACCCAAGTAGATCTTTTGACTTGGGGTGCTATTGACATGGAAATGAACAGGCTCCAAAGGTTTAGGTTTCCTTCTAGGTTTTAAATTAAGTAAGGTATATTCATAAGCAAAATTGATGAAAGTAAGTACTTATCCCACAGGCTAAAATTGTCTACTCTGGAGTTGAGGATTTGGTGTATGTTACCTGAAGCTTATTGGTGCTGTAGAGAAGCAGGTCTTAGGCATCTTTATTGTCCCTTCTAAGGTTGTCCTGAAGTCTTAGTTGCCCTTGGCTTCAAGGTTCAAGTCTTATGGAAAATGATTGCGAGTTGGACCAAATATTTCCCTAAAACTTCCTGTTTCATTCATTAGGTCTTTTGCATTTACAATGATTTCCAAGGTTTTTTGTGGCAGTAGTTTAGCTTAAAACAAATGAGAAGTCTAATTCCAACTCTTACCTATTATTTAAAGCTCTTCTGATAGGAACTTGGCAAACACTTCTCAAAGAGAAGTCATAAATTCCATGAAATTTTATAAAATACATGCATTTTGTACAAGGTGGTATATGGAGAAAAATGTGAATTGCACAACAACTCAACTTTCAAGGAACACTTTGTAGGTCAGAGAGATGAGAGAAACTTACATGTACTTATCACCTGCAAAACACAATGTTAGAAGTTTCAAGAGAGATACTGAAAATAGTGCTGAAAAATAGGTTCAGTGGATGATGGTACTTTTAGCTGGGGACTTGGCAGAAAGCTCCAAATAGCAATGTATATTTGTTCCTTTGTCAGATTGATGTGCCTGTGTATTTGTGTGTGCCTTTATCAACTGTCCTTTTTTTTTCTTTTTTCTTTCTTTTCTTTTTTTAAAAAGCCCAGTAACTGCAATAATACCTGATACACAAACAAATCACATCCTCTATAGCCACATTGTATCTTATGGGCAAAACTGGATTATAATGTAAGCAATCTATTTGCTAGATAAATGAACACATAGATTAATGGTAATTTAGTTGCCAGTTATCTGTTACCTGAATAATTCCACTTTTCCATTCCAGGGTAGACACTGAAAGATTAAAAGAGGCCATTTCCTTGGTGATTTTTAAATAGGTATAAGATAAGAGAACAATTTAGTCAAAGAAATTGTTAGTTCCCTGTTTTTTTTTTTTACATAACAAGTGAAGAAAGAGCTGCTATTGTCATTTTAATAGCTTCCTTGGGGCAATTGGTAGAGACCCTTTGAAACCTGCAAGGCTTCCTATGGGTTCTACAGTTCTAAAGCAAGTTCCCTATTGAAAGGCAGGCCAAATACAGTAATTACTAGGAGAAAGTCTGGGAGAACCTGAGAAGGAAAAAGGCAGAATAATTGGATGGCAGAGAATGATTTTGTTCAAAGAAAGTATGAAAAATATCAAAATAAATAAATAAAAGATGGTGAACTAGTCTTTTGGGAAATAGAGAGAAGAAACTAGGCTAAATCACATAGCTCTCTTTTCACTGAGACAAACGTAATCTCATCTTTCAGAAGTTTAATATCTGTAGCACCATCTGAATATGAACATATTACCAAAAAAATAAAAAATTTTAAAAACCCTACTATTTTCCTTAGATTTGAATTAATCACTTGTCAGTCTCAATCTGATTTACATACATAAATGCTTCCTTTCTGAAACAGACAGATGCAATGATCAGGACACCAGGACATCCTATAGAATCGGAGATACCTGGAGCAAGAAGGATAATCGAGGCAACCTGCTCCAGTGCATCTGTACAGGCAATGGCAGAGGGGAGTGGAAGTGCGAAAGGCATGCATCTCTGCAGACTACATCCGCTGGTGAGGCCCAGGACTGGAGGGCAGGGAAGGGGAAACAGCCTGAAGCCTTGACATCCATTTGAGGATGAGCTGCAGAATTTCAGCTAATAAACTGAGATCATTTACCTATTATTAGTTGTTAAACTTTTTTTGTAAATGAAAGTTTTGAATTTTGGGGAAATTTTAAATAAAATGAAAATGGATTTTGGGGAGGTTGAGAAACAGGTTTAGCACTAAGAGATAAAACCGTGTTAGAAAAACAGTTTTCTCAGTGGGTGGGGGAGTGCAGTTTAGCAGGCTCAAGGCCCTGCTTTCTAGCACCGAAGCAAATAATAATATCAAAATATTTTAAATTAATAAGCAGTTTTAATAATAGCTGGGTAAAAAGGATTTTTTGTGTCATGAATGTTCTATAAGAGTCTAAAGAAGGAAAGATGGCTCCCAAGAGTGTGCAGTTCTTCTGATGTTATTCTTAACTTGTTTTCATTACATGAGGAGCAGGCGTTGTTACTTAGCCTTTTAGCCATCAGTCATTGAGCTAAAAATAAAAATGTTAGTTGAATAGACTTTTCTCCTTTTGATGAGTTTTTACCTTGATCTAACACTTATGAAAGTGAACAAGATTACATTTGGTGGTATCTTTGAATTATTTGATTATCAGTAAATTTGTTGCTGACAAAGAAAGAAAGAAAGAAGCAATTATAATTATTAATCTACTGAAATAGATTAAAGGGGTAGTTGGAAATTAAATTGGGGTGACACACTCAATAAATATTAGCTGTTCTTACGATATTATTAATATTACACTTTTTCTGAAAAAGTTTTATTGTTCAAAAAAGTTTTTGAAACACTGGGTTAAATGAAATAGAATCTGCTTTATGTTTATTTTCATTGTGACTTTCAAGGTGGGGTGTATAAAGATAGGGCCATCTCCCCAATGTATTTGACCTTGGGATCCTTTTGTCTATGAAAAATGTTTGGGGTCTAGTGCTCAGCAGCACAGTTCAGTCCACCAGTTGTTCTAGTTTGAATTATTTGATTATCAGTAAATTTGATTATCAGTAAGTCAGTTCTTACTGTGGGCCCTTGTCTTCAGGAAAACAGATTTCCAAAAGTTCTAAGAAAAGATTGACATGTTCTGTTGTGTCACTCTGAAGGGAGAGTTGTCTTAAAAGGATTGTTTTTGTTAGAAAAACACACAACAAAATTACAAATAATCCTCAGGAGAAGTAACATGGGAGGGGGCAACTCCTAGGGAATCCAGCGTGGCAGTTCAGGATTCATGAGCTCAGTTTCAGTTTCATGAGCTCAGTTGAGAGGTATTTTATAGCTTGGTAAAGGCTTCTAAAGTCAGTATCAGAAGAGTAATGGCCAGGTATGTTGAGCTAATGGAAGCTGCTAAGAGAAGAAAGGTGAGGCAGATCATTTCAGATTCAGGGAATGCATGAGGACAGGACAGAAACATGGCCTCACTACACAGGGGAACGATGAGGAGCTCTCTGGACCAAGGCACAGGGCAAGGAAGAAAGTGGCCGGAAGTGAGGGTAGCAGGAAGTTAGCCATGAAGGATGGTGAAATTCATGGACTCTGAGCTTCCTGGCATCCATGAGGATTTGTTGGAGGTGTCTGCTTTGTCCAGTGGCAGAGTAGTGTCTGTCCCTTAGAAATGAAGTGCTGATAGTTCCAAATGAGCCAGAAAACGGAGACCGGGTGGTAGAGCCTTGCGAGTTATTTCTTAGGCTGACTGCCAAAGCTAAGATGTAGATTAGGAGGAACATTTCTTTGCAATTCCAGGTCTGTAATGGATTTCAGAACATTCCCTGTGAGATCCTAAAGGTTCTGACTACAGAAACAGTAGTTGTCTTCTCTTGTCAGTTTTGTGACTTTCATCTCTCGTGCCCTTAGGATCTGGCTCGTTTACAGATGTGCGAACAGCTATCTACCAACCTCAGCCTCACCCCCAGCCTGCTCCGTATGGCCACTGTGTCACAGACAGTGGTGTTGTCTACTCTGTGGGAATGCAGTGGCTAAAGACACAAGGAAATAAACAAATGCTTTGCACTTGCCTGGGTAATGGAGTCAGCTGCCAGGAGACAGGTATGCATTATCTTTTCAAAAAGTCATACCAGTTACTTTATTATTTAGTTTCTGCAAGGCAATACATTTAAACAAAGCTTATATTCCTGCCACCTCATGATGACAATCACTGTGACATTTGATGTATTTTCTTCCAGGCTTTCAATCTGTGTATTTTCCTTGCTCTTGTTGGGCTCAAACTGCCGTGTATTTTCATTTGCCAAAAATACTGCTATAAGAAGGTTGCTTTCTGAATAGCTAATCATCTATATTTTATACTCTAAATCTCAAATTTCAGCAGCTTTGGGATGTAGCTTTCTTTCAATAACCCAATTCATTTCTTCTGGGCTACAAACATGGCAATAATAAAACAGCACACTTTAAAAAAAAATGATTTCTCTAGTTGGGCATAGTGGCTCATGTCTGTAATCCCATATACTTGGGAGGATCGAGGTTTGAGGCCTGCCATAGCAAAAAAGTTTGCAAAACCACATCTTAACCAATAAAGCTAGGTGTGGTAGTCCACACCTGTCATCCAAGCTACCGAGGGGAGCATACGTAAGAGGATTGTGGTTTAGGCTGCCCAGGCATAACAGTGAGACATTACTTGAAAAATAACTAAAGCAAAAAAGGACTAGGAGCATGGCTGAAGTGGTAGAGTGCCTGCCTAGCAAGTGCAAGGCCCTGAGTTCAAATCCCAGAACCACCAAAAAAACAACAAATAAACAATTTCCCTAAAATAGCCTCATGTATTATTTCCTATAATATATCTGCATAGCACAGATATAGTCATACATATCCCCTAGCAACTTTGAGCAGCATCCTTAATTAATCTGTATTTATACAGCTTTACAAGTGGAGAAACTGAGCAATGGCAGCAGAAATTGTAGCCAAGGGTATTTGCAGAACAACTCAGATCCATTGTTCTATCCACAGCAGGCCTGGCTTCCTGAGTATTGCATTTTGACTGATATTACCAGATGACATTTATGCACCCAGCTTCTTCCTCTGAGGGCACAATCACAGTTCCTTAGTAAGGTTAAAAAGGCAGCTGCTGGTGACAGGAAAAGCAGCTACTGGCTGAAACCTTTTTGTTATGCTTCTAGCTGTGACCCAAACTTATGGTGGCAATTCAAATGGGGAGCCATGTGTCCTCCCATTCACCTACAATGGCAGGACCTTCTACTCCTGTACCACAGAAGGACGTCAGGATGGACATCTGTGGTGCAGTACGACTTCAAATTATGAGCAGGACCAGAAATATTCTTTCTGTACAGACCATACTGGTGAGTGCCCCAGGAGAGCCCACAGTGGTGATGAAAAACCCACTGTATTTGCCAGCAGTCAAACTATTAATTGTGAGGCTACATTTGAAACATCATTTTTAATCCATTTGGACCCAGCACCTGAGGCTCTTTCCACGTTCTCAGCACCACTGGGAAATGATACCAAGGGAAAAGCCCCCTAAGTGCATTTATTTTGACAACATAAGAATTATGAAGTGATTAGAGATACTTGTATATCTATATCAGTAGATGATCCCATAGGGCTGACCTGACAAATGCATGGATGGATGTCTGAGTGCCTTTGCTTATCTTCTGGTTACAACTATATTTTATACAAAGCTATCACTTAATCTTTTTTCTTCTTGTCTGGGAAAATGAGTGAAAATGAGATTTAAATCTACTTTGAAGGTGAAGATGAAAATACACTAAAAAGCTTAGGACTGTATTATCAAACATCTTTTATTCTGGGATAGGCTCTCTGGGAATTAGCTGCAGAAACCTGGCTCTCTCAGAACCTTTCTAATTCCCTGCTGTTCACGGCGAAGCTCAATTGTAATCTTTTTCTTTCTATTTGTATATTGTCCTGGGCAGTTTTGGTTCAGACTCGAGGTGGAAATTCCAACGGTGCTTTGTGCCACTTCCCCTTCCTATACAACAACCACAATTACACCGACTGTACTTCGGAGGGCAGGAGGGACAACATGAAATGGTGTGGAACCACGCCGAACTATGATGCTGACCAGAAGTTTGGCTTCTGCCCCATGGCTGGTAAGATGAAACCCTGTAGGTTGCCTGTGTGGACAGACATTTAGGGAGCAGAAAGAGAGAAAGAGAGACTAGTGTCCTGTTTATTCCTAGTTCCCTCATTTAGACAATTTGAGATAGAAAACTTTATGTGATATATGCTTGTATATGTACATTCTATGATACACGTAAGAACTGAAGACTATATAATTATATAATTATTGATATGTTTTTAAAATTCCACTGATGTGATTTAGTATCAAAACTGCATAAAAACAATCAAATTATTTTTTATAAATCTGGAAATAAAAATCAACAACTTTGTCTTTTGTAAAAAACACACACCCAAGTGGCTTAAAGCAATCTGTCTGCTGTAGTCACAGACTTAAGAGTTATTAACACATGACTTTGGTTTGACTGACATAACTCTATCACTTTTTATTAAGTACCAAAGTGATCAAAACAAGGGAGAAAATTTATTTTCTAACAAGTAGGGAATTTGTTTTTAATTCTCCAGTTACCTGAGTGGAGAAAGAGGAACCAATACTCAAGTGTGATAAGAGGCAAGGAAACTACTTATACTTTTATTTCTCTCATTTCGACAAAAGATAACATTGGTTTCTGAAAGAAAACTCACTTTTGCTTACAGTGCTATAGCCAAACACATCGTTTTTCTTTGAATTAGAATAAACTGGAACTAGAAAAAGTTACAAGGCAGTAGCAAATCCAGGCTTCTAGAACAATCTGAAGCCTTTGAGTGAATGTGTAGTATTATCTGCATTGAACATCTCCTGGCCCTTCTTGTAATTATTTCCTACAACACACTTCACCTTTAGGCTATGTTTTCTCCCTCAAAATTGCACTTAGATGCAATTCTTCTGCCTAGTAGCACTTAGATGTTTTTGAGGCATGAAGACTTCTTTACAAGTGAGAGCTCTTGAGGTAACCTAACTGGACTGGTAAAATATTGCACTTAAATCCATTTGGACCTTGTGATCGAATGTACTTTTTGTACATTTCCAAACAGCTCACGAGGAAATCTGCACAACCAATGAAGGAGTCATGTATCGTATTGGAGACCAGTGGGATAAACAGCATGACATGGGTCACATGATGAGGTGCACATGTGTAGGGAACGGTCGTGGAGAATGGACGTGTGTTGCCTACTCCCAACTCCGAGGTATGCTGGCTTATTAATGAAAGCATTTGAAAGAGCAAAAACGTACAGAGAGACAGACTTTCATGTGAAATCTTGTACTTCTCCAAAAGCAGAGGAAAAAGTATGCAATGCCACTCGAATAGCTTACTGTGCTGGAGAATTTTGTCACTTCTGGCGCAGCTGTCACGGTGGCTCACATCCGTATCTTAGCTTCTCAGTAGACAGAGATTGGAAGGATTGTAGTTCCAGGCCAGCCTGGGCAAAGAGATAGCTAGACTCTATCTCAAATAAGTCAGGCACCATCATCTCAAATAAGATGATGCACCCTTGTGGTCCTAGCTATGTGGGAGGCAAAGGTAGGAGGGTCACAGTTGCAAGGCAAGCATGTAAGACCCTATCTGAAAAAATAATTAAAAGAAAAAAAAGGAGGTGTGGCTCAAGGGATTAGAGTACCTGCGTTGCAAGTGTGAGGCCCTGAGTTCAAAGACCAATTTATTGCCAATAAATAAATAAAAATGCTGGCACAGCAATTCTGGGTCTTTGAAACATTTCCAGGATGTAAGTACTTAGGCTGAACCAAAAAGAAGATCAAAGGCAAAGAAAAAAACACCAAAATTTTATACTTTTACGTTTAGATTATGCCCTGGATTCTAGAAAAGATCAGATCACTTTTTTTTCTATAAAGAAAAAAAATCCTGCAATTCAAAAATGAGATCCTTGCAGATCCAAATTTAAGAAGACAAATATGTAGAGAGACTAAATTCCTTTGTTCAGATTAGTTTCCCCCTGTGAACCCCAATATACATAACATATGTATATGATGAAGAATTGTTGATTTATTAAATCTATTTTAGTTTTGCATTTCTTTGATTTGAAAAGTAATATTTGGGTAGAACTCTGAGTTAACAAGTACTCCACATAGCTAGTCTGTAGATATTGGCTTGAAATTGCTCCTTTTGTGGCGGAAATGATCCAGGAGTAATGTAATTATATATGATGTTGCAGAACTGAAAGGAACCTTAATAAGGTGTGTAGAACATTTCATTTTTGAAAGGAGGAAGCTGAAATCCAAACAGGGAAAGTAATTTCCTTAGGATCTCTCAGAGAGTGAAGAACAGAATGGACAGAATTGTTTTTTTTTTAGTTTTACACAAATTCTATAGATATCATTTGATTCCCCAAATCCAGTATCTCCTCCTCCCCATTCCAGAGACCAGACTGCAACACTGTGCTGGGTGCTGTATAAATATGTTTAATCACATTATTATAACAAGCAGAGATCTAAAGGAAATTCCCAACTAAGCAAGAACGCTACAGAGGTGCATTTGTTTCCAAATTGGTTTTTCACAGGAAGTTGTATTTTACCCCATTATTTGTGTATACTGGGGGTAGGGGTAGTGGTGAATTGTGTTATTGACTGGACTCTGAGAAGCAGGTAAGTTATTTTAGCAGAGGGTGTTGGTAACCAAGTGGAATAACTCTATGTTGGAAAAGTATGATTTCTTTCATTGCATCAGTGACACTTGAAAAGTTCCTCACCCATCCAACTGTCTCCTAAACAGACCAGTGCATCGTGGATGACATCACTTACAATGTGAACGACACATTCCACAAGCGTCACGAAGAGGGGCACATGCTGAATTGTACGTGCTTCGGTCAGGGCCGCGGCAGATGGAAGTGTGACCCCGTTGGTAAGTAGCCCCTCTCTCTGGGTGACTTTGAATATGGAGAGTAATTAGCCATTTTCAGATAAGGAATACTCTCTGTTGCTGTGTGACTGAAGTTCATTCCAGACTTGGCTCAGTTGTTTGCAGAGTTTTGCAAAATCTTTTCTGTCTTTGCAGACCAAGATATAATCTTAATAGTGGTAATCATCTGATGTTTGCTGGATTTGGTGACAAATGCAGGATTACTTTAGTTGAGTGGAGTTCTTTGGTTCTGAATCATAATGATAGTCATGTTAGGAAAAGGAACTTTCCTTTGTTTTTACAGTTATGTGGCAAAGGATTATGCCAGTAAATACCTACCTCTGAAACACTAGTTTTGGCTGCCCTTTACAGTGTAACTGAAAAAAAAGAATGAGGTTCAGCCTTAAAAGAGCTGCATTACCAGCTCTTCAGAGTTTAAGATAATTCAATAATATCCCTTTGCTGAAAGAGGCAAGTTGTTCACTGGGAACACAAACTGTACTGATTTGTTTGGCCTGAGATTGCCAAAGCTGAGAGGGACTATGAGGTTTTCTTAGAAGCTGGTTAGCATTTACTCATAGTTAAAATCTAATTAACTTACATAAAATCAGCTCCTCTGAATTTTGAAGAAGGTAAAGTGAAATTATTGCAGCTTTTCCCCTTGTTATTCAAATAGTAAGTTGAATCACATTGATATGGATAAGTTATAATATCTAATTTTTTCAAGTTAATATTCAGATTATAAATATATATGAAGTCTTGTTACATTTTTATTTAGAAATGCTATCCTTTTAACTAATTAACATTGCATGGGAGTACCAGTTTGTTCATTAATCTATTGAATGAATCCTGGTTGTTTCCCAGTTTTGATAATTATGAGTAAAGCTATGGCAAACATTAAAAAAAATAAATTATCTTTTTTTTAGGAAACTAAATACCTCTTCCAATGGGTATGTTTTTTACTAATTTTCCTGTAAGGATGTGAACAAAACATTATTTTAGCCAGCCATCGGTGGCTCACACATGTGATCCTAGCTACTTGGGAAGCTGATACTGGGAGAATCACAGTTCAAGGTCAGCCTAGGCAAACAGTTTGTGAGACCTCATCTCCAAAATAACCAGAGCAAAATGGACTGGAGGTGTAGCTTGAGTGGTTGAGTTCCTGCTTTGCAAGCATGAATCCCTGAGTTCAAACCCTAATGCTCCAAAAGAAAAAAATAAAATTTAACATGTTTTTATAAGAACAGTTGCAAATTTCTATTCAAATTTGAGAATGTATGCTGAAATTAAGTCTGTAGTTTTAAGTCTGCAAGGCAATTTTATCTTTTGCTTGTAATATTTTCTAGACCAATGCCAGGATTCAGAAACCCGGACATTTTATCAAATTGGAGACTCATGGGAGAAATATGTGCATGGTGTCAGATACCAGTGCTACTGCTATGGCCGTGGCATTGGGGAGTGGCACTGCCAACCTTTACAGACCTATCCCGGTAAGCAGCTGCGAGATTGCTTATTAAGAACTGTTGATGGGTATAACAACAGGGCAACACCAGTGTTTAATACTCAGGCCTAACTTGGGGCCCTCTCTTGACCTTCCTCTTTTCATATTGCTATCCAATAATCAGTTGAATTTTTGATTAAAATGATTTTCCTTTCTTCTCTCATTAAGCAAAAGGTATGGGAAGCTAGGAAGGGTACATGTTTATAATTTTGTTTCCTATACTATGGAACCTTCTGTTAGCTTAAAACACTCAGGTAATTTCATCTTATATCCATACGTGGAAATAAGAACTGTGTAGTGAGTTATTCTGGGAGTAAAGGATTGAGGTTCTATATTGTGATTCTTAACAGAGAAATTGGATAGAGAGAGGATATGAAATATAAAATGGAGCATGTATTAATTCACCATGTCATCAAAGCCCTCTTCGTGTCAAACTTTTCATTTGTTTGTTTGATGAGTTTGAATGTGGAACAAAGTATCCTGGGCCAAGAGTTGAGTAACTTGGTCAACTCTGCCTACACAGTTCAAACACCCTCAAATGTTTTTTGATATTTTTTTCAGGTCAAAGAGACATCATGCCTAGCTGTAGGTGTTAATACATTTCTGGGAAAAAATGAAATTAAAATTCAGTGAGTGATTATAATGAAGCATGTTGAATTAAGAACGTCTTATTAGACAGAAGTTAGTTGAGCAACTACTGGGATGCAAATAGATAATCTATTAACTTTAGACATAAACCATGGCCTACATTCAGAGGCAAAAAATTTTAGAAGTGTCAAAATCTGCCATGTGGCAGAAGTTAAGTCATTCACTCCATAACATGGTAAAAGATGCACTACCACAGAGAACAAGCCATGGGAGCCTTTTGGTCTAAAGCAATGTTAGCCAAAGCTTAGGTTCCAGCTCTGAATATGCCGGTAAAGCTTCATTCCTCTACCTCCTCATTTGTAAAATAGGGAGACAGTAGCTAATTACCTTTTAGTGCTTCCCACCTCTAACACTCTGACAATCTGTGATCCTAAATACCACCCACCCACATGCATCCTTTGTATGAACTTGGAAGATCCTACTCTTCCCAACCCTTATACACTGTGAAGGCTGGGGAAAGTGGCTTTGCTTTCACAGGCTTATGACACAGATTGACCTACCTTTTAAGTTGTATTTCTTGGTGAATTTAGATGTAGGAATCACTGAGTTTTTAAATTTAATATTGTTTTAAATCTGATTCAGAAGTACTATAAATTCTGAAAGTATGTAATTGGGTTGGATAGTGGTTTTTAAAATGATGCAGTTAAAGGTTAGAAGTGTTAAAGAAATACTCTCTTATTTCCATATTTATGATTGCTATTGGTATGGCAATTTGTTGAGAATTATTTTCTCTTGAGACCTTTTTTCTCTTTTAAAATAAGCTTATTTATGTAGCTCTTGCTGGGAGCACTGAGGCAAACCTGTTAGAGAAACAATAATCTGGAAGGGAAGGAGTCCCTGGTTGGAGTTTTACAACTATTGACTTTGTTCCTACTTTCTAAAAAGAACAACAGCAAAAGCCCATTGAGCACAGAAGAGATATCAGAGAGAGGAGCTGGGTGCCTGACCTCAGACATGCTGTTTGGTTCTTATCTATCTGTCTGTCTGGTTTGCTTAATGGATCATGCTTAGTGTGGGGGCTTTAAGAGTGTGGAAAGAAAGAACAAAGGAACAACAGATTATCAATAGATTGGCTCTGAGCCTTGCCCTGTTTGCTCTTCCTACAGAGGAGTTGATAGAGTTGTTCAAACTAACAAAAGATAAGAAGCATTTGGTTTGTCAATAGCAACTAGGAAAGCTCAGCTCTCAGCAAATTAGAGAAAAAAGGACTGAGTCAAAAAATCATGAATGTTTAACTTCTCCAGGGTCATCATTACTGGAAATTACTCATTTGACCTTATTTTAAACTGATTTTGAAAGTGTAGACATTGTATCATATCTTTTCTTACTAGTTTATTATTAGTTTGGTCATACTCAACAAGATTGTAAAGATTTCATAGTGGTTATTGCTAGAATATGGCAGAAAAGTTAATTGAAAAGTTAGGCCAGTTAATCAATATCAAAAGTATTATCAAGCCAGGTATGGAGGTCCATCCCTATAATCATAGCACTCAAGAGGCTGAGGATCATGAGTTTGACCTGCTTGGGCTAAACATTGCTGTTTAATACAATTCCCTTAAAGATGGCTTGTGTAAGCCTAAATTCTCACAAGATGGAAGTTTAGACCCATGCTGAAATCTTATGAAGAAAAAGAAGCTTCTGTAGTTTTGTAGTGGCTTCTTTCTTTTTCCCTTCCTTCCCCTTGGTCACCCTCCTTGTGTCCTTGTGGACATAAGAGTGTGAATAGTCTTAAGAGTAGACAGTGAAGGTCATTTTTATTGTCCTTTTAGAACTTACTTTTCATAGACATTTAACCATCATAAACTTTTCTCCCTCAAAATTATTGGCACACTAAATAAAATGCATGTTAGGTATCTTCTTACCTTTAATATATTATAGTAGAATTTTTTAAAGGACCAATATTTAAACAACCTTATGTGGGTTATTAGAAATGACTTTAAGACCTGATACTCCTATTTTTGCTGATTTATGTGGAAGCACTTTAGTGCTTTAAATTTTAAATCTCTAAAGTGTTGTTTAAGTATTTATCTTGTAAAAATCGTTTCTGTGAAAATTTTGATGAACAAAAGGGATGATTGAAGAGGGTCAGTTGATTAAAACAAGCATCCTGCATGTTCTGTGAAATACATGCCATTTTAGAATAGAAAACTGAGAATCTGCCATGTGAGTTTTGACATTTATGTGCCTTGGAAGTGTGTGCATTAATAAAATTAAGATTCAAAGATTATTTCATAGTCTTGGACTTTGAATTCTTCTCATTGTGGAAGTGAATATATTATTCTAGCATCTTTGAGTCCGTGGAGGTCCACAAGTTACATAGTTGTTCTGTTACAGAAAACTTTAAAAGATAATTTAATGGCTAAGATAGGTAATAATTAAGTTTTTAAATCTATCTTTTCCCTAAGAGCTTTCAGAAAGCTTAAATCTGTTAATAGTCTAGAGCAGTGCCTGATTAAACATACAAAATATTGCTCTGATAATGTCAGTGAGAAATTCTTGGAAAGGTTGTTACAAGGAGCTAGTACAAATAAACTTTGATTGTCATTATAAAGAATGTACTGTTTGAGGAAAAATAGTTTTCTGTTCTATTATAAACATAAATTTTTCAGCTGCTTCATTATTATCCTAAATGGAGTCTACTGCATTAAAAAATTGACTCCTTCCCTTATTTTGCCTTTTTTAAAACAAAAGAATCCAATACATATTTAAAATTTGTGAGCAGTCGTATCTTTTAAGATGTGACAAATATTGAATTTAGTATATACTTCGGAATGTCATTTCGGTTGGTAACTACTTTTAAAAAAATATTTGACTAATGATGTGATTTTAAAGCATGCTTCTTGATTAAAAGTAAAACTAGACTTCTTTTCCCAAACCAATAGAATACTTAAACTGATGAGAAATAAAACTGGGTCTTTAATTATTAGCTTTGTCTATTTGTCCTAGTTTCTAACCTGTTTAGAAATGTTTGTTTTGCATCATATCGTACAGCCTTTGGAATGTTGTTTCCCTCTTAGTAGATTCATTCCTGATGAAAACCTCCCCAAATGAGAATTAGCTTTAAAAGAGGCTTAATGTAATCAGTAAGTGAAGTTTGCATTATGAATTGCATGGTTTGTGTTAGTGTGGTTTCACAATTGTCTAGTAATTCTTACTTTGAAAATAGAGAAAAAGAAAGCAGGCTAAGAGACATTTAAATTTTTAAATTTTTTTAAATAAACAAATTCTCCTTGTATTTCTCATGGGACAAATAATAGTTATTAGCACAAAAGCATCTGTTGCATTGATTTCCAATGTCAAAATGTAAAAGGTTTAGGTAGGTTTAATTAAGTAAGCCCAGTCATTTGTATTGTACTCGTATTTACTGATAAACAAACTTTCCTTAATGATGGCCATCCATGTAGATTAAATTTTAACCTGAAGTGAATGAATACCCAACATAAACAAATCCCCCATTTTCATTTTTAGGTACAACTGGTCCTGTCCAAGTAATTATTACTGAGACCCCCAGCCAGCCCAACTCTCACCCCATCCAGTGGAATGCACCAGAGCCCTCTCACATCACTAAGTACATTCTTAGGTGGAGACCTGTGAGTATCATCTTAGAACCCTTGGAATGTTGAGGCTCCTGGCCTTCACAGGTTATGATGTGGATTTTTTTTTTTCAGCCAACAGATCTGATTACCTATCTAAATAGTATTTATATTTTCTTAATGACCAACCACTATGTGGTCACTTAAATTGATATGTAGATTTGGTTAGTATAGAAGAAATTAGATCTTTGTTCAACACATGTGAGTATTTAATAATGGTTACCTTTCTATAATGCTGCACATAATGCATTTAAATTGAATTCATGCTTGAAAAAATAGCATCTTTGGGATATAGATGTTAAGAAAAGAATTTCAGAAATTAGATCTTTATGTTAGAAAGATCTTCTTAGCAAGAATCTAGGAATAGTAATGCTACAACTATTCTCACCCAATGTGGGAAGAGAATCTAATTTTCTGATTTGCAACTCCATGAAAGGGAAAAATTACTGGTATAATTTTCATAAGTTAAACTATTTTTCTCTTTGGCTTCACTTCTTAAGAGATCATTTTTAAAACTTTACTTTTGTCCTTTGAAATGATTTAGACAGAACGGAAAGAGGTAAAGGGAGAGAAGTGCCAATGTGGAATGACAGTTGCTTTGTTTTAAAGAATGAGTTCTGAGATTATCTCTGTGTCTTGAAATTGAAGGAGTCATACTTAGAAAGATTTTAGTCTTTTAAGTTTGTCTTTCTTCTGAAACCTGCTCTGTTATAACTCCAAAGTTCATGACATAATTTGAGAAACACTATTTTAGACACAGGAGAAAAATGCCTGTTTTTAATCATTGCCATCACATTCTAAGCAATCTAAAACCAAAAACATTTGACTAACTCATGCAGTTGAATTTAAACTCTTCTGGAAAAATTCAAGCTGTTAAAATCATTCTTTGTCTTCTTTCTCCCACTTGTGTAATGTTTTCAGTGAGCAATCAGTTGCAGACATTGATATCTGGCAATGCTTGTCAACCGTACCAGTGACTTTTCCTCCAGTACCTTCTGTCTCTCATCTTTTCATCTTATTACCAATTTTATTTACTTTAAACTTATTTCTGATAAATGGAGACAATAAAGGTATAAAATATACATTGAGTTGGAAATTTTTCAAAGAGTGGCACTGATAAACTTCTTTGAGATTTTTAACTAAAGAATTTCAGTTTCTCTCTCTCTCTTTTTTTTAAACGTTTTTACATTTACTCACATGTGTATACGTTGTTTGGGCCACCTCCCCCATCCCCAATTCTGGGTAAAACCTGTTCTGCCCTCTTATTCTCTGATTTCAGTTTTTTTCTTAATGTATGCCACCTGAGTTTATTCTCTGCTGCTTTTTCTTCTGATAGCTAACTGAAAAGCTCACAGTGTATAGCAGTTTGTTGCTACTTTGGAGCTAATTGCAATGACTAATTTCAAAATTTCTTACAGTGTCTTTGGGTTAAAATTTAAATTTAAAGAGTACTTAGGATCACTTTCATTTTCCCCCAAAATATAAATAGGCACTTGAACACTCAAATTATAGACAAACTGGTTGATTGGACAACATGAAAAAATTTACTGGGCATAAAAAATGTATTTTGATACTTACACTGCTTTAGAATATTTACACTTAAAAGGATTCCATCTTGTTTGAAGTCAGAGTTTCTTTTCCACTCATTCTATTGCAATGAGTTTTGTGACCTGTGACATATTAATGAAGTCACATTAATGGACAGGATATGAAAATGAAAACTGGAAGCAAAAGATTAAATAAACTGAAATCACATTCTTCCATGGTCTTTTCTAAAGTTGGCTAACCACTCTTGAAAGAATGGTTCATTTCCAAGAGTGAGTCACAAAACCAGACCCATTGAGCCTTGTGTGTGAAGCTCCAGGGTCTGAGTCAAAGCAATATTATGCCTTTGGATGTTTTTGCAAGGCCAGACCTAGAAGTGTCTCACCAAGTTAAAAGACAGACTGTGTGGCCTTTTCCCACTTTAGAGAGAAACTTATCTCTGCTGTGAAAAAATAGGGAGAGGGAAAACCTAGGGTCTTGCTATTAAGTAAATAATCTGTCCAAAGGAAAGGTGTTCATGGATTGGCAGAAGGCTTAAGTGGTAAGAGCACCTGCCTAGCAAACGTGAGGCCCTGAGCTCAAATTGCAGTACCACTTGTAAAATGGAAGCAATAATACCATCACCTTTGGGTAGGAGGCTGGATGATGAAGATTAGTGGGAACAAGCAAGCAAAACAGTGCCGAGCATGGCACGTGGCAAACTAACAACAACTATTCATTCTATCAGTAATTATTAAAATCAACACACTCAGGCCAGGTGCCAGTGGCTCACGCCTGTAATCCTAGCTACTCAGGAGGCAGAGATCAGGAGGACCAAGGTTTGAAGCCAGCCCAGGCAAATAGTTCACAAGACCCTATCTCAAAAATACCCATCACAAAAAGGGCAGGTGGAGTGGCTCAAGGTGAAGGCCCTGAGTTCAAGCTCCAGTACCACAAAAAAAAAAAAAAAATAATAATAATCAGCATACTCAGGTTCAGGAACCTGACATGATTCCATTTCTCCAGGACCTTCCTGCAGAATGGAGCAGCAAAGGTCCCTCTTTTTCTTGGAAGATTGTAGAACATCATCTCTGAATGTTCATCCTCATAAACATTTGTGTGGTATTTTCTTTTAATTTCAATTTCCAGAAAAATTCTGTGGGCCGTTGGAAGGATGCTACTATTCCAGGCCACTTAAACTCATACACCATCAAAGGCTTGACCCCAGGTGTGATATATGAGGGGCAGCTCATCAGTATCCAGCAGTACGGCCATAGAGAGGTGACACGCTTTGACTTCACCACCAGTGCCAGCACACCTGTGACCAGTACGTACCCAGAATCCTGGGGCTGGATCCTCGTTGTGCAGACTTGGGTTCCTCTCAGGAGTGCTCTATTTATCAATTTGAATGCACTTGCATTTTTAAAATAACGACATTGTGAACATTCTAGACAACTGAAGGTCTGCTTTTCCTTTTCTGTGATGCTCTAGGCAACACTGTGACAGGAGAGACAACACCCTTTTCTCCTGTTGTGGCCACTTCTGAATCTGTGACTGAAATCACCGCCAGCAGCTTTGTGGTCTCTTGGGTCTCAGCTTCTGACACTGTGTCAGGATTCCGGGTGGAGTATGAACTGAGTGAGGAGGGTGACGAACCTCAGTACCTTGGTGAGCTGAATGACAGGTTTGGAAGAACTGTTGACAGATGTCCTCTCCCAAAAAGGAGCTAGTCTCTGGAGCTAGTCTACAGCTTAGACTGAAGAAGGTCCTTCCATAAAAGGAAGGAAGGAGCTGGCCCTTTCTAGACCATCCTGGATTAAGAGTCCCCTCACACTGTTCTGGTCCTGATGCTGCTGCGTTATGCCTTGGTCTGGGCAAAGGTCTATAAACAGTTATTTTCTTCATGGAAGTGATTACCAGTATGAGGATTGCAGCTGACAATGTTAGCTTTTAGGGGCGCACAGCACCTTAATATATGCTTTCCAAATTCCTATGGCTAGGAACTTTTAAAAAGTTTACTGCACACAACTGTGTGACCAGTACCCAGATCAAGATAAAGACTCTCCTATCACCCCATCGCCTTCCAACCATTGCTGCTACCCTGACTTCTAACTATGGAGTGCTGTTTATAAAAAATTAGGGGTGGATTATAAAAATTACACATATTTAGAGAGAAAATTTGGAAGATAAAAGAACTATTCCATAGTGCACTGATAATTGCTGGCTATTTGTTAGTACACTTCCTTCTAGTCTTTTTCCCTCATGAACATAATTTTTTTTAATAGGTTGTAGAGGCATTGGCTTGGTCTGGCTAGTAACCTTTCTTTTTTATTTTAAAGATCTTCCAAGCACAGCCACTTCTGTGAATATTCCTGACCTGCTTCCTGGCCGCAAATACATTGTCAATGTCTATCAGATATCTGAAGAAGGAAAGCAGAGTTTGATCTTGTCTACTTCACAGACAACAGGTATATGTGTGCTACATGGTACTCCAAGAATCTTTTTTTTCCTACACTTCGGAGGCTGAGGGAGGAGGATCTTGATTGAGTTCAAGACTAGCTTGGACTATTTGTAAGACCCTGTCTCAAAAAAAAAATAGGAAAAAAATTCTTTTTCTGTAAAGCATGACTGGTAGCAACTACAGTTCTCACTTTCTCCTTTTACTCTGTGTTAGCACCTGATGCTCCTCCCGACCCTACTGTGGACCAAGTTGATGATACTTCCATTGTTGTTCGCTGGAGTCGACCCCAAGCACCCATCACAGGTTGGTTGAACCTTGTGCTTTGGCTTCTATGTTAATCTTGATGTCACAGGTGTGGAGGGAACAGATTCTGACTACGGATCTCCCACATAATTGTTAGAGATTTATGTGTATGTGTGTGTTCAGATCTTTCCACTCTACTTTATTATGGATCAGTTCCCCTCTAATTCACTTTACCAACTTCCTACACACACACACACACACACACACACACACACACACACACAGATAGGACCTGTAAAGCCAGCTCCAGCTCTTTGACTTATTGAAGCAAGCATTCCCAGGGTGGCACAGGTATTAATATTCCTGAATACCTCCCTCTATACCTTCCTGTCAAAGAGGGGACTGAGTTACCTTGACAAACCTCATCATTGAAGTTCTCAAAAGACACAGACAGTACTAGACAACTCTGTTCAGTCTGGTTCATTAATTGCTTCCATCATGCAGAGTTTCAAGACGAGAAATCAGCGTAATGTGACTACTTTCACTCGAGGACTTCTCTAATTGACATTTATTAAGGTTCTTGATACTTTAAGGATAATATTGTTAAAAGGATTGTGTGACTGTTCTAATTTTATCTTTGTGCAGAATAGTCATTATCATAAGTGATAACAATGAAAGAGACAAAAAGACCTTGCTAACTCTTAACTAATCAAATGAGATACCAAGGGTTATTAGAAAGGGGAGGGTGTACTATTCATTTATTCTCTGTTTCATTAAACAGTGTATCTTACCTTTCTCATGCAACTGCAGGGTACAGAATAGTCTATTCACCATCAGTAGAAGGCAGTAGTACAGAACTCAACCTTCCGGAAACTGCCAACTCTGTCACCCTCAGTGATTTGCAACCTGGGGTTCAATATAACATCACTATCTATGCTGTGGAAGAAAACCAGGAAAGCACTCCTGTTTTCATTCAACAAGAAACTACTGGAGTTCCACGTTCAGGTAACTTAAAAAGACACTTCCCCTAGTGTCTGATCCCTTAATGCTTACCTGGTTACAGCTTTCACCTCCTTCTGTGGGAGAACAAAGCCTTCGTACATTGCGTTCTTTAGGCTCCTGGGAGGGCTGGAGGTGTTAGGCTAAAGGAGAATTGTCTCTGAGGAAGGGCTGCTTTGTCTCTGTCAGCAGTTCTTACATTTAAGTAATCTTACTCATTTTCCCCCAAACTTGTGATAGTCAGCTGAAATGTCCACATTATAAAGTAACTTATCAAAGATAACTATTGGCCTTTCTAGTTTAAAAACTGATACCATCAAATCTTATTTTTCCCCAGAAGCTTAGGAGTCATTCATTTCATCCTTTTCTCCTAAGTATTATAAAAAAAAACTACAGTTTTTCTTCAGTTATCTTGAATTTGAGGGTTTTTTTTGTTTGTTCATTTGTTTGTTTTGTTAAGTTTACTTTTATTTTTATTTCCCACTCTGAATAGACACTTCCTGTACTGGAAACTCATGCTTACCTATGTATTTCAGAGTATAAGATAAGCAGTACAACTATGAGAATCTATGCAAAAAAACCCCATATTTTCTGAATTAAGATACAAAAGTTAGCATTGCTTTGGAATGAGTGCCTCTAAGAAGTACCTAACACACTCAGGAAACTGGCTTTTTAGCAATTATCTTCAACGGGAATTGCAAATGACCGGTTGTCTCTTGTCTGTTAGATAAAGTCTCACCTCCCAGGGACCTGCAGTTTGTGGAAGTAACAGATGTGAAGGTCACCATTATGTGGACACCTCCTGATAGTGCAGTGACCGGCTACCGTGTGGATGTGATCCCTGTCAACCTGCCTGGGGAGCACGGGCAGAGACTGCCCATCAGCAGAAATACCTTTGCTGAAGTCACTGGGCTGTCCCCTGGGGTCACATACTACTTTAAAGTCTTTGCCGTGAACCATGGGAGAGAGAGCAAGCCTCTGACAGCACAGCAGACGACCAGTATGTCCTACTCCTTCCTGTCTGTCCTTTTGCCCCCATCTCCAAATTCTCCACTCTCGTCTCACCTGTGAAGGAGAGTAACGTGCCATTTGCTCAAGGTTTCCAGCTTAGCAATAGTAAAATAACCCAGCTCATAGGGGAATGTGCAATGGACATAAATCACATTAAACATGGAACCAAAACTCAGACAAGTTCCATGAAAGCTAAATGGTAATCCATTTCCAATACATGTGTACTACTAGAGTGGTATTATGAATGGAGAATTTAAGAGAATCTAATTTTTCTTTTGCTGTTGGAGATATGTACAAATAATTTGAGTATTTTTTTGGTGTAACTAAATGTATAGATCAGAGTTAAAATTAGGCTATTCACACTTTTATAGTAGAATTTAAGAATGGTAATTGCTGGGCTGGTTCAGTGGTACAGCCTTACCTAGCACACATGAGGCCCTGGATTTAATCCTCAGCACCAGAAAAACAAACGAGTAAGCACGTAGTATTATTGGCCACCAGGCCATTTTCTCAGTTCTTTACAAGCATTACCCTTATACGCAATGTTCATTCTAGTCTATAAAGGAAAATCTCATTATCTTATTGGATGTATGAAAAACCTGAGGGCTTTTAAAATTCTGCAGCTTGTGAGGTCACAAGAGCTAGGAAGTGATACAGGTGGCTCTACAACATGCCTTTTTGACTCCAGCATCCATGGTCTCATTTTCTGTACTTGACTGCCTTATGAAGGTTTCTTCCATCTGAAAGGTGTTTTAAAATCCCGTGGGGAACCCCAGTCAATTAACAGATAGGAATTGGCTTCTCTCATTCCCACAAGGAAACTGCTAGCTATCATACTCAAAAAGAAAACCCACAATTTATGTGATTCTTTCTGAAAGCACAATCTCACCAGTGTCCTACTGTGAGTCTGAGGTTCAGAGTGTATGTTGTAATTATTGTAATGATTGTCTTAGCTGAAGTATGCAAAAATAACTTCTATTTCTCCAGCAAAGGATGAGTCATTCAACAAATGCATAGAATATTGCTTTTCATCCATCTGGAACTTGCTCCTTGCCTCCATTTTATTGAGCTTGTCCCTCTTCCCTTAACCTTTTTGACTCAGAGCACAGTAAATTGTGGGGTTCACAAGTATTTGTTTTTGCCTTAAAAAAAATTCACTAAAATGTAACTATTATTTCTGAGAATTATGGGAAAGTCTTATTGGAAAATAAGACTTTCCAAAAGATGATAGTCAAGTGAAAAAGGTCAACAATTTCTCAGAATTGATATAGAGTTTTGGCAAAGTTTTTCATAGCACTAAGTCTCTGAAGGGCTCAATTTTTCTAGGACTTAGACTTTTATTTTAGTTTCAAACTTAATGAGAGAAAACATAAGAATAGTCAAGTTTTAGGATTTCAGTGTGATAATTACTGATCTAAATACTTCTTGACATTTTTATCTTTTTTTTTTCCTAGAACTGGATGCTCCTACTAACCTCCAGTTTACCAATGAAACTGACACAACTGTCATGGTGACTTGGACTCCACCTCGGGCTCGGATAACAGGGTACCGATTGACTGTGGGCCCAACCCGAGGAGGCCAGCCCAAGCAGTACAATGTGGGGCCCTCCGCCTCTAAGTACCCAGTACGGAATCTGCAGCCTGCATCTGAGTACACTGTAACTCTCGTAGCTGTGAAAGGCAACCAGCAGAGCCCCATAGCCACTGGAGTCTTTACTACTTGTAAGCTGAAATTTTAAATGTCTTTTCCGCTTTTGGAATGTCATAGGTTCTTAACGATACTTACATTTTCTGTTCTTCTTCCTTTTTTTTTCAAGTTAACTTAAAAATCTTAGTATATAATTTAAAGCAATGCTATTAAAAGGTGGTCCATGGCCTGGCTGCTGGTCCATAAAGTGTTTATTACTGATTTGTCACAATATCAGGAACTCTTGCCAGAATGTGCATCACAAAACATGTTCTTTGCTTTGACTGATCATTTTCTAAAGCAAGATTTTCTTGGTGAAGGAAACAGTATGTTAATTTGCATGTTCTCAGACTCTTTACATCCTCCTAGGCCAGCACTTTGGATAACGAAGTTTTTAGCATGATATTGCTAGAACAATTGAATGCTCTGGTATAAAATGAATGTACAAAATACTAGTTAAGATAAAAAAAAATCAGCACCTATGTCTCCATCCTATTACTTTGAGCATCAAATGACAGTTATACATGAAGAAAAAAACTACCTTTGGATTGGATGGACATCAAGTAATAGAAAAGACGAAGGAAATGGTTTCTTTAGAGCATTGGATGCTTCTACAGAACAGGAAAGCTTCTTCCTCTTTTAAAATTTCCTTTAACACTATTGAAATTCCAGAGAGAAAAAATACAGTTATTTTTGGTCATATCTATCCTCTCTCAACATTTTATAGGCAATGGTCTTAAATCTCCTACATAGCTACATCACAGTAAAGGCCTCTGTTCACACTGTTTCTAGTAAGTACATGCCATTTACATTACACAGTTATGAGACTCCTTGTTTCTAGCTGAACATTATTTGTTATTTTCAACTTGACATTTTAAATTATGGAAGCCCTTAATAGAAGCACTTTTTCCAGTATTTACTATAGCCATATACTAGTTTGCCGTTTTCCAAGAGCTTTCAACAAGTCTTCTTCTTTGACTAATTTAAAAATATGGATGTTCAAAAACATTCACAAAAAATTGACATGCTTAGTTTGTAAATAACTCTGGAATTTATTTTCCAAACAAAATTCTTTATAAACTTTTTCCCATAGGAGTCCATAATTTACCAAAAATTACTCCCTTGTATAAAGTTTGGACAGTAAAGATTTTTTCCTAAATAATTGTTAATCATAAGCAAATGAAGTCTGCTTTTAATTTGCAAGAAAGTTCACTTTAAAATTTTGCTATTTCATGTTAGATGGTTCTGAGATAGTTTAAAATCTTCTCTCCCGAAGTTAATGTCTATATTATTTGTAAAAGTCTACTTCTTATAAATGTCCTTCAGTGAATTAGAATGGAGATTTGGGGGCATGTAGCCTTTCAACAGATGTCTTTCATCTCTTAATTAAATGTGGTCTTACATAGTTGTCTTTTTCATTCCTCTTTTTTGGTTAAAGATTGTGTCTATAAAAGAAGGCATTTTTAATGATCATAATAATTAAGTCGAGTGGGTCAGTATAGGATATTTTAAGCACTTGGGGTCTTGGATATACATTTTGGATATTTATCATTAAACATTAAAGTAAAATAGTAAGACTGGTTTTATTAGATAAAGGTTGATTAAGATGGTGTATTGCACAGTGTACTTTCAAAAAAATTTGATGATTGAGGAAAAATAACAATGAAAACAGCTAAACCACGCTTAGATTTGAATAAACCAACATAAACAAGGAGTCATACAATTTTATTTGAACTTCAAGTACTCCCTTTAGCTGTAAACATCAACAGGGCTTGCATGTTTTTGAAATTACTTTGAGTTTCTGTAGCTTTTTTTTTTTTAACTGTCTAAGCTGGGAATAACTTCTGAGTTTTATAATTCATGCTAAATTCTTAAGAGCAAATGTGAGAAAAGTAAGGAGAATAAGCTATTTCTGGGGGAAAATTCAGCCTACTCTCTTATTGACAGGACATATTTTATTTCTTTAACAGCCAAGCTGTTCTTCACCTAACAAGACTTGCCAAAACTCATAACTCATGCTTACAGTCACATCCTTTGTTGACATCAGTTTGTGGGTTTGTGGTTTGGTGATTTTCCTGTAATGGGCTTCCCAGGCAGAGAGTATCATCTTAAACTTAGGAAGATTTTTAGCTCGCTGGCTCAAGCAATTGAAAGTTCCCAGTTTTAAAGCCCAGGACTTGTGAGGAGAATATAATTTGTGAAAAAGTTGCGGCTTTTACAGATGTTCAGTGAAAGAAATTGACTGTTTTTTGAATTGTTTCTTGTGGGCCATTAAAAATGGTCACTCAGGACTAGCCTAGGTGTATGGTATATGATTTCAGAGGCACTCGAAGGCACTGGGGTCACCCACCCTAGATACTTCCAATGCCATCAAAATAGCATAAAATAGCTCATTAAATCAGCAATATTTTAGTTCTTCCCTTAATCTCAACAAAGTAGCCTACGTATATATTTGATGTTTCCCGTACCATATTTTAAAAATAAGAATGAGATATTAAAATCCAGACTGAAAAAAATGGTGGAATTGCAATGTTGGGTCTAAATTTCCACATGGCAAAGAAAAAAATAATTGACTGTTCTGAATAGAGACTGGGGTCTGAAGACTTTTTAATCCCTGTTTGTGTGACTCTGGAGGATAATTCTTTGTCTCACCAGCTACTCATGATTTAGTATAAATGCATTTGGTAGAGATTTTCTAGCAGGAATGGAGTTTGGTTGGGAAATTAAGAGAAAGAAATTGTGAAGGCATAAATCAGAGCTATTAAGGCACTTGAAACCCTTGAACATTTAATTTACCCAACTCAGACATCTTGGCTTCTGAGACCTCACCTTTCTAAACTTAGAACAAGATTTGCAAAGTTGTATCTTAACTCTGTATACATGTCCCCTCTCTATTTTTTTAAAGTAGTATTTCATTAAGAGAATTAACAGTGGTGTCAGGATGCTAGGAGATACAAAATAAACTTTTGTGGTAATTCTAATTCTAGTGGTAGAACACTAAAATTTCTGCAGTATAATTATTTTGGATGAATAATCACATGTCTGAGGAATGAATCTTTAGAATTTAAAATGCATCCACAGTTTAGAGTTTCTCTTACTGTCACCAGAAATAATTGGCCATTGTTACAAAATAATTTAGCAGAAAGCTAATTTTTTTTATATTACATCTATAATTTCACCACTGTTAATGATTAAGAGATAAAATGGTCACCAGTTTATGGTGATCAGTTGTACATTTTCATAAGGGATTTTGTACTGATGATAAGAAAATTTGTTGTCACCAAACTCAAGTCCAAACAATGATGAAAAGACAGATCATGGAGTCCAAGGAGTTCAAAGGGACTTTGAGATCATCTAGCCCCTTGTTTTACTCACATATGATTTCCAGACCAGAGTTGGCGTTATCTGCCGTTTTGTCAGAAATGAAGATTCCCTAGCACCATGTTGGACATAGGTACAGGAACACCACCCATGTTTTTACCAGGTCTCAGGTGATTTGTGTGGCACATTAATGATTGAGAAATACTGTTTTCACTCAGTGAAGGAACTTATGCAGCATTTTTCATTTACTGGTTGGTTAAATTAATGTTTTTGATAAAAATGCTTCTTATCCACATGCTGTGCAATTGTCTCATTCCAAGATTTGATCACATGCATTGGTTTATTTCACAGTGCCACCCACAAGCTCCATTCCGCCTTATAACACAGAGGTGACCGAAACCACCATTGTGATCACATGGACGCCGGCTCCAAGGATAGGTTTTAAGGTAATTTGCAGATGTTCCTAATCTCTTGTAATATAGATGTGGTATGCCCTCAAGTTTCTACATGTGGTGGAAACAGGATGTTCAGGAGACCTGGGTTTTGCTACCTGCTCCTATTAGTACCTCAGAACCTTGAGGTCAAGGCACTTGTCAACCCCACAGAATTGCTGGAAGGATGGACCAAGGCGTTTCTCTTTTGTCAAGAAGAAAATATTAACATGGAACTGCTACTTCTTGTTTTATTTTATTTTCTCTGTTTCCCTCCCTGGTAGGGAAGTACATTTTTTTTAAAATATAGCAAAACACCATTTGATGTGTTGTTCTAAATAGGTGTCAAGAAGTTTACAGAAGCCAATTTAGGGGAGATTGTTAAACTCAGAGTCACTTAAAAATCACATTTTTATCCGATCACTTTCATCTCCACTTGTTTAAAGCCCGTGGGTGAATCTCTTAATAGAAGTTAAGATTGAGGTCTTCTCTTTAGATAACTGGAGTCATGTTCTTTAAAGTAATGATATTAGGGAGTTGATGAATACAAATGAATGTGTTTAGAAGAATTCTTTTCTTTGGTGTGGAGAAAGAAATAGTTATTATGACTGGAAATCAAAAGTAAGTCCCTGTGATTATTTTAAAAAATAGATCAAAGATCACTTCCTCTTTGAGATGCAAATGGCCATATTGATGACTTAAATATAAATATGCTACTTAAATATAAAGAGCCTTTTTGAAGATTGCCAATATACCTTTTCAATTTCCCTTAATAGTGCCATTCAGATTTTCAGAAGCCATACAGCATATGAAGGATTTCTCTAGAGTTGAATACTGTTTGATAACATGGTATTACTATTTTTGATACAGTCTTAAAAGGATTTGAAACTCTGGGCACATTCATTTTAACTCTTGTAAGATACCATTCTGCAGTTGAAGTTAGGAACATACTTCTTCAACAGTAGTGTTTTCTCAGTATAAAGTGCTACAGGGGCTGGTTCCTTTAAATGGCAACAAAAAAGTGAATTAACTGTGAATAACTCGTTATAGAGAGCACCTAGGGGGATTTCTTCTAGCATAAAGAATATAGAAATTAATTACCATGTCACACGAAGTCCCTGCGGATTTCTGGTTTATACTAGGAGGTTCTTTGTTCAGCAAAACAATACGTGATGACATTTCTCTAGAAGCTCCCATTATAAGCCACCCTAATGCCCTTTTGGAAGGTACCTTTCCAACCCTTGCCCTCCAAAACAGGGAACTTCTAACGAAATTTTTAAATAGAGCTAAAGCAAGTCCTCAACTCATTCCCTAGTAAAAGTACATTGTGCTTTTCCAAGGAGTTCACATTATATAAAGTATAACCACAACCTCTTGATAGTAACATAGCTCTGGAAATAGTTGTCCTTTGTGTTGACTTTATTTCCATCCTTCTAGCTGGGTGTACGACCAAGCCAGGGAGGTGAAGCACCCCGAGAAGTGACTTCTGAATCAGGAAGCATCGTTGTGTCTGGCTTGACTCCAGGCGTGGAATACACTTACACCATCCAAGTCCTGAGAGATGGGCAAGAGAGGGATATACCACCGATTATTAACAGAGTAGTGACACGTAAGAAGAGTTCATGTGCCTTTTTCTTTTATTTTATAGTTTTTAAAACTTTCACTTTTAAAAAATATCAGTATCACTGCTTACTTATGAGAATGCTAAACAGGAAATATTCCATCTCTACTTATTAGCTATTTCAGAATTTGGAGTAGCAAGTTCAATTCATGCCATATGCTCCATGGCATCAGAAGTGTTCTTTCCATGTTGAGAATATTTATGAACTGGCAAAGTAGAAGGAATTTCAATAGTACTGGCAAATTCAATACTAAACAATCTGTATCAAAGGATTACTGTCCACCATGTTTTCATAGTATAATTTTATATTTTTAATGATGGATCAAAGGAAGGAAGGAAGGAAGAAAGAAGGAAGGAAAAAAGGAAGGAAGCAAAGGAGAAGTGGGGAAGGAGGGAAGGAGAGATGGGAGGAAGAGGGAAGGGACAAAGGATAGAGGGAGGGAAAGAAGAAAAGAAAGAAGAAAAAGAAACTTTCCATAGGCCGAGTGTTTTGTGTTAGCTTTAACTGGTAATATAAAATTTTCTTTCTGCATAGCATTATCTCCACCAACAAACTTGCACCTAGAGGCAAACCCTGACACTGGAGTGCTTACAGTCTCCTGGGAGAGAAGCACCACGCCAGGTAAGTCTAGGATGGACCTGATGGCACTTACATGTAATACCTCCCCCAAGACAAAGATTTCAGAAATTGTGTTCTTTTCTAAGAAGGACAGGGTCCAAAGATAGGGTCCAAGTACTCAGCTTCCATAAGTAATATAGGAATACACGAGTCTACACCCTACAGTAATACACAGGGTGATCTTTGTTTTGTTTTGATAGGACCTCTCACTTGCTACCATGTAAGCCATTTTCTAAGTCCTTTTGCTTTTAGTGTTTTCTTTCTTTCTTTCTTTTTTGAAATAAGGCCTCATAATTTTGCACTGGCCAACCTCATACCATGATCCTCATACCTTCACCTCCCAAGTAGCTGGGATTAAAGGCATATACCACCACACCTGGCCCCACATAGGATGTTTTGATGCATGTTTACCCTAAGTCACAGGAAAGAGAACAATCATGTGTTAGACTGGGAAAAAGGCAGGCCTTTATACAGCTGTAAGGAATCATGAGGCTAGGAAAAAGCATTTTGGAAGGTCCTTTTTTTTTTTTTTTTTTTAAGTGTGTTAAAAGTTGCCAAATAGATAGCTGAAATCATACTATGTAGTTTTCCTTTTGTGAGTTATCCTAAGTTTGTTATTCACTGAAGTTTTACAAATGCAATTTTCCCTTGGTATTCATGGGGAATTGGATATACTAAAAACTGCAGATGCTCAAATCCCTTATATAAAATAGTGTTGAATTAGCTGATAACCTGCACATCTCCAATATAATTTTAATCATCTCTAGATTACGTGTAATGCCTAATTCAATGCAAATTCTATTTAAGTAGTTATTACACTGGGTTGTTTAGGGAACAATGATAAGAAAAAAGTCTGTTTGTGTTCAGTAAAGACAAATGTATTTGAGTATTTTCTATCTATATTTGTTGGATCCATAGGTGTGTAACCCATGGATTCAGAGTACTCACTATTTTGTCATGAGATGCATTGCATTACAAAAATCTTAGGGTGATTAGAGGCAGAAATAACCTTCATTTTACAGCATGAGAAAATTGAGACTCAGTAAAAAAATTGACATATTTTAAATACTACAGAACTGGGATTGTGACTTTTTAGACTCCTTCTTACACCCAAGATCACATCTTTGGAACGTCATTGGTTCTGTTTTTGTGTTTCTTCACTGATATTCAGAATCGGTGAAATATCAGAGAAAATTGGTGAAGGAATCCATGACTATTTTTAAAACTTTAAAAAAATGAAGCTGTTGTGTCCTTGTTCACACATATTTTAGAGTATGCAATCCTAAAATGCATAAAAGATAGCTATAGCAATATTCAGGTAGCATGATGTGCCATCAAAATGATAAGAAAGTTTAGATTTTTGTTACCTTTACCAAATCCACACAAAAGTCTCTTTAAATGAGACATGTTAATTTAAATGTAATTGTATTGTTTAATATTAAGTATACTGGAGAAACTGCTGTTGAGATATCACAATTCTAAATTAAGCCAAACAGAAGTTTCAACTAAAGTGGGCTATACTCATACCTGCTGTACTTAGTTGGAGGAGTATATTTATTATTTAACTGTTTCTTACTTTAAAGTTATTGTAAAAATCATTTCTTGCATAGTTCCTACCTTTGCCTGGACACACAGCTAAAGCAATTATATCTAGAGCTGATCAATCTATACAATCACACAAAATATCCTTTCTAATCTTCCTCTGAAGTAGAATGGTTTTGGTGAACTTTCTATCTTCTGTGGAAATACAACTTATGATGTAAGCCAAAGCAACACTATTTATACCTGAGATACTCTGATTTTGAGACTTTCAGCTGGTGAGTTTCATGCTTGTTGGCAGCTAGGTTATTAATCTCCAGTCTAATGGCCTGACCTGCCCATTCAGATGATCCCTAGCAAATGTGATGATATAAACATTAATTTCCCATCCAGTTAGATCTCCTTGTATAAGCCATTTCAGTGTTCGCAAAATATACTGCCAATTCCTCGTCTTTAGTAAGTTTAGCATCATTATTCTTTCTCTTCTTACTTTTAGCCTGGGCTGTAGATCTTTACTCACCATTGTATTTATTTGAATGATCCCTCCCCTCTTCCCTTTTGATGCCCAATCTTCATCATTCCTGAAGTTTTCAATAATTAGTATTGTTTCAAGTATGATCACTTTTGCTTCTCACTTTTTCCCATTTCTTGATTCTCTTCCTGAAAATTCCAAAGGTTCATACATTTAAATTTAGGAGCGCCTTCAGTGGAGGAATGTGCTTAGGTTGAGAAGGATTCCAGATTAGGCAGGAGAAATGGAATTCCTTAGCTGTCCTACAGATGGTCCATTAAGGAAAAGCAGGGTGAAATGATAATAGAAGGAGGGTGGAATTTGAAGACAGAAAAGTCTTTGCTAATCACTTCTCCTTTTTCCAAAATTCCTTTTTTTTTCTTTTTTAAAAGGTAGAATTATTTTATGTACATATTTGCATTTTGTACATATTATAATTTTTGTATATATTTATGGATAAGATAATTGAATGGATATGATGTGTAATGTTCAAATTAACATTTGTATTTTCTCAAACAGTTATCATAGCTATATGTTGGGTACTTTCAGACTTTCCAGTTATTAGAAATATATTATAAATTGTTGTAGACTATAATCACCTACTGTGCAAGAATACTAGAATTAATGCCTCTTACCTTTATTGTAGTACATTAGCCTCTCTGTATCCTCTTCCTTTTCTCTAGTTGACCACTATTCTACTCTCATCTACTATCAGATCAAATTTTTTAGCTTCCTAAAATGAGTGAAAACATATGGTATTTATCTTTCTGTACCTGGCTGATTTCACATATCACAATGTCTAAGATTTTCTTGACAATCAGCATCTTGATCAACCTCAAAGTGCTGGTGTAAGCATTTAATGATGGTGAATCCTCAGTTAATGCAGAGTCTTTTCCCCATTCTCTCTGTGGGTCCATCATCAGAGTCTACTTTAATGTGCTCTGGGTCATGAATATTGTGTATAGTAACTTTCTCCATTTTCTGTTTTCTCTAGATATTACTGGTTATAGGATTACCACAACACCTACAAATGGGCAGCAAGGAAGTTCTTTGGAAGAAGTGGTTCATGCCGATCAGAGTTCCTGCACTTTTGAAAACCTGAATCCTGGCCTGGAATACAATGTCAGTGTTTATACTGTCAAAGATGACAAGGAAAGTGTCCCTATCTCTGATACCATCATCCCAGGTAATAGAAAAATAAGCTATTATTCTCAGAGTGGCAGTTTCAATTAGAGAGGGGATTAGCATCTTAATCCCTAGATGGTTGAGTGTGTCAAATGTATCTGGGATTTAATTCCAACCTCCCAACTGCACTCTCCAAAGCCATGAAGTCAAAAGAAACTGTTTGGACAAAGGCTTGCTGTTAACACTGCTTTACTGTCTGTGCTTCACTGGGATGCTGTTTGTTGCGATGGGTATGTAATGGAGTGGCAACCATGGCATTAACTCTGTACTGTCTGCTCACGTGGAAATATTACTAAAACAGTGTCATGTGTCTGTACTCAGTGCTGACAGGTTAAAAGTAATGTGGTAAATGCATCCCATCAGTACCTTTGTGCTTGATTTTACAGTCCATACAATTTTGAATAGCTAGCTATAAAATAGCTTTTGTTTCCATATGTGGGCACTGAAATAGCACTTGTTTGGCAATGTCCAATTCTTTATTTTGCAGCTTTAAATCCTTTTTTAAAACTGGAGGAGAAAAAAAGAGAGACAGAAAGAAATGAGTAAAGGCTAAGCCTTCAGGGCGCTCTCTCTCATGAATTGAAAGACAGCACGGCAATGGCCTATTTAGGGATAGGTTCCTTATTTCTCCAAAATTGGATTATGACAGAATGAAAGCATTGGGCAGATTGTGTTCCCCTTTGCACTAGTTGGTACGCGTTTACTAATGCTAATTAAATAAATTTGATTATGAATTAAATGTTGGCGATGGCCTCAGGGCCGTCTGGCCTTGGCTTGAATGTGCTTTTGAGTGGCACATTTCACACCATACATATTAGCACTATAAATGTTGTCGTGAGTTTTGTATGGAGTGAAAAAGAATTCGTTAGTGAATTTTTTTTTTTTTAACCTTCGTCATGCAAGCTTTTACTTTCCTACTAAAACAGTTTTGGATATATTTTCATAAACATTCCTGATGCTTACTCAGATACAATGTCTTGGTTTTTGGAATGGTTTTGACATCCTAAGCAGGCCTATGAGTCTTAGAAACTTGAGAAATTTAAAGTGTGTTGTTTGGGGACATTTTCAAAATGCAAGAAAATCCCTAAAAGAATATTGTAGCCTGCTCTATTCTCCCAGGGAAGCAAACTATTCATGATGCTTAGGAAATTTTTCAGATAATTTGGAATAAATTGCATATTACCATCATTGCTTTACCATTCCATCAATTTTACTACTGGTAACCTGATGTACACTGCTTTATTTTTTCCTCTTTTTTGCCTCTATTTTCCTTTTGCCCCCCTCCCCTTTGCTTTGTAACTCAATAGAGGTGCCCCAACTCACTGACCTAAGCTTTGTTGATATAACCGATTCAAGCATCGGCCTGAGGTGGACCCCGCTAAACTCTTCCACCATTATTGGGTACCGCATCACAGTAGTTGCGGCAGGAGAAGGGATCCCTATTTTTGAAGATTTTGTGGACTCCTCAGTAGGATACTACACAGTTACAGGGCTGGAGCCTGGCATTGACTATGACATCAGCGTTATCACTCTCATTAATGGCGGAGAGAGTGCCCCTACTACACTGACACAACAAACGGGTGAATTTTGAAAACTTCTGTGTTTGAGACATGGATGGTGTTGCATGCTGACACCAGTCACTCTGGTTAAATATGGATGTTTCAAGGGAAAAACCACATAGATTAAGACTGGGTGGACTGGGGCAAAAGGAAGCAAATGCATATACTAACCTAATTGAATGAAGACATCAAGTAGTCTGAGGTGCACTTTCATTTAAACCACAATATATGTATAAAGCTGGAGAAATTTAGATATCTGATCTATTAAATGCAAAATCAGATATTTGATCTATTAAATATTAAATATAAAGGTTAAATTTGCAGGCCTAGATATTTTAAAACTATCTAACATGAATGTCATGATAAGCACCAGATAATACGGACAGATGTATTTCCAACATGTACCATTACACTGTTTGTTCCTTCTACCCTTTGATAAACTTCACCATGTTTCTGCTTTGCAGCTGACTAAAAACCTATCAAAATTTAGGGTAGAATGAAAGGGAGTTGTTTTAAGGTAAGGAAAAATAAACTGGAGCATTCTAGATTTTGTTGCTATCACAAGGTAAAGAAACTCCTCTTTAACCACAGTCTGGGGACCAGCATGCAACATTTTAAAGGTTCTCTGCCCTGCATGGTAAGAAACACGCTGAGAACCAATTTGCATGAACTCTTCTCACTTATAAGCAGAATTCACTGAATGGAATTGTAGCTATGCCAGTAGCTTGTAGACATCTCACGTCAGGGGGGAAATTTAGGATCCTCTTGTCTCTTTGTCTGTGTGCATGTGTCTCTTTGGAAAGTACTGCTGTGTTTCTTTTTGCTGTGTGGCAACTTAAGCCTCTTCAGCCTGGGATAAGAGTCATTTTCAGTGGTATTAATAATGTACTTAAAGCCAACCTACTTGAAAGTAGATAAAAATTATTCTTTAAAATACATTGATGATGGCAGAAAGGTTAAAGGGGCCTAACAGTCGTGTTATTTTTTTAACAGTAGAACACTATGATTAGATTAGATTATTGCATGGTTATGACTGTTTTCTTTGTGCATGAAATGGTGGTTTTACCTTGCCAGCTATTTTTGTTAGCTTTATCTTTAAAAGTACATTAACATAATCTCCTCCTTATTTGAAACCAGCTGTCCCTCCTCCTACTGACCTGCGATTCACCAATATTGGTTCAGACACTATGCGTGTCACCTGGGCCCCACCTCCATCCATTGAGCTGACCAACTTTCTTGTGCGCTACTCACCTGTGAAAAATGAGGAAGATGTGGCAGAATTGTCAATTTCTCCTTCAGACAATGCAGTGGTCTTAACAAGTAAGCAATAAATACTAACCTGGAGCATAATGAATTAATTCTGAGTTCTCACATAGGTGCAAATAAGAGAGAGATGCAACAGAGCTATGAACTAATATCCGAATTTAACATGCAGCTCTGTAAATTCTGAAAGGTGTAATGTTTATTGTTTTCTTGATATACCTTTGATATCCACAACTTAAAAAAAATCATCTTGGAAAACACTGGCATTTTGAATCCAAAGACTTTAAACACATTCTACTTCCAACTAAGCACATAGAAATAAGTGACTATTAAGAGAAATTACACAGCCAAATCTAAATGCTAGAGAGGAAAAATGAGGGTTGAAAATAGTGTTGTCATATCTGTTCTATTATCATTTTTTGGAACAGTGTCAGCATGCAATCTACGTTAGCATTTGAAAACTTAGAAATAGTGAGTTACTGATGGCTTGGGATAGATCAGGATATTATGAAGAGTCAGAAGTTTAATTTGTACTTCAAAAAGCATCTGTTTGCAGGATTTTGCAGAAGGCTGAGGACTTAAAACAACTAATGTTAAATAAACAATTTACAGAAATTGTCTCTTTCTACTTCCTACCATTTGGGAACAGACAATTTTTATTAAAGAAAATTGGAGTAGGTTGCAACATGGTGGTGTATTTCACATAAACATTGTTCCTTATTATTTCACTCTTGTAGTAAAATAGGTAAGAGCAACAGAAGAGTTCATATAAGGTGGAAAATAGCTTACATTTATAGATTCCCAAATGGTAGTGTGAAAACATCCTCTTCCTTTCAGATGTGTTTCAGAATGTAAAACACAAAGGCAGCTAAGTATGACCACAATCTTGGTTTCTCACTTCATGGCTGAGGATAAGAGCATCCTTACACCTGCATGATTGAGTCCATAGGACTGTTTCTGTTCTAGAACATTCTGGAATCAGTAGTTACCATATTATCCAATGCATCACATGTTGGCTCCAGCTTAGCCAAGACCTGTCACATGTTAATCATGTATTCTAAGAACTTCTGTACCTAATGCTCTGACCTCAAGGTAACAATCTTCCCCAAAAGTCATTACTATCATGTTTTATAGAATGTAGTTGCTAAGTTAAATTGCCCCTGACCAAGTTGGAAGGAAGAAATGGAGTTCAAGTATCCATCTCCATCCTTTCCACATCTCGACCCCAATCTGGTGTTTTCCAAACCTTATAGGAGCCTCTACAGAAACACTGAAGGGTGGACAAGGTGCTGGGGAATGAGGGAGGATCTTAGTGAGCAGAAGTGCAAACGTTCCAAACCTTACTCTGTACCTTTCAAGCATATCAAAATGAGAGAGAAGGATACCCAGGGATGTATACTAAACTTTAAAAAAAATATTCTCTTCTCACCTTAATATGGCAGAGTCCAATTCTTTACCTATGGGGTATGGCTCTTTTCTAAAAAAGAACACCTTGGTCCCAGCCTGGATCAACCCCTGTATGATCTTGGGCAAATAAATGAAAGAAAATAACTTCTGTGTGCCTTGTTTTTCTCCTTTGTAAAATGGGGATAATTGTAGTAAACCAACCATGTTCAGAAGTAATGGAAGTGTTCAATATCTTGCATACATAGATGGTTCCACAAATAATTCATGTCAAAATCTGTCAAACTGTATTTTAAATATATGCAATATATTCTTTGGCAATAGAGTTGCTTTAAAAACTAGCAAACCACCTCATTAGGTTGCTGGAGAGGTAAATAACAATGCACAGAGCCATAACAATTATTAGTATTTGTTCTTTACAGGCACACCAGCAAATGAGTGAGAGAAATATTAGCTGCAGCAAATCCACTCACAGAGCTGGATCTGAGGTCAGGGCTTCAAGAGGCTACAAGGCAAAGTGACCCTTCTTTATCACCTAATTACAGACCATGTCGAGGTAGCAATGTTCATTTAGGTGTAATTAGGCTATAGGACTGAATTACCTGGACTTACCATCAGTTCAAATAATCTCAGGAGTGCTTTGGTTTTTCAGGCTTTCAAGCACAAGTCTAAAATAAGTTCCACTTGTTTCTTCAGATCTCCTGCCAGGGACTGAATATTTAGTCAGTGTCTCCAGTGTCTACGAGCAACACGAGAGCATGCCTCTTAAAGGAAGACAGAAAACAGGTGAGTCATATGGCACCCTGCTTAGCGAGTAGCTTCCACCTACAATTTTAAGTAACAATGAAATGCTACTTCTAAAAACACATCTCTGTCTTTTGTGAGTGGCGGTGCATATAGCCTTGTCATTACGTTTTCATCACTGCTCTTGAAAACCTCACTCAACATTTATTAATACTAATTAGATTTCAGTCACTAAGTCCCTACTCCCTACTTCCACTGAGAACCGAAATAAGTCCAGAAACTTTGGTGATTTTCCTTAATATCTCATCATCTCTATTATTTAGGGGTGGATGGACATTTGATTAGGCAGTTTTGCCTAAAGCTTCCCCAACACTGTCCTTGTCATCTGTTTTTCCTCTTTTATTAAATCAACAAATTTATGTATATTCTCTACTTAATATCTTTTACTACAAGAAGAAAGTTGAAGTGAATCCCATAAATAGTATTTACTTTCTTAAATATGAGCACTGCTTCTAATTTTTCCCTTTAAAAAAGTATACCCATGGGCTGGCAGACTGGCTGAAGAGGTAAAAGCCCCTTTCTAGCAAGCATGAGGCCGTGAGTTCAAATCCCAGTGCCACAAAAAAAGTTAAATAAAATTAATATTCATTTATTTATAGTTCACTGATTCCAAAAAAGGAGTTAAGATATCTCAGTTTGGTTTGAATATATTATGGAATAGAATTAGTGGATGCTATAACTCAAAACAAAAATTTTCTGGAAGTCCTAGAGAGGTTAAGTGATTTCAACAAGAGATAAACACTGAATTCTTGTTAATTTCAAAAATGTACTAAATTTTGAATCTATGAGGGATTCAAACATTTAACTTGAGAGTGAGCAAATCTTGCTTTACTTTGGGAGATACATTTGTAGAATGGAAACATTGAATAACTGAGTGCTGAAGCACTTGAAAATCTCAGTCCCATATCAATTCACCATTTTCTGCAATGGTAATGCAGAAACACACTATAATGATATGCTTGAATGACTTAGCAAAAGGGAAAATATTAATGAATGCATGAATTGACAATTTTTAACTCTGAATTTATGATATAAAAATTCATATATGGCTTAGAATCAGTATGTTATAACATGAAATTTATGAGACATCACTGCATTGCAGTGGGTATTTGTTACTTTCCTTTATATCTTCCTCACTTTCTTTTTCTTCCCCTGGATGGGAAAAATAGGTCTTGATTCCCCAAGTGGCATTGACTTTTCTGATATCACTGCCAACTCTTTCACTGTCCACTGGATTGCTCCTCGAGCTGCCATCACTGGCTATAAGATTCGCCATCATCCTGAGCATGGCAGTGGAAGACCCCGAGAAGATCGAGTGCCCCCATCTCGGAATTCCATCACCCTCACCAACCTTATTCCAGGCACAGAGTATGTGATTACCATTGTTGCTCTTTATGGCAGAGAAGAAAGTCATCCATTGGTTGGCCAACAATCAACAGGTAACTTTGTTTCTGGTCTGCAAAGTAATTCAGAAGACTTTCCTATGTAATTGGTATAGTCTGTAAAATAGCTTCATGTCATCTGACTCATCATCTCTCATAAGATAGATCATGGGCTCAGTGTTGATGGCTCATGTCTATAATTCTAACTATTCTGGGAGGCAGAGATTGAGAGGATCGTGGTTTGAAGCCAGTGCAGACAAATAATTTGTGAGACCCTATCTCAAAAATACCCAACACAAAAAAGGGCTGGTGAGGAGTGGCTCAAGTGGTAGGGCACCCACCTAGCAAGCAAGAGGCCATGAGTTCAAAGCCCAGTACCACCAAAAACAAAAAAGCAAATCATGGTTAAAGACATGGAGAGGGAAAGGACAGAATATGGGGAGAATCTCCCTTTTACAATATTTTAAAGATGATGATTTCTTTATCACAAGAAATTTCTCACCCAATTTAGATATTTATGTATTTATGTTTATTCAAAATATAGAAGACATAATACTGTTTCAAAGTTACCTTAAAATACAGTTTTACTGTAATAGTGGCATTATTTGGAAGGTTAGATGCTGAAGTACTTGGGGAAAAGTGTCATCATGATAATATGTACCTTAGTCACAAATAGTTGAAAGAGCGAAGTGAGGTAAATGCTTCCAAATAGCACATACTAAGGAGAGGGTATATGGATGTTCCTTGTATTATTTTTGTAACTTCAATTGTTGTAAAATTTTTCAAAAGAAAATGTTGAAGAAAAATCCCTAAATAAGTTTAAAATAATCATTTTATCACAATTGGAATGGTTTCCCTTAACCCCTTGTCTTGAATTGTTCATAATTTTTAATTCTGTTAATTCTTTAAGTAAGCATTTTCGTTTAAAGGATACATAAAGACAATTACCTGGAAAATGAACAAAGAGAAACTGGGCATTGTTTAAAAGTTGTGGATGTGAAACCCGTCCCATATTTTTTTCTAGTTTCTGATGTTCCAAGAGATCTGGAAGTCATTGCCTCGACCCCCACCAGCGTACTGATCAGCTGGGATGCTCCTGCTGTTACAGTGAGATATTACAGGATCACTTATGGCGAAACAGGTGCGTTAATTGCATGCTGTTTCATACTAACCAGATCAGACTCTGTCATGGGCAACCTAGAAGCCCAGTAGTGGACATGGAACTAAAGAAATGTTGACAGTCCTAGTTTGTGGATGTTGACTTTTCCAAGAATTCATGGAAGCTATGTATATTACTTGTTATAAAATTAAGATTAAAAACTGTTTATACAATAGAGGGGGAAGAGCAGAGTGGAGGAAAAAAAGATTGTAAATTCACAAATGTATTGTTATTGGTGAAATGTGATTTTCCTTTTTACTTTTCTCTACAATTCAGTAACATCTTAAAACTAGAATGTTAAGATAAAATGAACTTCAATTTTCTCCTAATTTTATATACTTATCAAGGTTTACTACATGCATAAGTATATGTTCCTGTTTAGACTCTCTTAGTAGCACTCTTTAGAAAGGAATAAGAAGTGAGATGTGATTTACATACTTCTTTCAATGTATTAATTAATCAGTAAAACCCAAGTAACTCCAAGCGCCTCATATTCTCAACTAACCCCTTTTCATGCAGGAGGAAATAGCCCTGTCCAAGAGTTCACTGTGCCTGGGAGCAAGTCTACAGCTACCATCAGTGACCTGAAACCTGGAGCAGATTATACCATCACTGTGTATGCTGTCACTGGCCGTGGGGACAGCCCAGCCAGCAGCAAGCCAATTTCCATTGATTATCGAACAGGTACACATTCCTCTCCTGAAGTGACACAGGCTTATTTATTCAAGTAGGTTGTCTACAGTGTTCTTTCAAGGCATTTGTTATTTTCTTCATTGTGAAATTGATTTTCCTTTGCATGAGTATGTGTATGTGTGTGTGCAATGCAAGAGATTGAACCCAGGGCCTGTGTGTGCTAAATAGGCATCCTACCACTGTTCTACACCCCTCAGCCCTCATTTTCCTTTTTAATAAGACAAAAGCCTATACCTAACAACACCTGCAACTGTTAGAGTTTTGAGCCAAATACAAGGAAGCACCCTGAAAGCAGAGATCTATCTCATATGCTTCCTATAGAGATAGGCATAGGATATATTTGATAAGCATTTGTTGAAAAAGGAATGAATGAGTTGCTAATGTAAGAAGACAAATCTGGGATGTAGTTTCTTTTTGAATGAAGCAGTTACCTTGAAAATAGTTGTGATGGTGTCAAAATGCATGCCCATCCTCCCAAAAAGCTAACTCTTTATTCTTGCCCAAAAACCAGGAAGAAATTAATAGGAGTAAGAGATCATTTGAATATGCACCAGAACTCGGGACATGAGTGGTCTTGTTTCCAATGACTAGGGCTTCACTGACTTCTCCTTGCTTTTATTTGTAGAAATTGACAAACCATCCCAGATGCAAGTGACAGATGTTCAGGACAACAGCATTAGTGTCAGGTGGCTACCTTCAAGTTCTCCTGTTACTGGTTACAGAGTGACCACCACTCCCAAAAATGGCCCAGGACCATCAAAAACTAAAACTGCAGGTCCAGGTAAGAATGACCAGCATATTACACACAGCAGAATGAGTAGGCCTACACAATTTTCTTTTTTAAATAAATAGCCCCCTTGTCCTGAGTACTATATATTGTATGCCCTGGGTCATAGTTTTCCCATTCATAGTTCAGGGCTGAAACTGTTACCAGTCTACTTCACAGTTGAAGTTTTAGGATACATGCATTTCAGGTTTTGCATGCACCATTCTGTTTAGTGGTATAGACATCTTAAATTATTACATCCACCTTTATGGTCTTGTTTAGCATGCACATCATGAAGAAAAGGGTGGACTATCTGAATTTTTCAGTTTCTTGTAGATCTGTTATTTTTATTTTTATATGAATCCCATATACTTGTGAAAGACCTTGAACAGGTCTTTACCATACTGATATGGTAAATTTGTATTAGCAATGAATAGGTCTGTCCAAGAGGAAATTGATGTCTGATTCCTCCATATTTTCATGATAATTCTGCAAATAAAAGTTCTAGGCTTACTTACTATCAAACTTACTACCAAACTCTAGAAGTCACTTGAATGCCTTTATAGGGTATAGACACTGTGTTTGCTTTTAATTCCCATTGCAGATCAAACAGAAATGACTATTGAAGGCTTACAACCCACAGTGGAGTATGTGGTTAGTGTCTATGCTCAGAATCAAAATGGAGAGAGCCAGCCCCTGGTTCAAACTGCAGTAACCAGTACGTAACAATGCTTGGTTAACATTTCTAAATTCAAATTTTGTTCTTGGGTATCTGAATGCCTTCTGCATGTCTTTTTCAGTTGTGCACAAGGACAGCCAACTGGCTGACCAGTTCATATCTTGAGCTGAGCCCTTGACAAACATTTTTTCTTCTCAGTGCCAGGTAGCGAACTTACAGGAAAGGAAGTTGTGATTCTACCATAGTTAGTTGCTGTGCTTTGAATTTCTTTTGCTCAAATGGCCTCAGCAAAATCTTATTTGCCTATACCAAATCTACAAAATATTTTGCTTGGACCTTCTTTTCTATGACTGGATGGTAAAGTTTACTGAAGTGTGCTTCATAAAGCTATTATGTTTGGAGGACTGTGACTGGATCAGTGTTTAATATAAATACTTAATGGAGAGGGGAAAAAAAAGAGTGTAAGAAAAATTACAGCAACTCTGAATCTAACATTGAAAATCAACTTTACCACTTCCAAGGCATAGAAAACCCAGGTCTAGGAAACTAACATCACATGGCAAAAACAAATCTTGGTAGAATATCTTTAAATTAATATAAATAAATCTCCATTGTGGGGACATTTTGCAGGGTGTCTACACATCTCACATACACTTGTTATAATAAGTAGTGCTATGTTAAATATTTTCTAAACCAAAAAAATTTAAGCAAATGTCAAGTAATTTTCCACTCAATAGTGGGTTAATTGGAGTTTAATTCATCAAAGAAAATGGTTTCTGCAAAACTGCTTTGCATGTTATAAAAATGCTTATTTCACAACTTGCTTTTCACATAACCTCTTACCATTAATTTGCCTAACAGACATTGATCGCCCTAAAGGACTGGCATTCACTGATGTGGATGTCGATTCCATCAAAATTGCTTGGGAAAGCCCACAGGGGCAAGTTTCCAGGTACAGGGTGACCTACTCAAGCCCTGAGGATGGAATCCATGAGCTATTCCCTGCACCTGATGGTGAAGAAGAAACTGCAGAGCTGCAAGGCCTCAGGCCGGGTTCTGAGTACACAGTCAGTGTGGTTGCCTTGCACGATGATATGGAGAGCCAGCCCCTGATTGGAACCCAGTCCACAGGTATATCGTTAACGGCACCACGCAGGTGCACACGGGAGCAGCGGCTTTATGCCTTGCTGACATTATATACTTTATCGGGCAATTGGTTCCCGGGTAAGGGGGATAAAACAACCCTCAAATTCTGTTAGGAAAGACCCTCTCTAAAGAGGAATGGTAATAAACAATAAAGTTTAGCTGATATTTAGGTAAATAAGTCTAATAAAGGGAATTTGGACTAGCATGGCTTATTAAAAAGGCCATAAAGTAAGACATTTGAAGATGACAATGAAATTGTGGATTATTTTCTAATTTATGACTCCCTGTGGTTACTGTAACTGTATGTAAGGAAAGAAGTTTAGCATCATAGCACTTACTTGTGAAAAGAACTCAAACTGAGGCATTCTCATGGCAGTATGATCTGAGAACGCATGGGTAAGACCTTTCTTTCCTGGCTAGAGATCATGTGCTAGGGGTATAATTTGCTTAAAGGATTCTGATTCGGACACATAGGAAACAGTCATTTGGGCAAATGCTTTCTACAATTCTTTATCCTCTTGTGCTTTATTTCTGGAGCAGGGTGGAATGCTAAAGATGTGTTCTAGTGACAGCATAAACTGTAGCGGAGACAACCTGTATTATTGCTCTTTGCTTCTCTTTTCTGCTTCTGTTGTGAGCTAGTTTTCTTCTTATGCTGCACCACAGACAATACTTTAAATTTAACAATGATGTCTGCCATGGGTCCAAATATAAAGACAGTACAAACACAATTCTGCCTTTTTGGGATGTAATACATTGAAATGGTTTTCCATACAAAGATAATTTGTATAGAAAAAGAGCCATTGCTCATCTTTTCATACAAATGGAAAATCAATCCTAATGACCAATGAGCCAATGTGATTTTTTTGTGTTTTAAGGTGGAAAAAAAAATCAAAACAAAACCTCCCAAACTCTAAAGTCTCTTAGAGTTCTGGAATTTACCCAAGTGTTTCCAGCGATTCTGAGAATTGATAGATATAAAACACATTTTCCAGCAACACTTTCTTCATTTTGTATCCTTCTTGTTGCTTTCTTGTACTGATCTTTGCTGGACCAGGGAATCCGTCTAACTACAAGAACAATCCATTTTATTTCTTGGAATTCACTTTATTTTCCCTTTTCCCCATTTCCTGTGAGATAACCTCTAATCAATGACCATCCCGACAGCCATTCCTGCTCCAACCAACCTGAGATTCACTCAGGTTACACCCACCAGCTTGAGTGCCCAGTGGACAGCACCCAACGTTCAACTCACTGGATACCGAGTACGGGTGACCCCCAAGGAGAAGACTGGACCAATGAAGGAAATCAACCTTTCTCCTGACAGCTCATCTGTGGTTGTGTCAGGGCTCATGGTAAGAAGTAACTTTCTGTCACTGGAATATAATAGAAGGTGATGGAAATGTAATCTCATAATGAATTTAATTGGGATCTTTTCCTCAACCATCAAATAATTTTATTATAATTTTATATCAATAGAATTCATTTTTGTTGCCTTTCCAGATGATTATTGGAACCAAATTTTATAAATAGCTTTGGAATTTGTGTGCTTCCTTTAAAAGTGCTCTGCTTATTTTAAAAGGTTGTTTGTATGTAAGGAGCAATTTATATAACCATAAGATGAATTTCTGCATCTTGTGAGCTGTGTTACCTTGGCAAAAGACATTCTTCAGTTTGCACCAGTTCAAATTGACATGACCCTCATTAAAATATTTTAAATCCTTCTAGACATGTTTGTAGAAAACTAGCTAGGATCCTAGGAGATTGGTATGCATCTTAATGTAAGACCGATTCCAGGGAAAATTACAGAAGAGGGTTCAGAGACAGAATAGAAAATTCTCTTTTCCTTTCTGTGACCAGAAAAATTCATAATTTGTATCTGTCAGATCATAAAGAAAAAAACAGGCTAATACCCATTTTCCTCATTTTTTATCGGTTTAGCATAAATATGTTATTTATGACTTACTTGGGCTTCCCCCATGAGAACATTTTAAAATTCACTTCATTTAAATCTGTTGTCAGTCATCTGTAGTTAGGAATGAAATTAATTTAAGAATTTATAGTGTTGTAGGTTTTGCTAGTTTATGTATTTTTGCTTTCATGATCACTACATTTATTTCAATCTTTAATGAAACTCACTGAGCTTCATGTAATGACACTGTGAATGCTTACTGTGCCCTTATTTTTAGGTGGCAACAAAATATGAAGTGAGTGTCTATGCTCTTAAGGACACACTGACAAGCAGACCAGCTCAGGGAGTTGTCACCACTCTGGAGAGTAAGTAATCAAAAGTTTAGTATCCACAACCTTTGGTATAAACAAAAATTAAAGAATGATAAATGATTTCTTTGATCTCTAAATTAGTGAAATGAACCTCAATTTGGAAATTGATGTAATCCCTATCTTTTTGACTGTCACCTCTATTGTCCCTTCAAAAAGGTCTACTGATAAATAAAGTGGAATCACTTCATAACTTTATGATGTTGTGTTATGGATTAGGATGAACACCTCGCTTATGTGCTACTTGTTAGGATTTGATTGGAGAGGGTACGCTGGCTTCTGCTGTAACAATGAAATAGGTATGGGACCAAACTGGGCCCAGATTTTAGTTCTCTGCTGTATCAATAACTTGCTGTATGTTCATTCAGCAGTGATATAAAGTGCCATTTTCACCATCTATAAAACAGGGATAAAATAGGGATGTTTTTTGGTGAGAGAAAAGATGCGAAGCCTTTTAAAAATGACAAAATACTAACAATAATACTAGCTATATGTATGTATATATATTTATATATATAATTGTTACCTGGCTATGTTATTATTCCTATCACATACATTTTTACATTACAGTCAGTTAATCATTTGAACACTTACTGAAGTATTTGTAGATACTATAAAGTCAGCCTGAGAACCACTAGTAGTATTTATAAAGCTTTTCCATTCTTCAAGGGAAAGGCATGAGAGGTGAAAATTTTCATATTTCCTTTTCTCTCTGAATTCTAAAGGAAATAACCTGTACATTATTAATCAGTGTATTTTCTGAAGTGGATATATTTGGTGTAGAATAAGGAAATAACTTAAAACATCAAACTTTATGTGTGTGAGCCAAGCAGGTACTAATATGTAGCTATGGTCCCATGCAGATGTCAGCCCTCCAAGAAGAGCCCGTGTGACAGATGCTACTGAGACTACCATCACCATTAGCTGGAGAACCAAGACCGAGACCATCACTGGCTTCCAAGTTGATGCTATCCCAGCTACTGGCCAGACCCCAGTTCAGAGAACCATCAGCCCAGATGTCAGAAGCTACACCATCACAGGTCAGGGAACTCACCTCACTGACCAAGTGTGTTAATCAGTAGACACAATATAAACTGGCTTATCCATAATTCCATGACTTACCTTGATTAAATTTATTTTTAATGTTTTACTATGGCATGGTCTGAGAAAGTTAATACCATGATCAGAAACAGCTTTGTCTTTGAATTTCTAACTTCATCTAATGTTTGTCAAGGAAATAACCCAAGTTTCATTCATCAAATTTGTTCTTTCACCAAAATGCCCTTATTTAAAAAGAATAAATGTAGCTAGGCATGATGGTGTACTCCTATAATTCCAGCACTTGGGAGACAGGAGGATCTTAAACTTGAAGCCACCCTGGGCTATATAGCAACTCTCTATTCCAAAAACGGAAAAGAAAAAAAAACAAAAACAAAAACTACAACAATGCTTAAAACTGAAAGAAATGAAGTGGTGGTATATAATTCTCAGTATTAACATCAATTAAAAAAAAGCACAATTAAATTTATAAAAAACAACAGCACTACTTAATAAAGATCAAAATGATAATCAGAGAATGTTTAATATCTGAGTCAGTTTAGATCTTTTTGAGATTTAAAAGTTTGATTATCAGTACCAACTAATGACCTGATTATCCTAAAGAGAAAAATCCCTTAGTAAGTGACTGCCCCTCATTCTCTAAGAAGGTAACTTCTAAACCTGTGTTTTTGCATTTCAAAATTATTATAAGGTCTTTGTCTATATTAGCGATTTGATTTTGAGATATGTTTCTCTTGAACAATTAATATCCATACCATGTTCTGCTTTATTGTTCAAATATGGACCACTTCTGTGGTCTTCATATATACGGGATGGTAAAGGAGCTACGACAACTGCAGTTGAGCTTAAACTCTCCTGGTAAAGCAAGAGCAGGTAAAAACTATATCTTCTCAAATCCCAGGTTTACAACCAGGCACTGACTACAAGATCCACCTGTACACCCTCAATGACAACTCCCGGAGCTCCCCTGTGGTCATCGATGCCTCCACTGGTAACTATGCTTTCCACTAGGGAAATGCTACTGGCTTGCCTTATCATTAGTCAGGTGAACTTAAGAAACAAATGAGAGGCTGACATTTTCATATTATGGCTTCCAGTGAATCATATTACAGTTTACAGAATTCTTAGATTCTCTCAAGTCTGTTTAGGACTGGAGTGAGTAGAGACTGTGGGAGAAATTTTCTTGGTTATTCATTATCTGAGACTTTCATTGGTTTTCTTTTAGCCATTGATGCACCATCCAACCTGCGTTTCCTGACCACCACACCGAACTCCTTACTGGTATCATGGCAGCCACCTCGTGCCAGGATTACTGGTTATATCATCAAGTATGAGAAGCCTGGGTCCCCTCCCAGAGAAGTGGTCCCTCGGCCCCGCCCTGGTGTCACAGAGGCCACCATTACTGGTATGGCTACTTCCATGCTGTGATTTTCCCCTTATTCCTTTGGACATGCAAAGTCCTTAACACTCTCTACCTGCATCTTTAATACTATATCATTAGATTCAGAAGTCCAGTACTTTAGAATGCATTCTCTATATAAAAGCAGTGAGGGCTGGGTGCGTAGCTCAAGTGGTAGAGTGCCTGCCTAGCAAGCCTGTAGGCCCTGAGTTCAAACCCAGTACTGCCAAAAAAAAAAAAAAAAAAAAAAAGCAGTAGATTTCAATGTATCTCAAACCTCATGAACTCATCAAAATGCAATTTCAATACTGTCATATGGTACACTTTGTTTTTTTGATTTAAGTTCACCTGTCCATTCAGTTCTGGGAAAAGATATTTCTCAAGACAATAGCTAATTGTGATCCTGTCATCACATTCAGCTTCCTGTAAGATCTGGTGGTCCTGTAGGACTTGCCAGAGTACCACCTGCCATCGGCCCTAGTTTTTAGTCACAGTATAGGTCTTGAGGCAGAGCCATCCCAACCCTCCTGCCCTCAAGAGAAAGCCTGGAATAAGGAATCAGAATTGTTCACCTTGGTAGGAAATGTTATAGGCCTCTAGTATGCTCTGGTATTATTTTGCTGGAGAGATGAAAGATATGTATATATATATATATATACAACACACACACACACACACACACACACATCTGATTGTTAGAATTCCTACAGAGCATACAGTATCAGGAGATGTTGTTGTTTGACATTTCCAGAGGAAAAAAATAAACAGATGTAGGAGTTGAGCTGGACACTTCCTATAGGGAAGTCACTCTCCTGCACAGTACTCACCTTTAGTCTCACTTTTTTCCTTTGCCATTGAGGGCTGCCTAGTTATCAGGCCTAAACAGATTCATGTGCAAAATATGCAATGACCTCTTCTAAAATTAGATTCCATTGGTGGTATACAATGCTGACATGACATGATAGATTCTTCACAGGCTAAAAGAATACCCCAGAAAAGTTAGCATTAAAGTGCTTATTCAGGTGTCAGGTGTTTAATTGGCTAAGTGGTCTTCATATGCAGAATCTTCGGGGATTTATAGAAGAAAAGTGAAGTTAACTTTACCTTTCAAGAGGCCAACAACCAGCTGGAAAGGGATGCTTGCCCCCCAGTAGCCTCTGCTAGGGAGACAGTTCCCATGTGACTAGTTGAACCTACGGAGTAACGCGATGGTTCCTTTCTTCCAACAGGCCTGGAACCGGGAACTGAGTACACCATCTACATCATTGCCCTCAAGAACAACCAAAAGAGCGAGCCTCTGATCGGAAGGAAAAAGACAGGTAAAAAGCATTTTCTGGGTAATAAGGAGAAGTTTCAGAAAAGACTCATAACAAATTATTGATTTTGCAGTATGAAGTTCTCAATGTTTGGTGCATTTCTCATGGAATTTTTTTCCTAATGGCATAGCTTGTATGTTGTACTCTTTGACAAGAATAACCTAACATGCTCTGCAGAGTTCTGTCTTATTTATTTCTTTACTACAGCCAGCCAATATATCTGAGTCACCTTTCAAAAATTTAGATATTAAATGTGAAACCAAGTTGCCATCACTGGTATTTTTCCATACCTTGTTGCATTTTAAAATATTTCTTTTTTTAAAAATAGAGCAAAACTCTCTTTTGTCTTGATTTATTATTTAGTTTCTGAAACTTGGAACTAAATAATGTCTTACTTTGTCATCCAGCTACAGTTTAATTTGAAGAAAATACTCTATTTGTAGTGATAGGAACACTTAAAAAAATAAATGTATATGTATTTTTTATCTTTTTGCCATTTCAAACCATGAAAGACTATTGAACCATACTTCTATAATTTTCACACTTCAGACACTGATATGATTATTTTAGAATCTGTTCTTACAACTTGCTTCTCAAGTATAAAAAAAAAAGAGGAAAAAAAGACTGCAGACTTCAGTTCTAATAGACTTAATTTGAGCAGAGGCAGCTTCTATGGGGCTCAGTGGTTCAAAGCTTTCTGTGTATGATAAATTCATACTAACACTTTTTTCTTTCTCTAAACTATAAAGAAACCTTTGAGGAAGATCATAAAAAATTTCTTTCTAGAAAAAGTGTTTGTGATCTGAGAACTGCTGGTTTTCCAGGGGCTTTGATCAGGTCAATAGTCATTTGTTGCTTGAATTGATAACAATTATTGCTGCTACTGTCTGGAGCTTAATGCGCTTTGCTTTTTTGGCTCTAACCTCTCTTGGCTAGATGAGCTTCCCCAACTGGTAACCCTTCCACACCCTAATCTTCATGGACCAGAGATCTTGGATGTTCCCTCCACAGTTCAAAAGACCCCTTTCATCACCAACCCTGGGTATGACACCGGCAATGGTATTCAGCTTCCTGGCACATCCCATCAGCAGCCCAGTGTTGGGCAACAAATGATCTTTGAGGAACATGGTTTTAGGCGGACCACACCACCCACTGCGGCCACCCCTGTAAGGCACAGGCCAAGACCATACCCACCGAATGTAGATGAGGAGATCCAAATTGGTCATGTCCCCAGGGGAGACGTTGACCACCATCTCTACCCTCACGTTCTGGGGCTCAATCCAAATGCCTCTACAGGACAAGAAGCTCTCTCTCAGACAACCATCTCTTGGACCCCATTCCAGGAAAGTTCTGAGTACATCATTTCATGTCAACCTGTTGGCATTGATGAGGAACCCTTACAGGTAATTGGTTTTTCTCTTTACTTAAAACTGGACAGCCTAGAAAGGGGTTATCTAGGTAACTGTAGTGCCAGTGCACTGATGTAAAATGGTTACTTGTTTAGGACTCTTAGAAAGATGACACATTTAAGCTCTGATTTTTTTTTTTTTAAATCTCCATGTGCCTCTACCTTGGGAGAAGTACCAGAGCATGTCATTAGTGTTATTCAGTAGAGAGAATGAAATCATTTTTGTTATTCTGACACATTGGAGACTCCTTAATGAGATGGACAAAGAGATGATTCTAGAAAAGGAGAAAAATATTCTACTTGAATTTACATTTGTGTAAAGAAGTCTAAAATACCATCCTTAGAGTTCATTCTTGAAGAATCCCATTATCTATAATATGTCTAAGAAACCCAGGTGAAAGTGTGTCATAAGTGATTGACTTTTTAGCTGCAACTCTAAATTTGTCCCACTGTTACATGAATCAGTTTTTATTGTGTTATTTTTAGAAAGTGGCAGAAATTTAAAAGCTGCCTATACTGTGGGAATTTATGAGCTTAGGAACATAAGTTTGAAGATGTGCCTATGTTTTGAGGACTCCATGTTGTGGTTCAATGCCACCTTGTATGGCATGACCACATCTCCCATACAGATCAGTGTCCCTATCATATGTGAAAGGGACATGACCAGGGGTCCCAGTGGACTTGTTCTGATCCATAACTGTGTAAGATGAAGACAAGACTTATATTGATAAGGGCTGCTGGTGACTATGGAGCACACAGGTAGATTTTTGTTAGAAAAATCTGGCAAATGATAGCTTCTCGCACTCATTCCATTTCTCTCCTTGGCTAGTGGGAGTCCTACACCCTTCCTTTTTATTTGTCTCCCTTTGCTTTGTTTAAACAGGGAGGGTTGTTGTTAGGAGTACAGGCTGGGGCATGTCTGTTCCTTACTATAATGCTTTCTTCTCACTTTGAATGTACCAATAATTGCAGTTCCGAGTTCCTGGAACTTCCACCAGTGCCACTCTGACAGGCCTGACCAGGGGGGCCACCTACAACATCATAGTGGAGGCTCTGAAAGACCAGAGAAGGCACAAAGTTCGGGAGGAGGTTGTTACTGTGGGAAACTCCGGTATGTACGCTCACACGCTATGTGTCTTGGCTGAATTACATCAGAAGAGGTGTTTTCTATTGTTTCTTTGTAACTGTTGATTTTTAACTGGGAGAAGTGAGGCTATACATCAGTAAATGAGCAACTTTAGATTCAATTATTTTCCCTTGTAGTATCCTAGTGTCCTGGTCCACGCACATTCAGAACTGATAAGAACCTCAAACAGTGAGAGGATGACAGGCCTGGAAGGGATTTGAAATATTATTTAGTTCAATACTCTAGTCTTGCTAGTGAGTATCTGCATTGATATAGGGCATTTATTTCCTGATATCTTTCCTGTACCCTCTTTACCTCACCATGCTATGGTCTTCTTGATTTTTTTTTTATTGTTTTATTATTCATATGTGCATACAAGGGATTGATTCTTATTACTGCAACTGATTACCTATAAACCCTCTGCAGACAGCTGGTTTTTGTTCCTGATATAAAAGGCTGCCATCATAGACCATCTCTACCCAAAGAGCTCCCTTGTTCTAAAGTGACTTCAAATTTTTTTTTTTTTTTTTTTAATAACCATTGGTTCCTTTTTGTAGCACTTGAAAAGTCCTTTTAACCTGTAGGGATCCACCTGGCTTTTCAATTTGGAACAACTGATGATTCACCAAGGTGCATGAAAGGGTATAGTCAAAATCACGAATCCTGAATCTTCCAGGGGCTGTCTACTCCACATTCATGGGGAGTGATAAATTTTATCTCCCCCCAGGCAACAGGATTTCTTCCTAGGACAGTTATTTAATTTCAGCCTCCTTCATCATCTCATAGAAGACTGCTCTTTTACACATGTAAATTCCTGTCAATTAAGCAGCTGAGTTTTTGGCAAGCCAGAAGTGGGGATTATTTTGTGTTTGCTGTGTTACACATCCACAGTAATGCTTATCTTTCATCTTTTGTGGTTGTACTAGTAAAATGCCCTGAAAAAAAAGGACATTTTGAGAACATAAGTTTTTTTGTGTTTTTTCCACACCATTTTTTTTTTTTTTTTTTAAAGATCACATCTCTATAATGATAGAGTGAAATTTTAACTCCTGCTATTTTTAGAATGGTGGAACACCCTTCAACAGTCTGAGCTCTTTGTATTTTCTTTCAACTCCTTATTCCCAGCAGCAGTATTCTTCATTCTAGCTAGGTTCTCTTGGCTTTGAAACATGCCACACTTTTAGTTCTCTAAAATACTGTTTTCTTCTAGGGTGATGCCTTTTGAAATATTAGGTACTTTTGATTTGCACATTGTATAAAGAAGTATGCAAGTAGGATTTAAAGTCACAGTAAGTTAGGCTATTTAATTTTTAGAGAATAATTTGAGGCGTGCTTTATTTACATAAATTATTTTAAAATAAGTTTTTTCCAAAACATAAAGAAACAAGATCTTAGGGTAATGAGATGAGACCCCTACTTACTCTAACTCATCTATATCCTGTTGCTTCTTCTTGTTTGGAACAGTTATTTTATTTATAAAGCAGTTTTTACTATTATAATAACTGAAAATCTATGATTTTTGTATTACTATGCAAAATGTATGATAACAAAAGTGAAGAGTGTATTTATAATGTTATCTAAAAATGCTGACTTGGCTAGAATCCCAGGTATTCAGGAGGTGTCGATCAGTAGGATCATGGTTTGAAGCCAGACCAGGCAAAAAAGTAATTGAGACCTCCATCTCAACAAATAAGTCAGGTGTGGGTGGTATCTGTCTGTGATCCCAGCTATAAGAGAGGCTGTAGATATAAAGATTTCCCTTTGAGACCAACCCCACACAAAAACTTGACATCCTCTCTGAAAAATAACTAAAGCAAAAAAGGGCTGGGGGTATGGTAGAGCAACTAAAAGCCCTGAGTTCAAATCCTGCACTGCAAAAAACAAACAAAAAAACTTTAAGACATTGTAGACAAAGAATAGCATCTAATAATTCTTAACCTAATGAGCATGTATTGACAAACGGTCAACAGTTTGAATTCTTGACCTCATGTAATCTTCACAATGTCCTTAGGAGGCAGAAATATTTTTATTATTATCCTCCTGTTATAGAAGAGGGAAGAGAGGAAGGGAGATGTTAATGAGCTCAAAGCCACTCAGGTACCGATGGAGAGGCATCATGCCTTGAAGTCTTAACTAGCTTAACCTGCTTCAAGATCTGTTCCATGTTCTGTAAAGGAGACTTACTAGGAATGATCAGTTTTTAGAACTAGGATGGAAATAAAAGATGGGCTGCTTTGAAGATGCCTGTGGCCAGGTTCCACTGCTCTGTGTAAGCATTGCTTATGAGAGTGACTGATGCATTGATAGAGCAGATGAGTGATTCAGTGCTAATGGATTAGGTCATTGTATACAATGGATACTTATGGTCCAAAACCATCAACAAGATTTTTTTTTTCCTTTCTTTTCCCAGTCAATGATGGTTTGAACCAACCTACAGATGACTCATGCTTCGACCCCTACACGGTTTCCCATTATGCCATTGGAGAGGAGTGGGAGCGATTATCTGAATCTGGCTTTAAACTCACTTGCCAGTGCTTAGGCTTTGGCAGTGGTCATTTCAGATGTGATTCATCTAGTGAGTAGCTTGCTTTGCTTCAGTTCCATGCATTTGCACTAATGTATCAAGAAAGCATGTTTGGTAGACAAAGGCTCTTCCAAACATGAAGCAAACATAAAGATACTGTTTGACTCAAAGTAACATTTTGCATCATAGAAATATGATGGGAAATTTTACTTATTGAATATTGCTTCATTTCAAGGGTTGTATGCTAATACAATTATTGATTAAAAATAAGTTTGTAGTGGTGGCTTGATTTTTGAAGTTTTCTGTTTAATCAATAAAGCCAAACTCATTGGAGCCATGTCTAACTGGGAGTACCAGAAACACAAAGAAACCCCAAATCTCTTTTAATCTTTAGTTTGGAGTGAGGTCAGAGGTGAACATGTATACTCACAAACACTCTCTTTTAATACCAATCAAACAAACATTTATCATAGTACACATATCACATACATACACTACACAGACACACACATCAAACACAATCATAGTACACACACATACACACACCAAAATAACCCAGATAGCTCAAACATTGTTAACCACATAAAAGAAAGTGGTAAGAATCAACTAGAATTAAAATGATATGATTTCAATATAAAGAGATTTTTAATTTTTCAATTTTCTTACTTAAAATGATCCTAGGAGTTATCTATTATGCTTTGAGATTTAATATTAGAATTTATAACTTTTAATTTATCCTTTATTTTTAGGAGATATAATTATTATTGACAATTGGTTTATTTTTGTAGGTGTTAACCATTATTAGGCCTTATGAACAAACCTCCTAAGGACAATTGTAGAAATTGTATTCTGTGGAACTGAAATGCAACAGATTTAAAACTTTTCTTTAAGAGATTTTACTTCACTTGTATACATAAAATGGTTTAACATTGGACATCAACTAAGTGATATTTAACTTCTGTAACTAAGCTACTTTTAAATTTACTTTTTTTTAAAAATCATGTATAAGTACTTAGGTGTAAATGTGGGGACAAACTATAAGTTTATGTAAATCTTCTGCTCAACTTACATATTGTCTGTTTAAATGTTATAATTGCATAATATCTTTTCTTCCAGTTTAAGGAAGGCTGAATTGTTGATAAAATGGAAGAAATAATGCATTGTTGTATGAACTTGTGAAGTGTGTTCTGTTTCATACAATACTTGGAGATTAAAAAGTCATTTTTTATGTGTGTAGTTACAAAAATACAACTTGTGACTTCAGGATATTCTTCAGAACCATTCTTCTATTTGTAGGAATAGTAACTTTTGATTTATCATTCTGTTGCGCTTTTGTTGCCCATGTTTATTCTTTTATTCTTTCCATTTAGATGAAACAGGTGATGGCAGGTAGAAACCAGCCAATATCTATTTTAGGTTTAATTGAACTACTTTGTATCTAGGGCCTCTGCAAATCTAAAAATGACTTTTTCTTTATTTCTAAAAAGCTACTCCAGCCCTACTTCAGTTTTCCACAATTTTAAATCTTACTAATGAGAATTCAAATGAAAGTCATGAGCTAGTTCTGTGACAATACTTTGAAGGAATAAATCTTAAAATGGCACAGAATTGGTTCATTTTAGGGATCATGATCTTTAATGGCCACTTCTTCTGGATTGATAGCTTTTAAAATACTATGACATGTCCCAGTGCACTGGCTGTCATATGAGTCAGAGTGCAACTAACTCTTTGCCTATGATGTCCCATCCATACAGAATGGTGCCACGACAATGGTGTGAACTACAAGATTGGAGAGAAGTGGGATCGCCAGGGAGAAAATGGTCAGATGATGAGCTGCACATGTCTGGGGAATGGAAAAGGAGAGTTCAAGTGTGATCCTCGTACGTCATCACAGATCACTTCCACAGCCTTATGAAGGGCTCCCACTTTCATTACTGGGCTGTAACTCTTGTTCACAGGATTGATTGGAGACTTTAGGTCTCTCTCTGAGGCTTGAACAGTGGGTTTGTTAATCTCTTAATTTAGAAAAAGAGAGGCAAGCTTTAAAAATGAGCCAGGACAATGTTTTTACAGGGTACTTTAGCAATTTTCTAACCTGAGGATTTTAACTATTATGTGCAGTGAAATGTTGCTATTGGTCTATAGATTCAACATTTAAAATATGACTTCCGTCTTCCTGTTGAACCTGTTAGATCTAGTTTTGGGAAATACTGCCCTAAGATCTACATAGCAGTACCTCTCATGATGATTCACATACATTTAGGAGATTTGGGCTGTGATGATACAAATGTATCAAGTTGGATCTGCATTCTGTTCTCGGTCTTACAAGTACTTATTTGTGCTCTCACGTAGATGAGGCAACGTGTTATGATGATGGGAAGACCTACCATGTAGGTGAACAGTGGCAGAAGGAATATCTTGGTGCCATTTGCTCTTGCACATGCTTCGGAGGCCAGCGGGTAAGACTGTATGCACTGAGCTCCCTGCAACATAGATGAAGACACAGATAAGACTCCTGCATGAATGTGCTGGGTACACAGTTGTGCCAGGACCTCTTATGAGGAGTCCATAAGACTCCGGAGTGTCCGTCTTCAGTTGTCCCCTCCTTGACAGCCTCAGCCCCTCTCCATTCCACCTATTCTCATGCCATCCTGTTCTTCAGCACCTGAAATGCTAATGCTGTGAGTACAGATCCCTCAGCTCCAAGCTGATGCCCCTGTGGTATTGCTGCTAAATATTTTGAACAATACCTTCAGCAAATAAAATGCTACCTCTTTGTGCCCTTCTTTAATCTAAAACTAAACCCCTTGTTACTGCTCTAACACTGCCAAGTAACAAGGGAATATGTGTCCCTGGCCCTTAATGATATAGTTGGAGACATTAAATTAGCATAAATGCAAAGTCAAGTTGATGAAGTGAGATTCTGAGTGAGTCTGACTAATAGTTCTGGGTGGGCTAGAATCAGTTAGAAAGGTTTTATAGAAAAGACAAGCATAAACTGGCTGGGATTTACCATAGCTGAGATTTGGTTGAGGGAGGGAAAGAAGTGGAAAGATAGTAAGTCCCTTTTAGAAGCTGTAGGATTCTATGAAAGACTCCTCCTTCCAGTGCAAAAAGCATATTAAGAAAGTTGGGAATGAATGAACCTTAGCAGATGAGTGGGACTTGCACAGGAAGAGAAGCAAGGACATTTCAGAAGAAAGGAAAAACATAAGTAGACAGAACAAGCTTAAGATATGATAATAAGCCAAAATGTATTCTAAGAGTTGTGAATGCATGAGATCATCATCAAAGCTTCCTTAGTGATTAACTGCTTATATTTTGCCAATGCATAAGAGCTGAAATTCTTTAACTCAAGCACTAAATTATGATGTCCTTGGGTTATCATAAACTCCACTTGACTTCATGCCTCTCCTCTCAGGGCTGGCGCTGTGACAACTGCCGCAGACCTGGGGCTGAACCCAGTCCTGAAGGCTCCACTGGCCACTCCTACAGCCAGTACTCACAGAGATACCATCAGAGAACAAACACTGTAAGTGCACTTGCACCTGAATGTCTACCTAAATGCAATCAGGTGCATAGCAGAGGTCTTTCTTCTGAAGGAACCAAATGATTTTTATTTAAAAAAAAAATCCTTATAAATTACTTATGAAGAATACTGTATCCCAGAGCATAACTTACCATTTGTTAAATTCCTGAACATCTTCTATCATATATATTGATAGGTTCTTGAAAACATATAGTATCCTTCCTATACAGTTGTTATAGTAGTCTCCTCTGCCCACTTGTTTTTTCTATATACTTTAGAATATTTTTCACTAATCTTTTTCTTCTTTTTTCATTTTAACAGAATGTTAACTGCCCAATTGAGTGCTTCATGCCTTTAGATGTGCAGGCTGACAGAGACGATTCCAGAGAGTAATATTTGCAACACAAGGGAACAAGCATTTCTCTCTGCCAAGGCCCATCCAAACTGGAGTGATGGTAGCAGATCCCATCTTTGAGTGTTTGTTTCTTTCTTAAGCCTTTTGCTCTGGAGTTAAGTTCTCCAGCTTCAGCTCAACTCACAGCTTCTCCAAGCATCACCCTGGGAGTGTTTTGAGACTTTTCTCATAAATGAGGGCAGTGCATTACCTGTTCTACTTCAGAATATTCAATACCCCGCTCGGTGTTTTAAAAGAAATGATTCTCAGTATGATTTGGTTTGGAATCAATAGGGAAGTGTATGCAGCCAACCAAGATTCAAAATGTATCGAATAATACTACCAAAAATTTTAAGTAGGAAAGTTACCCAAACACTCTGCTTTCATTTAACTGTCTGGCCTGCAATACTATAGGAACAGCATGTCCTGTTACTGTGATATTTAAAATAGCCACAGTACTCTTCCAAATGACTCTAACAATTGCCTAGAAATATCTTTCTCTTACCTGTTATTTATCAATTTTTCCCAGTATTTTTATATGGAAAAAATTGTACTGAAGACACTTAGTATGCAGTTGATAGAGGGATTCGGTATGGCTGGTGATTATTTTTTATACTGTATGTGCCAAAGCTTTACTACTGTGGAAAGAAACTGTTTTAATAAAAGATTTACATTCTTCAACTTGAAGGTCTTTTTTTTTTTAATGTAAGGTATTTAGGGAAGAAATAATAATCCTCATGAATGTTATTTCTCTTTTCAATTCAGCAAACATTTGAAAATCTATGACAATTCTTGAGGGATTTCTTTATAAGAACTTCTGCCTGTTGCTACAAAAAGATTCATTTTTGTCATCTCATCTCTTCAGTAGTGGAGATAGCTTTATGTTTTCTACCTTAATAGTTTAAAGCAAACTCAAATATTTATTAAACTTGCTAGCTAACACTTGAGAAGTATAACTGAAACAACCTGTATTTGCTCTTTTCTAACCATTATAATGCTTCCTTTCCTCCCTCCTCTTTTCATTCCTTCATTTCAATAGACATCTATTCAAATAGATTACCTGTAAGGAAAATAAAAGTATGACTGAGTTGTTAAAAAACTATTTGAATAGTATTGTATAGGGAATCTCTATGCTATAATAACCTCAGTATCTGTTCATATCAACTTTCATTTTTGGCACAATTTTATAAACTCCCAACTGAACAGTTCGTTTATTCCTTGTCTGCAAAGATCATTTCCTTTCAGTTTCACCATGGAGAAATAACAAAACTTTGGGATTAAATCTGATATTCCAGCCACTGTGGTGGCTCACATCTATAATCCTAATTTACTCTAGAGGTGGAGATTGGGAGGATTGAGGTTCAAAGCCAGCCCTGGGGGAGGGGCGGGGAGTGGAGGGAGATTCTTGAGACTCCACCTCAACCAATAAAAGCCCATTTAAAAATCTGACATTCAGAATAATAAATAGTGGCATAGGAAATAGTTGATTATCCATTAGTAAAAGACTCAGAAAGCACTTAAAAAATACATAACACTAACATTTGAATTGATTTACAATTTTTTTAAAAGTGCTTTGACATTCAGCATTCCATTTAAAGATTTCTCAGCCTAATTTTACAGAGAATACAGATGAATTTTTCTCAGCAAACCACAGACCCAGACCTGGATTTTATTTAACATCTCTGGTCTTTCAGCTTTACCAGTCCAGTAATTACCAAGCTAGCTGCTGTTTATATGGTACAATATCACAAGAAGTGCAGATCAAGGTGATATTAAATGACTTATTTGACATAGGTGGGTCATCACTGCACTGCTCACTCATCAGGACTCCACGCTTTGTGCAATGGGAAATCCATGAAAACTTGGAGGAGAAAGTGAAATGGCACCTTCATCTTCATGAGGTGGTTGGTCAAGCAGGCACCTCAGCCTGCTTTAAGCTTAAAAACAAAGAAGGCACAGCTTCCGGTTGACACTGACTATGCTTCAAAACACTTGCCAAAATACAAACCTAAGAATATTTTCCCTAAAGTACAGTTTAAATAAATCCAACTGGACTGTATTAAGTGGATAGCAAGTCCTTTTGATACTTTTATGAAATGTAAAACCACAACTAAGATTAAAAAAAAATTTTTTTTCCACAATATCTACTGGATTTTAGAAGGTTGTTAGGTTACAAATTAAACTCAGAACAAATTAAGCAAATTTAAGTGGCCTTTTCTGTGTAGACATCACAATGTAAGAATGATAAAGCTTTCTTCTTTTACTGAGCATTTCTCAGCAAAAATCAAATGAGAACCACGTGCTTCTAAAAATCTTTTACGGGTCACATTATTGGCTCCCCTAAGAACTGTCTTAAGCAAACCACACTGAGAGGTACAATTAAAAAGACCAATCTGGATGTAAGCAAGAAATGGACAACTCAAGAAAAATTAGGTGAAACTAGTAAATATTATTAGAGTTTTAAAAGAAAGTAAGTTCTGAAGTTTTACTGTGCCATGCTGTACTTGATTTGTCATGAAATTTATTGTCTATTTATGTTGTTTTCAGCTCAAATGGCCTAAATGAATTATGCAAATTAGTCCATAATAATATCAGTATAAGCCTGTAAGGCACACTTTCTAGGGAAGTGAATAAAGAAATGATCAAGTGGAAATTACAAGTACAGGAAATGACTTTTTCTATTTAATTATACTTCCATTGAAAATTCTATTCCATTTCTAGTTGTATGAAACTCATTAAAGTGATTAAGAAACATCACATCAGCACATTTAAGTGCCGAAATTGCTTCCTATTCAGTAAATTCCCATTACTGTGGTAGGGAAAGTGGCAGGCTACAATTTTAAAAATCTTATTTTCAAGGGATACAATTTAACTCTTAAAAAAAAAAAAAGGCCACCGTTGGAACGTCTCATGTTTGGGGACATTTAAAGATTACCAAAAGGCTGGCAAAGCAGAAGCAGCATAAAGATGACCTTGTACAGACAGAAGATTCATGTCTACTGCACTTATATTTGAGACATGAGTTATTTTCATTACCACAATGTCCCACTCTATCCTCATTAAAACAAAAGATTCAATTTGAATTGCAAACACAAACCTATATAAATTACAAATGAAGAGAAGAAAATACTGTAGTAATAAAAGAGCAAGAGAAATGGTGTTCCAGCTAAAAGCCCCAAACGGGAAATTCCTTTTTTAACATTTCTCTGTAGAGAAAGGTATGAGATATGAAAGCATGTTTTACATTTCCTTGAATTCCTTTTTACTTACTCTTTAGAGACATGTAAGTTTTAATAATCCTAGGAGCCAAATTTATCTCTCAAATAGCTCTTGTGTGGAGTCCCCCAAAGGCTTGAAATTAGCATTGGTTGGAGGCTGCATGAGGCCATGGACCTGGAGTTAGTATTCTGCATTGGCATAGAATGAACTTGCCCATCCTCAGCCTGCATTTAGGTCAAAGATTCCACCAAAAAGCTCTTTGCATCACAGTACTTTGGAAAGGGCCAGTTCATTCCAGAAGGCAGCACTGCCTTGGCCAGGAGATCACTAGGCAGGGCTTTATAATGAGACCTGCCCATCTCTGCCATTCAGCATTGGTTGTAAGATGCTGAGCCAAGCACTGAAAAATTTTCAGTATTTTTGAGTCAGGAACATGCATGGAGGTACTTGAGCCCTCAGACACTGCTGGTGGAAAGGTAAAATGGTGCAGCTGCTGTGGATAAGTCTGGTGGCTCCTCCAAAAGTTAGTTACCATATGATCTTGCAATTTCACTTCCAGTTATATAGCAAAGGAATTGGAAATAAACATTCACACCAAGACTTTTGTACACAATGTTCATAGCAGCATTATCCCTAACAGCCAAAATGTAGAAACAACCCAAATGTCCATCAGCCGATGGTGGATAAGCAAAACGTGTTACACCCGTATGACGGAATTATATTTTTCTATGAAAGAAATGAAGTGCTGGTAACATTCTGCAGCATAAACCTTCAAAATATTAAGTAAAAGAAGCCAGACACAAAATGCCACATATTGTAAGATCCCATTTATGTGAAATGTGCAGAATAGGCAAATCCATGAACATAGAAAAGAGCTAAGTGATCGCCTAGGATTGGGGGCGGGGTCAGAGAGTATGTGGGCAATGGGTAACAGGAACAAAGCTTTTTTTTTCTTTTTCTTTTTTGTTGTACTAGGGTTTGAATTTATGGACAGGAACTATGCCACTTGAGTCATGTTCCCAAACTTTCATGTTAGGATGATGAATATATCATGGAAATAGTGATGGCTGCCCAACTTTAGAATATACTTAAAACCACTGAATTGTACACTTTACAGTGGTCAAAATGGTGAATTTTATCTTGTTTTGGGGCATACTGGGGTTTGAAATCAGGGCCTAGACCTTAAGCCACTCCACCAGCTCTATTTTTGTGAAGGGTTTTTTTGAGATAGGGTCTCACTATTTACTCAGGCTGGCTTTGGACCTTGATCTCTGCCTCCTGAGTAGCTAGAATTACAGGTGTGAGTCACCAGCAGAATGTCTTTAATATCTTTTTGCTTATTGGAAGAAGTGAGGCATGGGAAAACAGAATAAATGAAGGCTGAAGGAACTCAAATAAATTTTGGTTACTAATTTGGAAATTTAAGTAAAAGCATGCATAAATATACACTTACTGCTTTTCATAATAATTTCCATAATTATCTTCCAGTGCTTCCCATGCTTCCACGCATACAAAAGCAATGTGAAAATAATAACCAGCATTTTTTCCAAACAGTATTTATCATGTGCCGGGTGGTTCTCGAAAGGCCCTTAGTATTTTGTCTCTGAAGAGTAAATACTCTTCAGAGGAACCCTAAGAGGTGAAGATTGTTATTAATTATTCTACAAGCAGAAAGTGAGGGTGGCGCTAAGTGAACTGTCTAAGATTACACAGCTTTGGGTACCAGAGCTGGGACTTAAACCTGACAAGACCTTCAGGGCATATGCTTTTGACCAGAGCTTTTCAGCCTCTTCAAGGAGTGAATCCATCCCATCCTATAGAAGCAGCAAACCACAAGAAGTTAAGGCACACATCCAAGAGCACCTAGCTGCTGAGTAGCAAAACAAGGCAGTGATTATACTAAAGGCACAGAGATGATCTCCTGGATGGGGCCACGATCAAGTACAAGAATGTGGAGGGCTGCTGGCAAAGTTCTGTTTTGACCTCATTGCTGGTGACATAGGTGTCCACTTACAAATTATTCTTTAAACACCCAGTGAATGTTTCATGCACCATTCCCTATGCATGACTTACTACAAATTTTTTCTTTGTTGTTAAATTTGTAGTTGGGCATGGTAGTTCTTACCTGTAATCCCAGCACCCAGGAGGCTGAAGCAGGAGGATGGCAAGTTTGGGCCAGTGTGGACTATATAGTGAGACTGTCTCTGAAAAACAAAACCCAACACACATATATTGTGGGGGAGGAGGGAGAGCATAATTTAAAACAGAGATAAATTTGTGCCTAGCAGTGTTCAGCAAAATTAAGATTAAAGAGTGTCCAGAAATGGAAGTAACTGGGAACTTTAAAACCTGCAGGTTTTTGTGTTGTATGGAAAGGAAATGGATCCAGGCCTGAGCAGAAGCAGATGTCACAGAACCAGGCAAAACCACTTCAATAGCAGACAGGAAATCATTATGACTACTATACCTTTAAATGTCAGTGAAACTTCAGTCCTGGTTCTGAGGTGTTTTGGGTTTTGTTTCCCTATTATAGTCCAAGCTGTCCTCAAACTTTCAATCCTACCTCAAACCCCAAATGTTGGGATTGCATGTCCCACCATACCTCATCCCCTTGGGCAGTTTTGAATGTTTTAACTGGTTAGTTTTCAGACTCTCCCAAAGTGTACCTCCTTGGCTATGGCTACCTACAAGATTAACCTGAGTAAATATAAATGGAAACAGTAAGCTGGAGCCAAACAAAAGGCACCTAGGAAGTGAACTGGTGATGTTTTCAGTGACAGGGTGAGAGCTGGTAGCTTTTTACTGCTTGATAGACAGTGGGAGGGTAAATGAGAAAGAACCTATTGATAGGCCTAAACTGAATTGTTTTGTGGAGTAAAAAATGAATGATGGGTCTTGTGGCTTGGTGGTCCTCACCAGGACTCACTCAACCTTCCCCTTCTTGAACTCCTAGGACCAAGGACACACCAACTATCTTGCCTCAAGCTCTGCCTACCTGAACGGCAGGGCACAGGTGGGGTAAGAGCACATTTCAGAACAGGATTTGAAAAGAATTAGTAATATACTAGACATAGAAGAGAAAAAATACAAGTCCTGAAATAAAGCGCTCCACAGATGGGACAATAGCATAATGGATACAATGTAGAAAGTAATGAAATGGAAGACCACCTGCTGAATAGATGCTCTTCAGCTTTTTCTGGAGTTACAGCTTGATAAACTACCAAGTTCAAAATACCACACATAGAAGATGGATATAACATACCTACTGAATAGCATAGCTTACAACACAGCATACTCCTGTGTGGCAATTGTTTACTCTCAGGATCATGCAGCTGGGAGTTATGGTCTGCCAAGCCTAAGGGACTTTTGCTCTGCATATTGCTGGCCGAGAAAGAGTAAAAAGTTTAATTCATTTATTTTGTACTGGGGTATAAACTTAGGGCCTCACGCTTGCTAGGCAGGTGCTCTTATCACCTGAACCACTACACCAGCCCTTTTTTTTTGTGATGGGTTTTTTCAGGATATTTGCCTTGGGCTGGCTTCGAACTGGAATCCCCTGCCTCCTGAGTAGCTAGGATTATAGGCATGAGCCACCTGTGCCCAGCCAAGTAAAAACTTTAAATCTGAAGTATAGTTTCTACTTAGAGTGCATGTCACTTTTGCACTACTATCAAGTCAAAATTGTAAGTTAAACTAAGTTAGGGAACTGTATGTACTTTTAATCCTTTTGGAAAACTTTATTGCCTAGTTATGCTTACAAAAATACTCTTAATATATTAGTACTAGAAGGGGAGAATGGGGGAATTGAAATAAAATGGAGGAGGTTGCATTTGTTCAAAGTACACTATGCATGTGTAGAATTATCAATGAAACCCCCTTGTATTAAAAATAAATGTAAAAACAAAGAATGGTACTGCAAAATTTGGCAGTTAATGCTGATGTACAGATTGATCAAATTAATCGATTCTCACACTATTTTACATGTGGAGGGAAGGGGACAATGTGAGACTCCATCATTACTTCCCAGGTATGAGGTTATGTTACATAATTTTCTAAGAGTCAAAATGGTAACAGCTGGTAAAATTACATGCATAAACATGGCTAGACAATACTGTGTTAAACAGAGCCAAAGTTGTTCCAGTAATTATAACCTTAATGCTTACCTTCAGTAAAGCTAAGGAATAATCAATAACTTGGGGGAGACAAAAAGCATACTTAGTAATTTGTGAGCCAGAATCTGTAATTATCTACTTATTGCTACATAGCAACTTACCCTGTGTTGTGACTAACAACAGCATGAATCTCTCTGTATCTGGAGGTCAGGAATTCATAGAAAGCTCCTTTGGGCAGTTCTGGCTCAGTTATCTCAGGAGGTAGAAGCCAGATACGGCCTGAACTGGACTGAAGGATCCGCTGAGAGATGGCTTACTCACAGGCTGGCAGCTTTCTTCGGCACTGCTTACAATTCCTTACAAAGTGGCCAGGGCTTACTCCAGAACAACAAGTGATGCAAGAAACTAAGGCTGAGAGTGCAGTGTCTTGTGATCTAACCTCAGAAGTCACGCATTTTTTTTCTGCAGTACCTTAATCACTTACCTCAGTCTTTTTCAATGAGGAAGGGAACCATGTAAGGATTGCAAGATTAGTTAATATATAAATAACTTACAGACTGTGTGTGGTGATGCACACCTGTAAAAAAAGTACTTGGGAGGTGGAGACAAGATGATCACAAATTCAGGCCAGGCTGGGGTACACAGTGAGTCCCTGTCTCAAGAAATAAAAGACAGCATGTGCCTATAATCCCAGCATTTGGGATGCAGAGGTGGGAGGATGGTGAGTTCAAACCAGCTTGTGCAACATACGGAGTTCCTGGTCAGTCTGGAATAAGAGACCCTGACTCAAGAGAAAAAAAAAACTTACAAAGAAGACTTTTAAAAAATTAAAGATTTTTATTTAGGAAGAGAGTAGGTTAAAGACACATGAAGTAGGCAAGACTCATCACCTATTGTGGTGAATGTTGCTAAAAGGTTTTAGCCAACCATGCATGTACTCTATTATGTCAAGAGTGTGGAACACATGCAGGGTACATGGATGCAGTTATGTCCATGTTTTTTTTTTGCATTCTGCGGTCTGAGCTCAGGGCCTCACAGGCTTGCTAGGCAGGAGCTATATTGTTGAGCTACACCTTCAGTCACACAGTTATGTCCTGATGCAGAGGTACTGCTCTCCTCCTGTGCTGACTTTTGGTGACAAACCTGCATATGGGGTACATATCCACACACTAAACAGCAAATGTAGTTTTTTATGTTGTTTCAGATGGTAGATGTAGGGCTACTAAAGTTATGGGAAACATTTCACTTAAGACAGGAAGAATGTGCATCAGCACTGTCCAGAGGGATCCACATGACTTCCTAATCTCCTCAAAGGTTCCAGTTCACAGGGGATAATCTATTTAGAAAGCAGACAGCCATGTTTCTTAGACATGTGATGAAAAAGAGGCCCTGCCTGCAAGGAATCCCATGTGGGGAAATATGTGGAGCTTAAGGCTTGTGCCATCCTTTCTGTGGGATTCACACATGGAATGCTGTAGGTCAGCCAAGCTCTAGGAGAGGTGCTCTTGTGTTCCTTGCACGTGTGATGTGTCAGTCTAAGAGCCTGTATCTTTTAAGTAAGACGCGACTACCTAAAACTATGGACCCAACTATTATGATGCAATATTTTATTTTTTGAAAAGGTACTTTCAAAATTTCACACGATTGTTGACCTACAAAGAAGCAGAAAATGAAATGGTATGTGACACATATCAGTGGTGGAAGAGCCGAAGATCCGTGTGAGCCAAGATTATTCCCAGTTCATCACAAGCCTCAATCACAACCTTGTCAGCAGCAGAACCGGAAGGAGCTGCAATGTAGGCCACACCACTCTGAGGGAAAAAAACAATATTGATTTTCAAAACACAGTGGCACATAAAAAACTGCAAAAATCAAAATACCCCTCTAAAAAGCATAAGCCAACAATGATTTATTCAGTCAAAAGAGTAGAATTTTGGTCATCTATATACCAAACAGAGAAGTTAAGTAATTCTCCAAATATTACTGATTATAAGACATTTGATAGGTAACTTAAAGAAGCTTAAAAATCAGAAGCAGGATTTCTGAAATTGTTTCTTGCTCAACTCTGTACAAATGTACATCAGTTCCTACTCACCCTTTTAGCTCTGTCTACATTATCCCTGAAGGGAAAGAAGGCATCAGAACTGACAGAAACTTCACATAGTTTGTCAATCCACTCCTTCTTCTCTGCCTCAGTTAATAACTTGGGGACTTCCTCAAACAGTGCCTTCCACTTCATTACATCTTCATCCTGAGGAGCAGGGAGGGAAGAAGGTCAGCCTGACATCATCTTTAGTTTTACCTGTGAAAAGCACAATGCCAGAAAGCACTGAGCCATTTTCTCTATGATTACTTGTAAACAACGACACAGCTCAGTCCGTATTTTTAGAAGTTCTTTGATGGTTTTTAAAACATTTTCATTACAGAAGGAAAGTGTTTCTAAGTTTACCAAACAGACTCCTATCATTTTCACATTCTAAATCAGCTTATTTCAAACATATTTTTTTAATCTACAAGTTAAATCTACTTTATAACTCTGTATCAAAGCAAAAAAGAAAATTATGTTCCAAAAGGGTTTTCAAAGGAATCACTCATCTCCAACCTTGACACATTCTAGAACTACATTTATACAGCAATTAGTCTTGGGTATAAAGTCAGCTATAGACATATCAAAACATAATTCATAGTATTTGAATGACTGTGTCCCCTCCAAGATCTATGTTCAAATTTATCCCCAATGTAACATTATTAACAAGTGGGACTGATGAGCACAGTGGCCTTGTGCCTGTAATCCCAGCACTCAGGACGCTGAGGCAAGATCCCAAGTTTGAGGCCAGCCTGGGCCACAGCGAATTCCCTGTCTTAAAAAAAGAAGTGAGGCCTTTGGAAGGTGACCTGGTCAAAAGGGCTCTGTCCTCATGGACTGGCACCTTATAAAAGGGATTCCAGGGGGTGCGTTTACCCTTTTGTCCTGTCTTACAATGTAAGGATACTGCATTTGTTCCCCCAAAATAATGCAGCAGTGCAGTGTCATCTTGGAAGTAGAGATAAGGGCTAATTACCAATTTTTAGGCTGCCAGAACTGTGAGAAGTAAATTTTTATTGTTTATAAATTACCTAGTTTGTGCGACTCTGTGTCACAACAGCAGAAATGGGACAAGACAGTTAAGTGCTGGCATGACAGTTGTGTGCTACCCTGTATGCCCCTCTTCTAGTACTATTAACAGCATTTGTTCAGTAATATCAAAAAGTATTAACGTAAAAAAGAAAAGGTGTTTTAAGGACTTCTGGGTTACAAGGCACACTGTGCAGCCTCATTCTTCAAAGAAGCTAATAGTATTCCTGTTCTCTATGGATAACTTGATGCAATAAATGCACTTCATAGGACCACCTCGTTTTTCATTACTGGACCTGTGGTTTTTCTACCCAGTATTGTGTTAAGCAATTCCTATGTCCAGAAACAGGGCTCTTTTTCTTTTGGGAAGTTACCTGATGTTTGCAATTAATGATGCCACATGGCTTTAAAACAGAAGACATTTAAAAACATGAAAGGTAACAAAAGCATATCCGGTTGTTAATGGACCTTGTAGAAAATGTGCTGGGAGAAGAAATCCACTAGTTATCTGCTATCAGCTTATGTGCATTTAATGTAGAATATACACCTGTCATGCAGTAAGTATCTGCTTGATACATGAGATATCTTATAATCCACAGGGAAAGTACAATCATACAAAATTAAAATAATAACTTTAAAAAAACAGAGAAAGGTGGTGATTTCAGAAAAGGACAAAAACCAATGACATGGAATGGAAAAATGTAACTCAGTGTTAAGAGAACTTGACTAGCACGTGCCAGGTCCTAGGCTCCATCTCCAGTCAACTCCCACCCCCCACAGAAATCAATGAAGTTAAATGAGACAGAACATAATGAGGAGTGGCAAAAAGTTTGAACAAATAATGTTAGACAACACAGAATTTCTATACCTCTCTCTATTATGATGAAGAGAAAGTCGATTACACATAAAAAGGTAAACATACTAACACAATCCACCCAGAACTCAATAAGCCTTTTACCTCGCCAATAGTGCCAGTCACATATTGATCAATGGCATTGGAAATTTCGGCTCTCTTCACCCCCGTTTTAAACTTCATGGAAAGTACTTGTGGATGGTGTCTAAGCCACCAATAGTTTGCCTTATCCCCTGCAAGACGTGTACAGTGTATCCGAGACTGCTGTCCAGCTCCAATACCAATAACCTAAGGAACAGATATTAAAATGAATAACTCTTCCAGCAATGCCATCTTCTCAAGGGATGTCAAAAGTGAAGCATTCATTCTGTATGTACACACGACCTCTTGGATTTAATCAAGCAATCTCAACAGCTGGCAATCCTAAAATTCTGAAAGACTCTTCCAGGTCACATGCTAATTAATATCCACTCGCCTGACCTGAACCTCCAGTTTGTGAACCAAAAAATTCAACAAATGCCAAGAAATGAGTTGAAGACACAATAAAAAGAAAGGGCTCCCATGCTGCTGAAGCTATGATAAAATTACTTCCAAGTTCAGAGAGACCTTAGTGATGAACTAGTTGAACCTTGCATTCAATGGTTCGGACACAAGGAAAGAAGTTAACATTGTATAGCAAAAACATCCAATACAAACGCTGTTTGACTTACAATGGGGTTACAGCCTTATAAACCCTAGTAAGTTTCACATCCTAAGTAAAAAAAACACTAAGTACACTTATTCTACCAAGCACAATGGTTTAAGCCTAGCCTACTTTCACAAGCTCAGAACATTTATATTTACCTATATTGGGACAAAATCATCTAACACAAAGCCTATTTCACAACAAATGCTGAATATCTCCTGTAATTTATACTATACTAGAAGTGAAAAACAAAGGTAATTCTAAGGTCAAAACATTACAAGTTTAGCTGTTTTAAGGTGGGGACCGTTTCTATCTTGATTTTAGGAGCAGTCATGCAACTGTATAATTATTTTCATTGTGTCCAAATTATGCCTCAAGAAATGTGATTTTAACAGATTAGGTTAATTGCTAGTCTAACAGTCTTTCTACTCAATAGATTAAAGGACAAGATGAGAGGCTGGGAGTGTAGCTCAGTGGAGCAACTGCTCAGGTGTGGAACCCACTCCAGCACCACACGCAAAATAAAGACACCATAAAAACGTGCCAATTCCTTCCAGCAAGCAGCACTACGACTGACTACAGCACTGGTTCCAGGGCTACTTCTTAATCATCATTAATTTTAACAGTCTACCAAGGTACTGAGTAAATAATGACAAACCCAAAAGAGAATAATTTGGCAAATTTTCCCTCTTAAGCTGTCCAGTACCTGAGGCAGATGGAATTTTGAATATCATTTTGTAAAACAACAGTCCCCGAGGTGAGTTTGACAGCTTGGTTACCTGCCCGTTCTTGGCATAGCACACGGAGTTAGACTGAGTATACTTGACAGCGATCGTGGCTACAATGAGGTCTCTGAGGGCAGAAGCTGGCAACTGAAACAAACAGAATGGTAACTCACACCAAGCTTTAAAAATTTCCTTTAGCTAACTTTACACTTCTTACATACCAGTTAATATAACACACCTATAATGTAGTCATGTTGTGCAAACGACAGTGAAATGAACTGCTCATGCTATATACTACATTTTACTAAAAGGATGAAGTATTTAACATACTTGTGGTGGAACTTTTGGCACAGTGCCCAACATGTCATAGGCTCAAGCTAATGACATTCTGCAACAACTTTAGATTAAGCTTCTGCACATCACATAAGATTTGTATTTGTTTAAAACAATGATGGTATGTTCTTGACCAGAGTATCCCTAAATATCTGTAAATACAATAAAACTTACATTCAGAAACAAATCCATTATAAACTTTTAGTTCAAATATAGTAATACATAATAGACAAAAACGTCACTGTCTTTTAATATAAAGAGTGAATAAAAATAGAACATGCTACGTGCAGCTAGCTGACTAAACTAGCTAACAATAACAACAAAAGAAAAACAGTAATGTGCATGCCAGCAATCCCAGCCCTCAGAAGGCTGAGGACAGCCTGGACCACATAGTGAGACCCTGTCTCAAAAAAAGTAAAGTTTGTGGCTCCTCCAAAATGAAGTTTCAACTCTGCAAAAGACCCCTGGGTTAAGAGGATAAAAAGACAAAAGTAAGAACTGGGAGAAAATATTTGCAAACTGTATAACCAATAAAGAACCAGGACTTGAAACATTAAAATAAGCAAGCAAACAAAAAAACTCTGAAAACTTTGCAACAAAAAAACCTAAAACAATTTAAACAGAAATTGAGCAAAAGATATAAAGACATTTCACCAAAAACAACAAACAGATGTGTATAAGCACATGGAAAAATGAAATAAGTATGTGAAAAAATGGTGAACATCATTGGGTTATCAGAAAATACAAATTAAAATCAGTGACACTTATCAGAATATTTAAATGAAAAACATACAGAAAAAAAAAAAAAACACCAAAAGCTTGTAGTAACAGAACCACTCATCTATTGTTGTTGGCAATGTAAAATGGTATAGCCACTCTGGGAAACACTTTGGAAGTTTTAAAAAAACTAAACATGTAACTACCATACTACAGAGCAATGAACATTCCTGGGCACTAACCAGAGAAATAAAAACTTAAATTCATACAAAAACCAGTACATGACTGCAAAATGAATGAAAACTACAGAAAAGATTAGTGGTTACCCATGGTTAAGGAGGGGAGGAGGCAGCAGGAAAGCAAGCTTGGCTATCAAAGAGCAGCAGGAAGGCTCCTTGTGGTAACAGCAGTGTTCTGCATCTTGACTACATCAATGTCAACTTTATGGTTGTAATACTTACTGTAGCCTACAAGATGTTATTATTCAGGGAAGTGGGGTAGAGTGTACAGGGAAAGTCTTACAACTGCACGTGATCCCACAATTTTTATTTTTTAATCTTAAAGAAAGAAAACAATAGGTTGGATTGAGAGCATGGCTCAACTGCTTGCCTAGCAAGTGTGAGGCCCTGAGTTCAATCCCCGGTACTACAAAACAAAAACAAATAAACAAAAACCAGGGGCTGGTGGTATGGCTCAGTGGTAGAACACTTGCCTAGCATATCATGTGCAAAGCTCTTGGTTTAATCCCCAGCACAGCACAGCAAAAGAAAACAAAAAACAAACCAGAAAACCCCCCACAGTTAGGAATTTCTTAGGAACTTATTATTCCAAGGCTTTATTAATATATTAAATCCTTTCTTAAACCTATGTGCTGCTGTTTGAATCACCAACTGTAAATTTGCTACTTAAGATTCTGAGAAAGCAGTCTACTAGATACTAAGACATCTATCTTCAAATATAACTGTGGTATTCTGAGTTAGATCAAGGAATATGAGAAACACCCCTGGGATGGGAGTGAGAAAACACAACAAACTGGAAGCCTTATTCCAGAAAAATGGAAGAGGAAATAACTTAAACATGTTCAGTGCTAATACACGCTCCAAATAGTTCCAGGTCTAATAGTTCAAGCTAATGATTTGGGGCAAGAAGATATTAACAAAAATCTGCTATAAAAGTGGGGATGGAGCTGGGGTACTGGTGGCTCATGCCTGCAATCCTACCTACTGGGAGACTGAAGTTAATCAGGAGGATCAAGGTTTGAGGCCAGCCAGGGCAGATAGTTCACGAGACCCACCAGAACAAAAACAGACCCAAAATGTGGCTCAAGTGGTAGAGTAAATGCTTTGCAAGTGCAAAGCCCTGAATTCAAACCACAGTTCTGCCAAAAAAACCCCCCAAAACTGAAAAAAACGGGGGGTGGGGGGTAGAGAGGGGGAATGGATGGATGGAGGAGGAGGACTTAAAGGACAAAACAACTATCAATTTCATCCTGAAAAGTTTCCAAATAGTTGTAAGCCTACACAAAGAAAACTTTAGTAAGACCCAAGAGGCACAGGGGTCAACATGAGTACCATGGAATGTAGGTCAATACTTTAAAAAGTACACTGGTCTGGGAGAACGGCTCAAGGGTAGAGAACTTGTCTAGCATGCTCAATGCCCTAGCTTTGATCCCTAGCACCACAAAAATTAATTAACTAATTAATACAACAAAAACAAACAAGTAAATGAAATTAAATTAATAAAATAAAATTTTAGGACTGGAGACAGGGCTTAAGTAGTAAAGTGACTGCCTAGCAACTACAAGGCTGAGTTCAAACTCTAGTACTGCCAAAAATAAATAAATAAATAAAAACACATTAACCAATCAGGTTAATAAAAGAGCATTATCTCACCTTAAAGTAACACTAATGCAAAAAACTGTTTCCAGCTGGAAACTGCAGAACCTCACAGACCTAACATATGCAATGAATTCCCAAAGGCTGAAAGACATTCCTCTGTAAAATGCCTACATATTTCTTTACTTCAAAGTACCACTAATCAAAAATAAAAGTGGAAAATAAAAATGGAAGAATATGCAATAAACTGACAAATGAGCTAAAAATGTGTCTTATTTGCTATATGCTTAACAGATACAACAAGCCAATAAAGATTATAGAGGTAGAGGGGTGTAAGAAAGAGAATCGAGGGGGTAAATTTGATCAAAGTACATTATATACAAATATCACATTGAAACTGTTTTGTACAATTAACAAAGGCTAGTAAATAGAAGGGAAAAATATTTTAAAACTAAAGGAGGGAGAAGAAAGAGTAACACAGGGGTCAGGCATGGTGGTGGTGGTGTACACCTCTAATTCTAACTACTCAAAAGGCAAAGGAGGAAGGCTCATGGTCCAAGGCCGGCCTAGGCAAAAGGCTAAGACAGTGAGACCCTATCAGAAAAACAAAGTAAGAAAGGACTACTTGTGGTTCAAGTGTTAGATCACTTGTCCAGCAATCATGAAGCCCTGAGTTCAAGCCCTAGTACCAGCCTCCCCTGAAAAAAAGAGTAACAGAGAGGAGAATACAATCAAAGCATATTATATACATGTATGGAAATCCTACATTGCACTAACAAAAATTGTTGGAAAAAAGAAAAAAGATTCTGAAGTTTATTCGAGGTACAGCTTTAGAAGTGAGACCCGGAAACAAAAGCAGCTCCTCTTGTCTTCTACTTGTTACCTCATAAGTGAGTAGCTTTCATAGAGACCAGCCCTTCTCCAGAAACACACAAAAAAGTTGGGCCACAGCGGACAACCAGCAAATATCAGCAGTTAAGAATCCCAGAGGAAAGGAAGCAGGAAGAAATGAGCCTAAGAATTTATGCTTTTTTCCTGAAGGCAGTTTTCAAGTAGCATGCAATAACTAAGAGGTAAATAAGCTGAGCACAGCTTCTAGAAGCCACACAGGACTGAGGGACAAAATTGGAGTAAAGGACATTATTAGATGACCTTATTTCCCTATTGTGTAACCTTGGGCAAATTTCTAAGCCACTGTCTGTGCCGTAATTCAGTGATCTTCATAACAGAGATGGCAGTCACCTCCCATAACATACCCAGAGATTAAATGAGGTCATAGGGTAATACATGCACATTCAAATAAATAAACAAACAAACAAACATACTATCATCCTAAGTATATCTCCTAGAAGATGACAAAGAGCCTAAGTACAAAAACTTGTCTACACAAACTCAGTGGTCAAAACACGGAAAATAGAAAGCACCTGAGTATCCATTATAATACATCTAGCCCTCATAAATCAACATTTATTGAAACATCTGAAGCCTAGTGCACACTCAAAAAACAAGTTACAGAAGACATGATCCCATTTATGCTTAACTAAAGATACATATCTCTATGTATGTAGTAAGCACATAAGCTTCTAGTGTGGTCTTTTAATCATTTTTTTTAGCTCACAGGCTTACTTGAAAACTCAAAGGTGAGCTGGCTGCTTGAGTATCTATCTACCAGTTTAATACAGGCCTTAATAAATGTTCAAGCTTATAAATATTGAAAACAGACCTGCTAAAGTTACAGCACTCAGTTCAGATATTTTCAAACTTACATCTTTATTCTTGGTAACAACATTGCTAAATAATGAGCTGTCGATGACACCATTATTTCTCTTCTGGCTTAAACGAAGACCAAAGAGAGTTCGAACTTCATTTTCATCTGGTTTGTAAGACTGATCCATCTAAGACAAAAATTTTAAAACTGAATTACATCAATAATCTTCAAAATCTTCATTATGTACAAAAGACTTTATTCTTGCTGACCAGTAGTGGTAATTCCAGCACTCAAGAGACTGAGAGGCAGGATTCTCAGTTTGAGGCCAGCCTGGACTACACAGCAAAAGCCTGACTGGAAAAAATAACTAAGTTGCATCCATTTTTCTAATACAAACATATGTGACATCACTTTAGAATGGCTGAGACACCAACACTTTTCTCCAAAATGTAAAAGTATAGTACTACATATACACAATATATTAAAAATCAATGATTCCAGTTAAAATATTTTTGGAAGTTAATCTATACAGGCCTTCAGGAGTGTCAAGAAATAAAACAGATTTGCTAATAAACAAACTGCTGCACACACAAAAAGACTGCATTCTAATTTATAAAATACTCAGCTGATAGTTAATTAGAAGTTAAAATGGGGGGCAGGGGCTGGAGGTGTGGCTCAAGTGGGAGAGCACTTAGTAAGTTCAAGGTCTTGAGTACAAAAAGTTAAAAGTGAGGAAAGCAGGAGTCTTATGGTCTCTGCTTGCTGTATGGTGTCTTCCTTTCCCAATATTAGAACCAACACAATATTAAGCCTGTTTATTAATAAGTCTACTTTGCTTGCTGACCATCCAAAAAGACTATATAGATAGTAAATTTAGTCAATGTCACCAAAACCAGGTTCACTGGAATCAATGGTTTTAATATCTTGTTAAAGTTGTAACTTAATACCTTCAAACTTCGAAACAATGTACTGGCGTTTACCCATAATAAGATGTCTACCTGCCATTAGCCAGGTAGTACAAATCATTCTGTGGTTGTAATCATGTGTCCATATGCAAGTTAAACCAAACTCTCAAAACAGATAAAGTACTGAGGAAACCCAAGTATTCCCTCCCACATGATGATGTCATGTGCCGAAGGGGTCATGACAATTAGCTGACGTTTCTAAAAAACATTTTCTGTGATGCTGAGTGTAAACGTTAATGGGTATTCACACCTGCTAACCACAAAAACCACTTGGTTAAGAAACTGAAGGAAAAAAAAAGGAAAGAAAAAGAATATAATGAGTTAGCTGTGTGGCTAACCTTGCTCAACTGAATTTGAAAAAAAAAGAAAACACAGCTATGTATATTTAATGTGGCATTTTCTTTCCTTGAAAAACTGGCATAAAATCTATGATGAATTATAGAAATGTTGGCATTTTACAATCAAGGATACACAGTTGGTCCTTAGTATTCATGGGTTCATTTGCAGATTTAATCAACCACGGCTTACAAATATTAAGAAAAAAAACTGTATCTGTACTGAATGCGTTACAGGCTTTTCTTTCTTCTTTATATTCCCTAAACAACACACTGTAACAACTATTCACATAGCATTTACATTATATTAGGTATTATAAGTAATGTAGAGATGATTTACAGTATACAGAAGGATGTACATATGTTATATGTAAAGACAATGACATTTTATAAAAAGGACTTCGGATTTCCTAACATCAATACCTTATGAAAAACAGTATTATGAATTTTTACTTTCAATTCAAGTAAGTCTTTGTCATTGAATTATCTTAAAAGTATAGGATAGTTTCCCAAATGCAGAAGAGCTCATAAAAATCAGGAGGAAAGCTCTCAAAAATCTAGCAGAAAAACAAGAAAGGAACAAGGACATGGATTTCATAAAAAGGAAGTAAAAATACCCTAAAATGAGAAGATTTTTTTTATCCCATGCACAATGAGAAATTGGAACTGCAATGAGGTGCCATTTTCAACTTCCTAACTGAAAAGATATGAAAGTTTAAAAACATAATGCTGGAAAGATGTAGGGAAACAGGCACCCTATAGATGCCCATTCGGAAACTAAAACTTTTGTCCACATCTAAGAGGGCAGTATCAGTTGAAATCACCAATACGCAGTTTGTTACCCAGACCTATTTCACCCAGGACTCTTCTAGGTTATTCTTGCAGTAGCTAAGACTGGAGACTAGTGTAATAAGTTAAGATAAAAAGCTATGGAACAAACTTCCAAGACTGAAGCAGGGTACATTTGTGTAAGAAAATAGAAAAAGAAATGCAAATACTGGCTGAATATATATTTTTAAATTTTAGCCACTCTTTTTTTTTAAATTGTTGTACCTGGGGCTAAATTGTGACATTTACAAAAGTTCTTACAATGTATCATAGTTGAATTCACCCCCTCCCTGAATATGTATTGACTGTATGCAGAAAAGTAAGCAAGAAATTTAGAGTATTAGTTACTTCTAAAAAAAAAGTAATAGTGGCAGAAGGAAAGGACAGGGAGATTTTCTAACAAATAATATTTAACCTCTTTTAAATAGGAAAACATGTCAATACATTATTTTTAAAAAATAAAAAAATTAAAATTACTATAAGGAAGATATCCTTATACCCCAATTAATAGTGCAAAAAAATTACAGCATTAAAGATAAATAAGCCGGATGTACTGGTACACACTGTAAGCCCAGCACTTGAAAAGCCAAGGCAGGAGGATCATGATTTGAGGCCTGCAGTATATAGGGAGACCCTGTCTCAAAAAGAAAAAAGGAAAAAAACCCCAAAATGGATAAAGAAACTACAGTGAAGAGGGATAAATTATAAAACTGTCTCTTTAAAATTTAAACATGGGGGGGGGAAAAGAAACACAAAATAAAAGAGAAAATTACTGTTCTAAACATGAACTGCAATGACCTGAAGAACACAGTAGCTTCCATTTTTCTTTTTAGAAAGTATTTTCAAAGCTTCTTCTTCATACCCTGGGGCAACAATACCATCAGACACCTATAAAGATATTAAATGTTAATTTTTATTTTTAAAAATGGACTTCTTCTGAGAAACTGAGGAACAATTATCAGTCTTAAACAATGCAGCAAAAATACCAAAAGATAACAAATCTAAAATTTGAAAGTTCTTTGTCAGAATACATGAACAGCTTAGCCTACCTTGTTTGCTGTCCTTTCAATTTTATTTTTAGTTTTAACTAAAAATATATGGGTGACTTACTCTTGTACATATGCTTTGGGAAGAAAAATGAATTCTTACTATTCTCAAGGTGGGGTTTTGCACTAGGAAGAGCATACTCAAGGCCTGGTTCTGTCAGTACCTGCTTAAATGACCTTTGCAGTTAACTGCTCTACCACTGAGCTATACCCCGCTTAAATGACCTTTGACAAGGCACAATCCTCAATACCAAGCAAGGACATAAGCTTCCATCACAGACATATCAGCTTGTAACTAATGATATGAACATCATGACCTTGAGATAACGTTAGGTTCACTGTGTTGGGACGGTAATGGTCGTAGGGAATCTGTAAGCAACTAAATGTTACCAAGCTGCAGGCTCCTTTGGCTCTTACCCTTTTTTATCCCTCTCTCTCTAAGCTATCTGAGCAACCTTCTTTTTCTTTTCTTTCTGTCTCCCCAATAGCATCCCCTCCCCACTTTCTAGAATGTTTGCTTAGTATTAAAGAGATGAGGGTTAGTTTATCAAATTTAATGTTTTCCCCATTACACAATCTCTTTCAGCTCTATACAGGCTATAAAATTCATTATTTCATCACCATCCAAGATATCTCTGCTCTTCAGTAACTCTAACATTGGCATTAAGATACACCCACTAGAAAAACTGTATCAAAATAGCCAGATATTCAATTGAAACACTAAATCTCAAAATTAACAACTTAAGGATTCATGTTCTACATAAAATACCAACATCTTATACGATAACCAAGTTATGGCTGCTTCAAATAAAAATCTGTATGCTACAGTTAAATGAACACTATGAACAAATAGACTTTACTCATAGATCAAAACATAGGAATCTCCACTAACTTCTCTGGAAATAATTTTCGCAGTTGGGACATCACACACATCAGATAATGCAATAAAATCACCAAATGAAGACATCCGATCAGCCCCTGCAAATAAAAGTAAAAACATATTTATCATGAAAGTATCCTCACACTGAAAAAGATGTTTGAAAATCCCTGTGTAATCAGAGAAAATCTATTTTCTCTAGAGCTAACTTTCTGTAAGTAATATATCAGTGCCATTTATTTTATCTTTTAAATTACTGTTTAGTAAAATTTTAGGTGAGAATAACCATACAATGTTTTTGCTACAAAATAATAAAAATTCACTCAACAGCCTAATCTAAAATTACATTTATCAAATGCCACTTATTACATTAAAATACTATCATACAGCCAGGCATGGTGGTATACACGTATAATCCCAGCACATAGGAAGTGGAGGATCAACAGTCCAAGGCCAACCTGGATTACATAGTGAGGAACTGTCTCAGAAAATAAAACAAAACAAAAACTACACCAAACAAACAAAAAAGACATGGAAAAAAAGTTATACTGATTCTCAAGTATTTAATAAAAACAAATTAAAGATAAATTGAAATCTCATAATGAAACAAAAGCTATTACTACTATATTCTATTCAGGATAAAATATTGATTTTTCTCCCCAAAAAGACAGAAACGCCATTATTCTCACCTCTTGCTCTTGCGTATGCAGTTGATACAGGTGTAAGGGTTTTATAGAGGTCATAGACCATACAGACTTTAGCTTCATCCTCACTGAGTGGAATTCCAACAGCAGCACCTGGTAGAGGAAAACCATTAAATAATCAATAAACCTAAAACCTCAAGTTGCTACTAGACAATTCCTACATCTAAGCATTTTTAAAAACATCTGTCTATGAAGTGTATTTCTAGCACCTCTGCCAAATTTAATAAAAATCTATTTAGCCAGGCAATTAAACACCAAGAATACAGTTGCAGGGAAAAATCTTCTCTCTGGCCCCTGAAAACAGAGTTGCTGAAGCCTGACAGCCCTGATGTGTGCAGGAAGCCATCCATTACTGACTCTTCCTGTTCCGCTTGGTATCATATGCCATTTATTTCTTCCCCACTCATATCACTTTAACATCCAATAAATAGTGAGTATAATTATGTATTGGACTGCCAGAAAACTGGTGACACCTACAGACGACTAAACTGTGGAATTAAGAACCTAAATGCAGAAGCAAAAAGGTACCTCATAACAGCTAAAAGGAGTATCGTAAGAACTTCTTTATGTTTACTAAAACAGATACATCTTCAAAGACATGGAAAAACATTTTGGTCTAGTACATTAAGCCATTTCACTTTTCTAAGGTTAACACTGCAAAAAAGCCATGGCCTGATTTTCCTATCTCATAATAATATCATACAATTAGATATGTTATTAGGTTATCAAATTTTATATTACTAAATCGATACTGTTATCAAGAAACACACCAAAGCTTTAAACCTCATAGGATATCTATATTCACATTAGAACTTGTCAAAATTCAAAAGAATTTTAGAAAAAACACATTTTTAGCACTTCCAGGGCATTCTAGAATGCAGTGCCTTACCTGCTGGGCTGACATGTTTGAAAGATGCTGCGGCTGGGATGCCTAAAGCTTCTTTGAGTTCCTTCACCAGCTGCCAAGCATTCAAAGCATCACACAAATTTATGAATCCAGGGGCTCCATTGAGAACTGTATATAAAGACATATAAACACTTACTAAGTAGGCTCAATAAAGCCTATGTACATTTCTTAAAAAATAAAAATGTGTATCAAGATCACACAAAAAAAGAGTACTTATGCAAACAGACTTATACATGCATATTAATAACTTTATGATAAAGGAGACCAACATAGCTAAGCCTGAGCCCATCTGTTAAAAAATGCACATGTACATGAACACACTCACACACCACAAGGAGACTAATCCAGCCAGACTAGAAATAAATCAATGAAGGGGTTCAGAAATTGGAGGCACTACGACAGGACTAACAGATCCACGCAGATTCAGAATTAAGACTAAACAATTGTGGGAATTATAGAAACAGTATAAATTAAGTTTATAAACCTTGCCAATTAAAAAATTGTATTATAAGCCAAAACAAGAGCTACAGGTGTAAGGAAAGGGGAGGGGGAAAAGTGCAGGGTTGTTTTCTTCTTATATAGCAGATACAATAAACCCTGTCTACAGGCAAATTGCAGTTATAAGACTGCAACTTCAGAGTTTGTCATTACTTATTTTCTTAACCACTAGAAGATTTTTTTTAGAAGCCAGTTAGCTCTTGTGAATAAGTCTAAGAAACTCATTATATACAAAGAAACAGTGAGTCACCACTAATTAAAAGTAAATGTGTAATTTCATTTCATTCATGTGTTATCTTGGATGGTTGAAACTTAAAAACAAAATAGGCAATAAACAGATTACAAAAGGAAAACTTAGGTATTGATCCAAATGAGTTGAAAACTTATGTCCATAAAAAAACTTGATTCCGTAAATATGAATCAGCACCTCTGGGCTTCTCTTGTCCCCAGTGGCCTGTCACAGGAGGTCTAAATTCTCTGGTTATCCAAGATAACAGCTCACTGTGCAAAGCTGGCAAGAGAAGTTCACCGTGGACCAGCACACTCCTAACTGCCCAGCCCAGCCTCATCTGTACATACACAGAGAGCTATCAGATGTTTGCAGATGATGGTGTTCATGATGACAGCTGGAATTTATTTAAAATGTACTCTGCCAGGCACTTCATATTCTTAAGTATCTTAGTTTTGTGCTTTGGTTAACAGATTATCAGTGACAAGTTAATTTATAAAGAAAGTAACTTACTTCCTATAGTCTAAAAGGCTGAGAAGTTCAAAATAGAGAGGCCAACATCTGGTGAAGGCCTTCTTGGTATGCCAAAACACAGCAGAAGATATCACATGTGTAAGGAGGAAGAGGAGAAAGGAGAAGAGAGGAGAGAGAACTGGACCAAGCTCATCCTTTTATAAGGAGCCCATTTCCTTGATAACAGCATTAAACCACTGCTTGAGGCAAAGTCCTTGTGACCAAATCACCTGTTAAAGGTCCTACTTTTCAACACTATGATGTTGGGAATGAAGTTTTAACATATGAACCTTGGGGGACACATTCAAATCATAGAATTAAGTCACAGAACAGCCACAACAATTCTACAAGTGAGATACCAACTCAGTTGAGGAAAATGAAAACTTAGATTTAAAAACTTGCTCAAAACTACACAGATGTGAAGGACTGTAAAGCACAGAGGGTGGTATTTGAGCCCAGAGCTCTTATTTTAACCACTGTGCTAAACTGCCTTTCACTTTGGGCTAAACTGATTTAACCAAAACAATTACACAGTCCACATTATGAGGATGAGAAAAGGGGACAGGTGCTATGGCTCAAGTGGTAGAGTGACTACCTAAGCATGTGTGAGGCCTTTAGTTCAAACCCCAGTACCACCAAAAAATAAATAATTAAAAAAAAAAAAGAAAAGAAAAAGAGGGTGAGAAAAGGGAGAGTATAAAAAAGTTAAATCTTTATCTTCCACTGGAGGAAGTATAGATAAGATTGAAGTTTGAAAATTCCAAATACAGTCATTTGGAAATATGAAGATAACCGTAAGAAACACCTTAAAAAATGAAAGCAGTGGCCTTTGGAGCCACTGGGGAAATGCTTTTTATTATAAGCCCTATAAAAACATGAACTTGTATACTATAAATTACACTTTTGACAATCATAAAAATTAACTTTAGAAAGAAGACAAACCAACTCTTGAAATTAATCAGTATATAAAGTTTTTAAAAATATAGTAAGCTGGGTATGGTGGTGCACTCCTGTAATCCCAGGTACTTTGGAGGTGGACGCAGAAAGATTGCAAGTTCAAAGCCAGCTGAGCAGTTAGGCAGACCCTATCTCAAAAATATAACAACATAGAGCTGGAGGCATGGCTCAAGTGATAGAGCACCTAACCATGTGTCAAGTGCTGAATTCAAACTCCAGTACTCCCACCCCCTCCCCAAATAAAGGAGGTAAGGGCATGGCTCAAGTGCTAAATCCCCTGCCTAGCATGCATGAGGCCTTGGGTTCAATTTCTGATACTGTAAAGAAAAAGAAATTTAAAGAAAGACAATTTTAAAAAGTTTCATCAACCAAAAAAAAAAATGAAAGTAATAAAATTTAAAAAATCACCATCCTCAAGAAGCTTAGGGGATAAGCCTAGAAGAAACAAACTAGGCAATAACTAGTAAGCTGTGAAAATATATCAGTTAGGTAGCACATGCTTATAAACCCACCTACTTGGGAGGCAGAGGCAAGAAGATCTAGAGTTTTTGGCCATTCTGAGCAAAGTTAGAGAGATCCTGTCTCAAAAACAAAACACAAACTGAAGGGGTAGAAGCGTGGCTCAAGTGGTAGAGTACATGCCCAGCATGTGCCAGGCATTGGGTTCAATCCCAAGTACCACAAAAGACAAAAAAAAAAAAAAAAGGTGAAATAGCTCACAAAGCCTTTAACATGCAAAATAAAACAAGACACCATATATACAGCTCCCCCATCTCCCTTCTCTTCACAGACAACCTAGCAAATGGTGGTGAGTGAGAGAAAACTTTTGGTTTCTGAAACACCTCAGAGTTAAGTACCAGGTTCTGCTCAAATATCAAATTTTCAAAGATATTAATAACTAGTTAGATATAAAAGAAAGTGCTACAGAAAAACCAAGTTGCTTCAACTATTAAGCAGCTGAAACAAACAGGACTGTCTCGTTTCTAGTCATAAGAAACCAGTCATTACAATCACACAAAACACAGACACACATTCTATCTTTATGCTTTGCTTCAGTTTTGGTTCTAGACACATGAACAAGCATACACTTTGTAATTACATTACTGGCAAATATTGAAACCATATGAAAAGGCAAAATGCCCCTTGGTCATGAAAATAAGCAAATCCTATGAATCTTCTGTAAGAAAAGATAAAAATTAAATATATTGCTATTTATGGGGCCTAGGACTTCCTCTGCCATGTTTGCCACATATAATACTCTGAAACTACAAAACACATACATAAATACACAAATAATGAACAATGAATAAAGATACATATAACATGAATGAAAATTCCTTTGAAAATGAAAAGTACAAGAACTGAAGTGCATGGGAAGGAATGGGGCATATGACAAGTGTAGAGCACCTGTGAGGACTGAGTTCAACCCCTAGTACCATGGAGGGAGGAAAAATCATTTAAAGATGTTCTACCTATAAAAATTTGTGCTAAATGTTGGGTTTCTAATTATTCATTCAATAGGGAACACACTAAACAATATTCTAAGCACTGGGGATACAGCAATGAATAATGACAAAGTTTCTGTTTCAGGAGCTGTCATCCTAATGGGAGAAGACAATCAAAAACAAAACAGCAAAACAGGGTGGTTGACAAAAGTGTGATGACCAGCTACTTTTGTCTGGGTGGTCACCAAAAGGATCTCTAAGGAGTTGAGATCTGAAAGACAGTCAATCAGAACTGTGAAGAGCAGAGGGAAAAATTCTCTATGAAGGGCTCAACCAGCACGAAGACCCTAGAGTAGAAAAAGCTGAGACTATGCTGGGAGCAGAGCCTAGGGGAAGTATAGTAGATTAGGGTCAGGCAGCATGGGGTCTGTAGGTTAGGGAAAGGTGCTTTAAGGAGGAATGAAGATCAATGAAGCATTTCAGGAAAGACGTACACTTCTAAGACTACTCTGTTGTGAAGAACAAAAAGGTCAAGAGAAAAAGTAGAGACCAGTGTAGCCTGGAAGACTTTCTGGGTGACTGTGGGGACTTGGGTATCATTAAGTACAAAATGTATCTGAGGTAAAAGAAGTTGTGGCTCCACTGAATGTGGTGGGGGAGGGAGAAGAGTATTTTAAATTCTCAAACCTCCTACCTTGCTCCCTCCATCTTTTCCCAAGATGGTGACAAGCAGAAAGGAAGCCAACAGGAAAACCTACTTTCTAAAATCTACTTTCTCCCACCACCCAAGTGCCAACCCTCCTGGCAGTGCTTGTCCTCCAACACTCCACACCTGTAATTCTCTCTCTGCCCTTCTCTGCTCTCCCTCCTGCCCAAGGAGGACATGCTCAAACAGCCCACCTCAGGGAAAAAAAACAGGACAAAACACTAAAAAACCTTCTCTTAATTCTACAAACATACAGCATCCTAATTTCTGTTCAAAGACTTATCCATCGTTATCATTTCATACATTCATACTTTTATTTTAGCCCACTACAACTGGACTTCTAGCCCTATCACTGCAAGAGAACTGTTTCTTCTATCATTCCCAAAACAGTCCTTTTCCTATTCTCAGCAGCATTCCAACACACTGAAATTCAAGTTTTTCCTCTACTGGTTCTTCCACTGCTTTGCCCACCAGGTGAAGAAGCACCTCAAATTTTGGTCTTGAGTCTCTTCTAAGAAATTCAGGCTGTGGCATCTTTGTCCCATGTCTTCAAAGACATCTGTATAACAAAGACATTCCAATATCCATCTCCAACTTCACCTTTCTCCACAACCCCAGTTTGTGGTTTTTAAAGAAGAGCAAGGTGCTGCATAACTCCAATATTTGTATTCACCAATGCAACCAGCATCTCTATTTTGGATGGTTGTAAGAAGCAGTATGTAATTTCTCTTCTAAATGTGAAGCAAATCAAATACAATATAGAGACAACAAGTATTCACACAGCAAACTGTGCTTACCTGTGATTGGAAGCTTGGGCTTCAGGGTGTACAGCTGGGCAGGAGTTTGATGAGGGTTCATTCCATACCTCAGGGGCATCTGAGATATTCCTTTACTGTACTGCTTCCTGAAGTAATCTGAAATTGCTTCATCATATTGCGCTGTATGAGTGAATGCCTACGAAAAGTATGAGTTTTGTGAAACACTAAGCAGCACATCTCAAAGTAGAGACAAGATGGTTTTAGGTACATAGCTAACTACATGCCTTGGCCCTTCACACACGCACACACAAATGAAAGATACCAATTAACAGTGAATAGCACAAGTAATTATCCTTTTCCAATTCTTTTTCAACCTATTTGACAGAGTAGTACCTGAAGATTTGGTTTCTCCATTTTAAACAAAAGGGTAGCAGCTCCAAGCAGAAGCCTTGATAGGTGATATAATCTAGAATCAATATCATTTGGCAAGTACTATACTAGCTGATATTATTTTATACTACTATAGAAGCAAGTCCCTACCTTCAATGCTAACTGGCGTCTAGTCTCCAAGGATGTATCCTTACTGTTGGAGCTCTGCATTTCTGTGGACACTGCCACATAGTCCTCTGGTTCACACACAACTGTCACTCGAGCATGGTTTTTGGCTGCGGCTCTCAGTAAGGTTACTCCACCTTTGAAGGACAAACGACTATTATTTATATACATACATACATATATATGAATATCAAATCATATCACGTCAATTGATAAATCTCTTTGAAACTTCTACTTTAATTCTTGGCTTAAAAAACCAAAGAAAAGTTGGACATTTAGCTCAAGTCTATAATCCTATTTGGGATCAGGAGGATCACAGTTTGAAACCAATCTAGGCAAAAAGTTTGAGATATCAACCAATAGCCAGACACGATGGCTCATTCCTGGCATCCAAGCTACATGGGAAAGCACAAATAGAAGGATCAGGTTCTAGGCCATCCCAGGCATAAAGCAAGACCCTATCTCAAAAATAACACAAAAACAGTTGGTGGAGTGGCTCAAGTGGTATAGTGCCTGCCTGCACCCTGAGTTCAACCCCTCACTACCACCAAAAGAAAAAAAAAAAAAAAAAAAAAACCTCATTATGACTCTCCTTAAAAAAAAAAAAGCTGGTAAAACATTTTAAAATATTTTCTAAGTCAGGCATGTTGGTCATACCTGCAATCTCCTGTAATCCCATTACTTAGGCTGACACAGGAGGATCATGAGTTTGAGACTGGGCTAAACAGGGAGCTCAAGGCAAGCTTGGGCTTCTAGTGAGATGTTGTCTCAAAAGACTACCTCCCCCAAATTATTTCCTCAATAGCTAAAATCAAAATGAAATCTTATTAGCATTCCAATAATCCCCTCCTCTGTCACTTTTGAAATGAATTTCTAACTTACCAATGTCAATTTGCTCGATAGCATCCTCCACAGTTACATCTGGAGAAGCCACTGTCTTCACAAACGGATACAGATTACAGGCAACAACTCTAAGACCGAGAGGAATTTAGTTGTCATTAAGGAACACAACCTATGTGGCTTATATGTAGGAAAAATAAGTCAGTGTTATAAACATCCAAAAGCCATTAAGATCTAAAATATAAACTGTGAGATTGACATTTTAAAATTCTAAAAGTTTTATGTAAAAAATGTTTGGAAGTCCTACCATCATAGAGCACAGGTAATGTAGTTGACAACTGCTACTACCATACTGCAATGTTGCTGCTTGTGTAACCTCAACTACCTAGTAAATCAAGTCATCAAAAATTTCTTTTGCCCAGTGTGGTGGTACACACATGTAATCCCAGCACTCAAGAGGCTGAGGCAGCAGAATTATGAGTTTGGGACCACCTGAGCTATACAGCAAGACTGTCTCAAAACAAATAAATAAAACATTTTTTCATAGAAATGGAAAAGGAAGGATTACAGAAGACATTCTTACTTCAGACTGGGTTATTATTGAGGACATTCACATTTAGATTCTTTGTTCAAATTTGTGTACAATGATAAAAAATCCTAACAGTGCAATATGTTTGCCTTCAGAGAGGTAATAAAAAATGATGGTAATTGGAAGGCCAAAAGAGTAATTTAAAATATTCAAGTAATCTAAAATTAAGCAAACTGGTGCTGTTCCATTACCAGGACTACAGTATGAGGAGCTCTGTGACCAAGACCCTTAATCTAGATCCCTAGTCTAACTGGTGAAAAGTAATAAAACAAAAGAGAAAAGAAGGGACTTCTCAGTTCATTCTATCAGGCCTATTATCCTGATACCAAAACTAGACAAAAATGTCACAAGAAGCTACAGATCACTGTTTCTGATATATAGTAACACAAATATCTTCAAAAAACACTTAGCAAACCAAGCCCAGAAAAACAGGACAATACTTATGTATGGCCAAGTAGGGTTTAATCCCAAGGAAGGTTAGCTTAATGTATAAAATCATACATTAGTGTGATTAATAGAAAGAAAGACCAAAAAAAACCCACTGGATTATTTCAATGGACACATTAAGAACAGCAGGGTACTTCTTCCAGATGATAAAGTGTAAGAAAAACCTATAGTTAACATTACAGAGTGATGGAAGCTTGAATATTATCTCCCCATTGCCAGGAGGAACAAGAATATTTACTCTAGCCCCCTCTATTCACATTGTGTTGGATGTTACAGCTGGGAGATTTGCAAATAAAAGGCATGAGAATGGGAAAAAAGTGAAGTTATCTCCACATGCAGGTGACATGATGTTATATACACAAAACCCTAAGGAGTTCAAAAGAAAACCTATTAGCACTAATTAATGAATTCAGTAAAGCTGCAGGATATATGATCAATATTAAAAATTGAACTAAAACACATTAGGGAGGAATAATCAGAAAATGAAATCAAAAGATCAATTCCATGTACAATAGCAGAAAAGAATACAATATTTTAAGAATTGATTTAACAAAAGTATAAGATCTATATACTGAAAAGCTGAAAGAAATTAAAGAAACCTGAAAACAATGGAAATGCATCCCATGTTCCTAACAGATAGAGAACTGTTAAAATGGCAATATTCCCTAAATCCATTTACAGACTCAACACAATCCCTATGGAAGTTCCAATAGCCTGTCTTGCAGAAATGGGCAAGCTGCTCCTAAAACATATATAGAGATGCAAGGGACCCTGAATGACCAAAACGATCTTGAATAAGAAAAACACAGTGGGAGGACTCAGTTTTCAATTTCAAATGGTAGAACACTTGCTCAACTGTGAGGCCCTGGGTGCAATCCCCAGTACCACAGGTACAGAAAGCAACAGTAATGGCATAGTACTAGTACAATGACGTACACTCTGACAATGGATGCTAAGTCTGTTCAATGAAAGGACAGCCTTCTCAGCAAATGATGTTGGGACAATTGGACATCCCATACAGAAGAATAAAGTTGGGCCCCTACTTCACACCTATTTTAAGTTAATATAAAAATTAACTTAAAATGAATCAACAACCTAAGTTGAAGAGCTAAAACTAAAAAACTCTTAGAAGAAATCATAGGCAAAAATTTTCATCACTCACAATTAGGAAATGGTTTCTTAGTTATGGTAATAAAAGCACAGCCACAAAGGGGAAAAAAGGTGGACATCATCAAACTCAAAACTTTTGTGATGGTCAAAGGACATGATCAAGAAAAAAAAAAAAACACAATTCATAGAATGGGAGAACCTTCAGAACATGCTATGTGATAGAAATCAGTAATCAAGGACCTCACATTGTAGGATTCCATTTATATGAACAGGCAAATCCAATACAGATCAGTGGTTATCAAGAGACAAAACGCTAATGAGTGGAAAAAGGAGATTATGACTGTTCTAATATTGAATGTGGTGATAATTACTTAATTTGTGTGAATATACTTAAGACCAGTGAATTATACATTTTAATTCCCCCATAAAGCTGTTATATATATATTTAAAAGATCAGCATCTTTATGCTAATAAATAAGTTGACTGTATATTACAAAATTTAGATCAAATCTTCCTAAAAAAAGCAAAGATTAAGGGCTAGGGGTCTAGTTCACTGGTAGATAGCTTGTCTAGCATGTTGTGATGGCCTGGATTGAATGTCTAGCACTACAAAAAAAGAAAAAAGCTTGTTTAAGTTATATATTTTGGAAATGTAAATCTGGAAAAATCAAAATGCTTGTATGTGTAAAATACCACAAAGAGGAGGCCAGTAAAGGTTTATAGTGAGTAAAAGAAAAAAGGGGGGGAAGAGGGAACACCAGGTTTAGCACACTTTTTGTCTTTAATGTGTATTTAAAAAAAAAAAAACAACTTCAATTTTTTACCTTATAAGATTGAAATCAAGTCTGGCCATATCAGCATTATCTTCCGGGATATTACGGGCCAGGATTCCTAGTTTAACAAAGTTAAAGAACGTATTAAGCTCCAAAAACAATAAGGTATTTCTTTTCATATACTCCCATCGATCAAGCTAAATATTCTAATATTCTTCTATTTTTTTAAAGACAGGGTGCTCCTGGGTTTAAATGATTCTCCTGCCTTGCCCTCCCAAGTGCTGGGAATATTGATGCATGCCAGGACCTTTATTATTCTTAAGAATACTAATTAAAAATTATTCTTAAATAACTATTTAGCAGGGAGCTGAAGGATCAGGCCTGTAATCCTAGTTTCTTGGAAGGCTGAGATCAGGATTATCATGGTTCTAGGCCAACATGGGCAAATAGTTCTTGAGATGCCATCTCCAAAACAACCAGAGCAAAAATGAACTGGAGGTGTGATTCAAGAGTTATAGCGCGCCTGCTTTGCAAATCCAAAGCTCTGAAGTCAAACAAAAAATTTAAGATTTCTGAGTATATTTAAAGATCTTTTGTATCAATACCCACTTCCTTTTTCTTAAACAAAAAAATGTAAAAAATGTTAAAAGGAATTTTTACATAACTATTACCAGTCTATCCCAGTCTATGTGTTCTTGTAAGTCGGCGGCTTATCTGATGATCCTCAGTCTTTCAGACTTTATTCAGTCAAATTTTATTGCAATTGTCAAGTTAGCAATATTCTTATTTCTCACCATTTTGTTTTAGAAGCAATTTGCTATGTCTGACAAACGAACAAATGTGAAGCGCTTTGAAAAAAATTGTTTTGAAAGTCAGTTCAAACTTAAAAGTTCGAACTATTTCAAAAGTCTATACTTTGTAGTCTACAATATAAAATCTAATCTAAATATACAATATAAAATCTATTTTCAGTCATTTCAGGAGGAAATATCACAATCTAAATTAGTTATTAGGTCAATATTTATAGCAAGCAGAAGAAAACAATCTGAATTCATCATGTAATAAAGGTTCTAAAAGACTATGAAATCTGGCAGCAAATGTGACAAAACCAATGCACCCTGAGAAGTAAACCATTTTTGAGCTTATGCTTGCTTCTTCCATCTATATTCTATGATGTTATTAAGTGAAATATTTCTGAAAACCACTGATTATTTTAAACTGATGCTACCAACCACTTACCAGCATGGACTGCAGGATGCAAGGTTTTTACACGCCCCCCTAACATTTCAGGAAATCCTGTTACCTCAGAGACATCTCTGAAAACAGAAAAACAAAATACCATGACTATTTCTGAGTTGTCACTTCCCATTATTGAAAGCATCTTCCATCAAGTCTATTCACATTTTAAGAGGTTCTTTCCAAGCCTGAATTGTACAAAAAAATTTTTTTGGTTTCTAGTTTTTCACTATGGTTGATATAAGTAAAATTCGACTTAACTTTAAAAAAAAATATTCATCTTATTTTTTAACTGGTATATTTCAAAAGTATTAAAGCACTGATTTTACAATATTCAGAGAAGTGAATCATAAGCTATGCTAATTAAACGTTAAGAAAATAAATTCAGCTGCACTTGGTAGCACACTCATGACTGTAATCCTAGTGCTAGGGAGGCCCAGGCAGGTCATTAGTTCAAGACTAGCCTAGGCTATGTAGTGAGACCTTGTCTCAAAAAAAAGAAGCAGTGAGGCAGAACACAATGAAAAGCATTAAAAATATCTTTGGGCTGAAGGTGTAGCTTGATGGAGAGCTTGCCTAGCACATATGTAGACCTGGGCTTCATATTTAGTACTGGGGAAAACAACAAAAACCATTAAAAACCATATCCAGTAAGTGGGGAAAGAAGACTGCTTAGTAAAATGGTGCTAGCAGTAGAATAACTCCACATAAAATTAAGTTCCTGATGAATCACAGGTTTAAGCATTTAAAAATATTTTAAAAGTACCAAAATTAAATATGTGAAGAATGCTTTCCAAGCATCAAACAAAAAAAAGCTGTGATTATATCAATGTTAAAAATGTATACATAGAAAAAAAAAGTTAATCAGAAAAAAAATTACAAAACATGAGAAAGACTTAATGAAGGGCAATTTTATATATATACCTATCAATCCCTATCATCAAGCTGACCTCCAGAAAATTATATGTATGAACACTCTGATAGCTTACAAATTTTAATGTGAAAAACCCCATAATGTAAACATGCCAAAAAAAGAAGCAAAATTGTACCTACATGAGTCACTAAACAATTATAAAGTATATGCTTATAAAAATACTGAAATACATTGTAACAAGCCATTTAACTACTTTCCTTATAGTTTTCCATGCTTTTCTAATTTTCAACAGTTAACATAGCATTTATTATAAGAAAATAATAAACATTTTAGAACAGCAAATTCTGACAATAGGATACTGAATTTCCTGGGGAGACTCTCTATTAAGGAGTGCCATTTGTGGCCTGGGGATGTGACTCAAGTGATAAAGCACTTGCCTAGAATGCATAAATCCCTAAATTAAATCCCTGATAAGGAGGGTGAGGGAAGGAGAGTGCCATTTGCAATGACCAGTGATTCGCCAAGAACATACAGTTGTAACATCAAGAAACTGGTGAGACATGGTTTCAAATTCAACATTCCTTTCATGGAATTTGGGAAAGAAAATCCAGTTCCTCCAACTAACAAGAATAACTGAGAACATAAGAGATGGCAGAATTATTTTTAGAATTAAACATGTGGGGCAACTGAAAAGCTTGTTACTCCTTTACACTTAAGAATTTGAATGTAGCAGCTATAAACTTCAGAAGTAATTCTCTGCAACTGCTGTACACTGATTACAATTTCATTCATTTACCTCACAACAAGGCAATGGTTAACTTCCTAGGGCAAAATCTTGAACCCTTACTGTGTGATCTCAAGCAAGTTACTTCTTTGTGCCTCAGTTTTCTTTTCTATACAATGGAGATAGTATTACTTATACCAAAAAAGTGTTGTAATGATGAGTTAACATACATAGCCACCACACACACTTGCGTATACTCCATTCATTTTTTTTGGTGGGACTGGGGTTTGAACTCAGGGCTTCCCAACTGCAAACAAGGGCTCTACCTCTTGAGCCACACCTCCAGCCCCATTCAGTGAACTTTATTTGAGTGTTTTGGTGAACACACTAACCCTGTAATAGAACAGGACACATTCTAAATTTTTTTAAAAATTGAGAAATGATGAAAATCATGGGGGTAAGTAAGGAGTGAGTAGTAGCATGGAAGACTTACCAACTGAGTAATTAACTGGGGGTACACAACATAAGGGCTCTGGGGGTACCCAATGTAAGGGCTCTACATTTTTCTGGTTTTGAATAGTCAGCAATGTTTTTGTAATACAAAGTTTTGGGGATTGGGGGGAGGTCACAGATGAAAACTTTAATTTGAAGAAAGTTCCAGTTATTACAATGAATGGGAGACCCCCAACTTGGCCCAATGGAAAAATAATCCTGCTTGCTGTTCTCAACAGCTGACCTTTCTGCCTTCTGTGGTTCTCACAGGGTTCCCATGAGCACCACAGCACAGACAAGATGCAAAAAGACTGTGAGGAATAAAATCAGTTACTTATTTAACAAAGCCATTCTGAACTTGTCAAGTCCAGGGACGCTGTGTATGGCCCTAATACAGCAGAACTACATGAAAAGGATCTAGAGGGCAAGAAGTAAATTTTTCAGGTGGCAACAAAGGCAGACAAGGCTTTTATCTCAGGCCTTTCTCTGAACTCAGGCTGCACTTTATTATACGTGTCCTATGGTCTTTTTCATTTTCTTCATTTCAGCGGTTACTGCCATCAGTCAGAAGGCCAGCGCCTCGAGGTAAGGAATGGCCTCTTGATTCACTTCCTGCACACCCCTTCCCACAGCCTGGTCAGACAAGGAGCAGCTTGTGAACGAGACATGGATGGCTGTATTTACCTGTGCGGTGACTGGAGATGCTGGGGAAGAAGGGAGGCAGGCGGGGAGCCTCTTACCTTAACTAAAACCAGTTAGGGCCTCTCTGCGCCCCTCTTCCTCTTGAACCGTGGGTGCTAAGCGTGCTAACTTCACAGTGTTACTGGGGAGTGCCTGCTTCACACTGCTTTCTGGTTCACGTGGTCACTCGGAAAGGATTTACTGAAGCACTACGTCGTGCCTTACCTGACTGCCAGGCCAGCATCCCTGAGAGCTTTTGCAGTCCCTCCGGAAGCGACCAGATTCAACCCAAGGGTCGTGAGGCTTCTGGCAAATTCCACAAGGCCAGTTTTGTCTGAGACACTGAACAGGGCTGAAAGAGAAGACGCGATCCCTCATGACTCGCAGTGACGGGCACTGCGTTCTGCAGGGTCGGGGCGGGGGACGGGGACGGGGAGACTCGCGAATGGCAAGGCCAGCCCCGGGGCCTTCGGGCCGGCCGCTCGCCAGCCGCACATGGCGGCCAGGGAAAGGCGCGGCTCGCGGTACGCCATTGCGGGGCGCAGGGCCGCGGGACGCCGGGGCGCCGCCTCGCGAGGGCCTCACCGAGCTGGGCGGGAGCCATGGCTGCAGCGCCGGGTCAGGAAGAGCGCGGCGGCAACGGCGACGCCACGTGCGGAGGTTCGGAGGGTCCCGGTGAGGAAAGGGGCGGGGCGGGGCCTCCCTGCCACGTGACCCTAAGCCCCGCCCCCGCCCCGCTCCCCCTCGGGAGCGAAAGTGGCTGCATGGCGGAAAGCGAAGGCGGGGCGGGGCGGGGCGGGCGCTGCAGGTCCTGGTGGTTGAAGTTGAAAGGATCCCGCAGTCGATCACGGCCGATTCCCCGCGTGCGAGCCAGAGATCCGCCCCGCGTGCTCCAGAATGCGGCCACCCGGGGCCGCCTGTCCGGAAGCTGGACGGAAGGCAAAGCCCGGAGTCGTTTTCGCAGCAGCAAAGTTAGAAGCCGTCCTCCCGTCTTCCTAGTTTTGGAAAATGAAACCGAGGCCTCAACATTGACTTCGAAATCTGTAAAAGTAGAATTGACACCTGAGTTTTTGATTCCACATCGTAAAATTGCCCGGATTCTGCGTCAAGATGAGACTTCTTGCAAATCCGTAGATGTTATTTCGCCCCAAGCCCAGATGAGGGGAATGATAGCAGGGGAGGGGCAGGAAAGAAAGACCGCTTAATTTGTTAAAATCAGAGGCAGCGAAATTGAACACATTCGTTTCTTTAAAAAATGACACCTTTGCCACAAAATAAATGCATATTGCTGTCTTCGCAAGCCTATTTTAATGCTCTTCATCAGAATCATACTACGAGATATAATTGCTTTGCTTTTTATTCTTAGTCTAGGCTCACATTTATTTGCTTTTCCTTTTCCCTCTCTGGTACTGCCTCTTTCTTACTCCCTAAAATAAATACCTGTTGAGTAGAGTCTGTCGCCTCTATTCCAGTCTCTAAAAAAGAGACTTCCCAAACATAAGTACCTATTCTCCAGAATCAAGAGTCCTTGTCTTTTGACCTCTGAATACATTAACTTCTTGCTTCGGATGCTTCTCACATTTCTAAGAGAGAGAAATGTATTGGGATTATCGCAGTGAGTTCTGGATGTGTTTGTCAGCGTTTCTTTTTCTTTTTTTTTTTTCCTTTTTGTTTGCCAACTTTGAATTTAAAGAGACAAGGTCCATCATAACCAGTAGTAAAGGAAATTTCCCTGGCCAGTCACCATTAGGTTTCTATAAGGAAGAAAAATCAGAAAGGAGAAAACGATGCTGGGATGTATTGATGAGAGGAAATAAACAGTGCTTAGACACTAGGCATTTTTTTTCTTCAAGTGAATTACAAATATTTAATTTGATAAATGAGACCTTTCTCATTGAGTGGCAGAAATACAGTATCATGAAAGCATAACTATCACCTAATTACTGTCATGAAGACGTTCCTAATGGAATGAAAACGTAGACACATAGTTCAGTGAAAGCAGAAAATATTAGTAGAAAGTGAAAACAAAGCATTAAGCTGATTTTATAGAGGCCCCTTGGTTAGAAGACACAATTCCTTTTATTTAAAGATATTTACCATGATTAAATTCTAATTTTCCCATAGATTTAGAATACAGACTTGACAGGTACTTTACATGTTAGTGACAGGAAGAGTAAAGGAGGAGGGGTTTGTTTGGTTTTTTAATTTTTGTCTAAACAAGTCACTTCATCCTTGTCCAGGATGTTTGTTGCCTTACATGTAATATTGACATAGCATTTGTTCTGTAGTCCTCATCATAGTATAAGAGAAGGAATTGATTGAAAGAAAAGTGTAAAGTGACTAATAAAGGTAATATAGAAGTATAACCTCATGGTTGATCTCTTGCTGTAGTTAACTGGGTATCTTTAGAGTTAATTGAATGAACAGCTTTAGAGTATGTCCTTACAGATGTCAATCACATACAAACTTGTGTCTTGAAATGGGAGACATTTTTACCAAGGCATGGATTCATCATCTACCAAGGGTTTATCACTAGCATTAGTATTTCAAACAGGAAAAAAATTGTATGGGATTGAAGGTGTAGCTCAGTGGTAGAGCTCTTCCCATCATGCTCAAGTGCTTCGGCTGGATCCCCAGGACCCATACAAAAGCACCATAGTAATTATATTTTCATTTCTTCTGTTTATATTTTGTGCCTCAAAGGAAGCTTGAAGACCTGAAAGTCATATTGCTATGCCTAAGAAATTACATATGCATATGTGAGTACATATATATGAATGTTCATGTGTAAATATGTGTATGTATGCATGTGTAAATATGTGTATCATGTGTTACCACCCATGCATGCATGCATACATGTATATATTCTCTATGTTATTTCATATATATATGTTATTTCAGTCCCTGAATGTGTTATCTCTTTTTGCTTCCATGTCATTTGTTCCTTGTGTAAACTTATCACTTCTTCCAGAAAGGTTCTATCCCATGCCCTCCTAAATATGGGTCCTCCTGTTGTACTGTAAGGACTACTAACATTGTCCCATGTTGGGCTGACTTGCTCCAAGGCTTTGTCCATTCAAATAGGCGTGATCTGCCTTGAGAAGCAGTTCCTAGGAATTTAGATTACTGGAGTAATATATCAAACATTTTCTACAAAATTCTTCTCTACCCTAGTCAAGAAGGTTAATATAGTAAGGCATAATAAGTAATTTGAGCATATTCTTTAAAGATCCTGAGCTGTTTGGAAATATAAAGTTGACAATAATGCTAACAATGAATTAGAATGTCTGGAAGCAAAGCAGAGAAACCAGTGAGGAAGGTTTTGCATTAACTCACTGTAAAGCCAAATCAATCTTTCTTGCTTCTCCCTACCCCCTTTCTTGCTCTGTCTCTGGGTGGGTGGGGGTTGGGGGAGAGGGTTGTTAACTAGTGTTTGAACTCAGGACCTTACACTCAAATGTTCTACCACTCAGCCAAAGCTGAAATTCTCTGAAGAAGCCACATCTTTGTTAAAGACTCTGCAGACTGTTCAACCCAGCAGAGTAGCACATCCTGGTTATTGGAGGGATAGAATGTTACACGTCTAGAGCCAAAACTCTCTTTGACTGTTGTAGGCCCTTTAGGAAAATACCCATTTACTTTTGTTGTTGTTGTTCATTTATTCACATGTGCATACATTGTTTGGGTCATTTCCCTCCTTCCCCCCTCATTTCCAGGCAAGTCCTGTTCTGCCCTTATCACTAATTTTGTTGAAGAAAAGACATAAGCATTATAAGGAAGACAAAGCGTTTTTGCTGGTTGAGTTAAGGATAGCTACACAGAGAGATTCCTCCTATTGCTTTCGTGTATCATGTGTTACGACCCATGTTGATTCAACTCTATCTGATCTTTACATTGGTTCCTGATCCCCTGCTCATGATAACCTGTTTTAAGGTTTCTGGATAATCTTTGTATCTGATCTAACATTCTCGCTACTATGAGATAAATGTCTTGGAATGTAAGCTTAGCAGACTATTAGCCTCTACCAATCCCAAAGCTAAGAATGTTACGAGATAACACGAAATCTACCACAAAGATTTCCCTGCTTTGTTCTAGCCAGCTTATCTAATGCCCCCAGCAGTGTATTTGTTGAATGTGTTGATTTATGACTTTCTTTGTTCTTTGGCTATAAAAGTTCATGTAATCTCTTTCACTTGGAAGCACATCCCTGAGGATAAGTTGATCTGTGTTCCTAGGCCATGGTTACTTACATGTGACTCAGAATAAGCTATTTCTAATTCCTTTAAATGTAGTGGTTATTTTTAGGTTGACATCACTACACATATTCTTAACTGAAGATCTAAGAACATGGAAAAGAAAAGATCTATGTGAAACAAAATCACAGGTAAAAATCAGCAGGATGTGCGGACGTATGGGGCATAGGAGATACTAAAAAAGAAATAGGGATGAATCTCTCATTTCTATTTTGATTATATATAAATAGCTGATGATGAAAATAATATTTTTATGTATTTGCAAATGAGAAAGAACAGTTTGGATGTGTATCTTTTATATATTGGCAGTGTTAAGAGTTTCTAAATATTGATTTTGAAGTATAGATAACTGATATAGTTAAAATCATATCAGAAGTTATTGAAATTATAAATGCAGTTAACAATGGAAATGAAGCTAAAGATAAATAAATTTGGAAAGTTCATGACACTAAAGTAGTACTTGAAGCCTGGAAGGGTATGAACTTGCTTCATTAGGTCTAACAGATAGAATGAGCAAGAAAGAAGGCCAAAGATAAGGATTGTGTTCAAGCAAGTATTTTATGTTCTAAGAGTGCATATGGATTTTGATCACTAAGACTTCCTATAATAGCAGGGCCTTGTGGTACACACTGGTCACCCTAGCTCTTGGGAGTCTGAGGCAGGGTGGTTGCAAGTCTGAGGCCAGCTTGAGCTACACAGCAAAACCATGCTTAAAAGAAAAAGAAAAGAAAAGAAAAAAAGAAGAAGAAGTGAGAAGTCTGTCCTGATGGCAGCAGAAGCCAGGTTAGAAGAAGATTGCCAGGCAGTATTCATACCCATTTGAAGATGATGGTGAATTTATAGACTGTGGAGATGTATAATTTTCTTCCAGCAGCTCAATGGTCCTTGTATAGACATAAGGAAGGCAGATGGCTCATTCATCCAGAATCAGGGTTTTGCCAGGAGGCTGAGAAAAAAACAAGAGTCAAGTTATTTCAGGATTTTTGGCAAGCCTAATTGACTTGATGGATCATGAAACCTAAGCAGGATCTAGAGAAGTAAAGGCAAGGAAGGAGGATGTCAAATAGCTATGTGCATGAAGAATAGATGTGGGCTATAGAAAACCCAAAGGATGAGAGGCCCCCACAGTCTTTTTTCCACCTCAACTCCTACTATTATCTTAGCCAAGTCAATATTCCCATTAACAACTTGTTTGATCTGACTTTTCACTTCTTTTTCTCCCAGAATAAAAAGATACCTATCACTACCTATTCATGGGCATAATTTCTTAGAATTATCCTTGAGAAATCCTAATATATTATTAGAATTGGAATTCCAATGAATTTTTACCTATTAATGACATTAAAACCAAGTAAGACTATGTTTAGATGGACTGTAATTTGCTGCCCGAAGCAGAACAAATCTGACAGTGTCTGCTTTCTTTTTTGAGACAGTGGTACAGGCTG